TTTGAGACCAGACCAACAGCAGTAGCAGCCCAAAGAGTCCATTCTTTTCTGCCCTGACATGGCACTACGGCTTGAGAGCCGTCAGTCCAGCGCCAGGTTCCTGAGCAACCGAGTCTGTGTGTACTGAGGCGCTGCTTCTTTTCTGCATCTCGTACCTACGGATACGCAAGTGCTCTTCGAGAGTCGCCCAAGCCAAGACCTCGCTTCTTCCTCAAGGCTCATGCTTACAGCTTACGCTTACGCTCGCTCTCACGCTCACTCACGCATATGTACAGCTTTGGCATCGCCTTTGCATACCCAAGGTACGAAGCGTAGTAGGTACAGCCGTCCTTCCATCCGCCCATCCATCAGCAATCCATCAATTCAAATTCCCTCTCTCAACCAATGGCCGGGGTGTTGGGGAAGCTCCTGTTTCCCAAGACCCAAGGGGGGGCATTGGCGTCAATGGTGGGCGTGGCGGACCAGCGGGCTGCAACAGTCCTGACCCATGCTTCTCTGCTTCAACTGTTCTCGGTCTGATGTTCCCCCTCCACACCAAAACCTCACTCAACTTCAAAGCTTTTGGCACCAGCTTCCTGCCGTTCATTGCGACCTGCCTGGCCCAATCTCGGTGCTGGGCTGGGTTAGCTTGGCAATATTTGACATCCAGCGGCTCCATCGAGCTGCGCCGGCTTTGCCAAAGCCGAGTGGGAGATGGCAAGATCACTGCCTTTTTTCGTCAGGGACGGGATAGCAGCACAAGAAAAAAAAAAAAAAAAAGTTGAGAGGGAACAACGTCAACATGCAGCACGAACCACCCCTCTATCCCTTGCTCCACCGGGAAAGGTACATCGATTTCCGCCGGCATCTTGCTGACGTGCCAGGTACCCGTCCCACACCATCTCGGTACGTACCGCAAGCCTTGCTTCCCAGGGGTTCTGCCGCTGGAATTTTTCTCAGATTTCGACCAGCAAGGTGCTCGCTGCGCCCAATCAAAGCTCGTTCTTCACAGCTCGGGAGATCCACCTGCAGCCTTCGGGACGTTATCGATAGCCAAAGCTCCTTCCGTTTTGCTTTCCCATTGTTCACGGCTCACGGTTCACCTTGCAGCTATTTCCAGGTCCCTTCGGGTCCTTTCCTTTTGGGGTAGGGATTCAGCCTGGCACTTCAGCTTTTTGTCATCACCAACCGGGACCTCCAATACCACCTCCTCGTCGCGGTCTCGTGCCTATCATTCTCAGCCAACGTTCTTCAGCAGTTACGCCGAATCGGGGTACGGATAGGCAAGCTGCATGTCGCCGACGACCTCTCTATCTCTATATCTCTCTCTGACTTATCTTGCGCCATGCCAAGTCCCTCAGCTACCTACCTACCTATCTCATGTCTGCAAAATGTACATCGAGATACCACCTACCTCTCTGGTGGTGGGTGCATCGGTCAGCCACGATCACGATTGCCACCACCGAACACCGACGGCCTCACCCAAGCAATGTCCGAAGGTGCCAGAGTCGCTGGATACTGGACGCTGCTCTACTAGTGAGGTACACACTGACCGCACCGCCGACCGTTGGACACCGATCGTCGCCGCCGTATAATTACACCCAGACCCGGCGTCCACGTCCACGAGTCGACATCTCCGACCCCAGCGGGCAGACGACCACCCGCGCCAAGACCTAACGAGGCCCGAAGTGGCCATGCGCGCCCATCGAGTCGTCGCCTTCTCCTGTCATTGGCATCCCATCTTGCCCGGCCCAAGATCTCATCAGTCCGGCATTGACCTGGACCACGGGTAGCCAAACCACACTGAGCAGGGCCCTTTCAAGTTTCATCATGATGGTCCATCACCAGCCTAGCACACCCCTCCACCTCAAACCCGATTGCGCAGGCGGTCAGCCAGGTGTCGTCAGGGGTGCCAGCCTCAACAACCTGACCCGTCGTCTCGCTTACGCGCCTCTAAATCGCCTAGCCTCGCCGATTCTCCGTCCGGGGATGGCCATCAACTTCCGTTAGCCCCTCATCAGGCCTCACCTCCAACTCCCGTCGAACGCAACGTCTGGCCCAAGCCGGGGCGAGGAATGCTGAACAATGAGCGGTGCGCGTCCATCTCGAAGCTGTCCAAGTCAACACTTGCCCGCAGCCCATCCATTGGCCTGGGCGGCCAGGACGAATGCCACACATTCTCTCGGCTGTCCAAATTGTGCTCGAGTCTAAGACAAGCACTTAGAGTGAACCACGCCAAAGCCTTGCGAGTCTCGCAAGTCGCATTCCCCCAGAATACGATGTCTTGCGGAAAGGATTTTTCGAACGGCTTCATTCCAGATCACTATCGTGGAATTAATCAGCCCGATAAGAGGCCAAGCCAACCATCCATCCATCCACTCAGGCCCTTGACTTGTCAACGAAGCCAGGCTGTTGTCTTCTGGGCAGAGACCCACGATGGCGACGGCGGCTTGTCCATCTCTTCATCCCCCAACAATTGGGAATTTTGGGACGCAATTTGGGGGTCTCCTTCGATGGGCCCCTTCCAGAAATGCCAGGGGTTCGTCTCGACCCAATCAGAAGCTTTCGAAAACAAACAGGTTCCCCCACTCGAAGAAACGAAGGAAGAAAAAAAAAACACCACCAGAGCGCCGCAGACAAGACTCGCCAACCAGCGCTCGACCAAGAAATGAGAAATTCTCCACCCGCAGATCCCCAACATCTTGTCCGTCCATTTGCGGAGCCCGTGCAGCGGCGCGGCAGCAGCAACATCCAACATCGGCCACCCGGCTGTTCAGAACTTCAGCTCGACCGCAGCCAACGACATGAACCCCCGGCACATTGAGACTTACGCCTACGTATCCTTCCTACTTCACCCGTTCCTCAACTTTCGACCCTCAACCCTGTCGCTCAACTCAACTACGGATATGGAGCATTTCGCGCTAATTTGTCTTCCTGCAGCAGAGAACCACCCGCGTTTTTGCCGCTGCCGCCTCTCCGAAGCCGAAGCCTCCATTTTCCCAATATCCGTTCTGCGCCGAGGTCACCATGTTCCCAGACCAGTCCAACTGTGTCGACCTATCAAATCCACAACAACCCTTTCATCAACGTCGGTGAATCACGCAGGCTTCCGTTCGTCCTTTTCCCACTCTGCAAAGTTGTTGTCCCCATCATTCCCTAGACAACAGTATCCGAACATCTCAAAGCAAGGACATCATTGAGCTTTGGCCCCTACCTCGTCCCGTCCTCGGCGCCTCCTATCGATAGCGGATGCTACGCTAGCTCTCTACACAAACACACCTAAGAGTACTAAAGACGGGGCAAGCAGATCCGATCCTGTCAAAGCTGGAGACCTTCTGCGCGTAATCTGATGCACCCGCCCACTTCGATCCGCCATCCATCATTATCGTACGATAATTGACAGACGACACTTATGATTGGATGGCGTCAGACAAGGGCCTCTCCGTACCGTACATTCTCCTTCCATAAGGCGACGAACGATGTTTGCTTTCTAGGAATAGTCGGCTTCTTACCTCGTTCCTGACTTGCACCAGCGGCCCGGGGCGATCAACGGCAAGGCGGTCGGGATCTTGCGCCTACCCAAACGGCCGGTAGCTTGCTAATCGTGGTCCACTCACAATGGATATTTGACGGAAGGGAAGCTCCCCCGCCTACAAGTACGACATCTTCCCCAAACCAAGACTGGGATATAAAGGTCGTCGGGCCCCCACCTACGTGGGAATGAACCGCAGGGTAGGGTGCCTGCGGGGGCGCGACTACAGGCGGCATCATGTCTCGAGCGGCTTTGAATATCGGTCTTTGGTTAAACGTCTGAACTGGCGTCGCAGTTGCGTGCTTTGGTGTAGTCAAGCATGCTCCCCTGAGACAGCAGCCTGCAAGACATAGTCAGCAAGAAGACTTCGGTCAGCAGCGTGGCCTCCATCACTGACTGCCAGGTCCGCCGAGGACCGAGACTCGGACGAAAGACTTCGGTCTCACGCTCCCCGCAACTCATTTTCGTTTGATCAACGGAGTTCGGTCAGGCATGGGCTGCTTGACGGGAGCGTGAGGCTGCCTCGCATTGGCCAAACGACCCGCTTGTTCTTGACATTCGGTAACTTGCACCGAACGTTGTCGTTCTCTGTGGCTTGTGGCTTCTCCTATAGCCGCAATGAAACAAGAATCCAGAACCGATGACGTGGTACTGGTTCCTGCATCCTGCCAAGCAATGCATCTGCTTTCCCCAGGATTCACATGCTGCAAACCCATCAGCCAGTCTTGGGTGTGGCTTATTATTAGAACGCATTCTTCACGTAAAATCCAATGCTGATGAAGTAGTCGACTTCCGGAGCGAAAGTTGAATCCATTGATCCGTGCCTCTCCTTTTGAGCAGCGACTCGGGACTCCCCTGTCTTTCTTGAAGTATGATGATATCCAACACCTGTTCATCCCTTCGCTCCGCACGGAAACCTTCACATCATTTCTCTTCTGTTGCAACACATTTTGAACTGATATTCAAGCATGTGGTGCGGAGGTTTCCCTTAGTCTGCAATATTCATGACTACTTGTCCCTCGGCGAGGTTATCCGTGGCAAGTTCCGCGTCATCTTCAACATCCAGGACCATCTTTCTACACCTCATATGCACAGTCGTCAACATGATACTCTATCAGGATGAGGTCATGCCCATGATGGCATCTCCATTGATTCCCGAATGTTTCTTTCTGCCGAAGCGGTTTTGCGTGGGCTCATTTTCGGCTCACCACATCTAGACAGCTCATATCAGACATACTCTTGGTCCTATGAACTTCTATTTCATATATTAAACCGGGAAACCTTCTGATACATCGTGAGACCAGTCAGAATAGCAAAATCAAGTGCTTTCTGGTTTGTGTCTGTAGGGTAAGCACTAGCATAGGTGGATATACTTTTTCTCGGTTATATATAATATTTTATGTCAAGCCTTTTCCTTTGTTGAATTTAGAAATTTCTGTCAGAAACACATGAATTTCAACACCACTCCGGCCACAATCACAATAACTCCTCAAATCCAAGCACCATCAACAGCATAACAACTCCCACTAACAAAGGAGCTCTCCGGCCCCAGCAAAAACACAACCACGTTCGCCACCTCCTCCGCCGTCCCCTGCCGCCGGAACGCAATCGGCTCGTCGAAGGGCGCGTCGGCCGGCCTCTCCACCGCGTCCCAGTACGACTGCATCATGGGCGTGTATATCGGCCCCGGGGCGACCGCGTTCACCCTCACCTCCCTCGCGCCGTTCTCCTTCGCCGCGGCCCGGGTCAAGCCGAGCACGCCGTGTTTGCTGGCCGCGTAGGCGCCGTGGTTTGCCATGCCTCGTTCTCTCAGCTCATGCGCTACAGGTGGAGGAAGGCGATGAACGTACCGTTCGTAGCGTGTATGGACGCCATGTTCACGATCGACCCACTGTCCTCGATGGCATTCAGCTCCGCTCGGAGGCAGTACATCATGCCGGTGAGGTTGACGGCGATGATCCTGTGCCACTCGTCGTCGTCGAGCTCGGACACGGGCTTGAGGCCGTGATCTTTGCCGATTATGCCGGCGACGTTTGCCGCGCCGTCGAGTCGGTTGAATTTGGTCTTGATGTCCGCGATCCAGGTTTCGACTTGGGCCTTGTCGGAGACGTCGACCCGCGAGACCATGTGCGGCGTGCTCGGGGACTGGGCGGCGAAGAAGGAGGAGGCGTTGCCGAGGGCGTCTTGGTCGACGTCGGCGATGCAGACTGTGCCGCCGCGGGAGGAGATGAGTTTGGCGGTGGCTAGGCCGATGCCGCTTGCGCCGCCTGTTATTGCGTAGACTTTGCCGGTTAAGGAGGACATTGTGTTGGATTTGAACCAAGCGAGTGCTTCAACTGTAAAGGATGGTAGTGTGGAATGAGGGAGGGCAAGATAAATTCGTCCTGTTTCAACCTCGGAATGGCGAGGCGCGCCGGTCTATCCTGACATAATGCGGAGAAGTAAGCGTACGGATGAACGGCAACGGACCGGAGATGGGTCGGGGTCGGATCGGCCCCGTCTCCACATTTTCGGCAGGTCGTCGCCGGAGGCGCTGCATTGACCAATGGGATACTTCTCCGATCCGACGGAATCACAAGACCTGCTGCGCCAAGCCGTACCGCTCGCTGTCGAGCAAGCTGTCCAAGCCGCTGAGTCCCGAAATAACCTGTCCACCACATCAGTAGCTGCTCAGTAGCGTGCAGGCACTCGGGGATTACGAACCATGGAGTCGAACTGGCCCCATCCCGTCAAGTCCGCCAGGGAGTCGCTCGGGCTGACGTTGAAATCCGCGAGGCCGGCAGCTCCGTCCGCTGAGAGCTGCATCCCCGGGACCCGCCCGTCCGTGCCGACGTCCACGACCGAGGCGTCGAAAGCCGCGGCGTGATCCGCCGTGCGAGCGATCTGGTTTCCGGGGTTCGATGAGGAGATGTGTCTCGTCGCCTCGGCTCGGAGCTCCTCCAGGATGAGGCAGTACCGGGACGTCAGGGACCCGGGCTCTGCGATTTTGGAAATCTGGGCCTGGCAGCGGTCGGCGGCGTCGTAGTAAGGGCGGAAGGTCTCCTCCGGCTCGCTGGTCTTCGTCTGGATGGTATAGACGTAGAGGATGACGGCGGCGGAGAAGGCGAAGTACGGCGTAAACTACGACAGAGCGTCAGCATGCGCTGCTTTAAAAAACATACGGGATCGTACCCAGAACGCGCGGTACAGCTGCCCGGCTTGAATCATATCATCCACGGTCTGCACAATACTCATCGCGGAATCCAGACACTCCCTTACGCTCTCCTTCGTCTGCTGTTCGTGCGCGTCGTCTCGCGGCCGCCGCTGGCTGCTGTTCCCGTTCTTGAGGCGGGCGAAGTTGCTCAGAAGGTGCGGGCGGTGCGTCAGGATCATTGTGTGCCAGTAGGCCAGGTTGAGGACGTTTCGTTGGCGTTGGAAGATCATGACGAGGGGGACGGCGTTCATGTCCGGGTCGAGGAAGCGGCTGATGTCGGACCGCCAGGCCTTGAGGTCGGCGGTGTACTTGGTCGTGAAGGAGAACTTGGCGCTGGTGGAGGCGGGGCGGATGGAGTACACGTCGTGGAGGATTCCGCTGAGGATTCTGGATAGTCTATTTCGGATACGTGGTGAGTTGGTTAGTGACAAATCCAGTAATGGAGTCGCGTATGTACCTGGAGTAGGCCACTGGGCCGGACATGATGGACTGGCCACGACTGGGCCGTTGGAGAATCTTGTCGGGCTGGATGTCATCGTCGTCGATGGATGCCGGGAATTCTTGGTCAATGTCGTCGTCATGAAAGGTCCTTGGTCTGCCGAGAGCGGTGCTCAAGTAGTTATCAAGACTGTACGCACTCCAGAACGTCCGCCGACGACACTCGATCTGAACCTGATCCAATGAAACTGCGACCCTGTTGCGGTGAAGGCCTATGGCGAAAGAGAATCGCGCCACTGTTCCGAAGAGACTCCAGCAATGATTGATGCGGCTCTGTGATAACAGCCAGAGACACTGCAGGAGACGTGCCTGGACGCTTTCGAGACGGATGCTGCCCTGCTCCTGGGAGAGTTGCTGGCTTGCGGCCATGAAATATCGGATGCTAAGCAGACCTCAGTCGCGAACGTCTTCTCGTCATGTTCCAAGTTACGAAGAGCCTCGGACTTACGTCATGTCCGCCTCAGCAGGGGTAGGTTTCGGCACCATGTGCTCCTGAGCAACGGCGAACACCATGAACAAGACAGCCGTGCGAGCAGAGGATTGTTCACGGTCATGCATGGTGCCCATGGTGTCGTAGAACTCGTCGAGCCAGCGTTCGATCGTCGGCCGGTGTACGAATCGGTCCACCGGCACCGCGAAATCGAAGAACCTCTGGACTAAACTCGTCGTATGGCTCCGAGACAGCAACAACGAGAACGTGGGGTCAAAGTAGACCTGCGGGCTCTCCCCGGAGTAGGCGGTGACATGTCGGAGCGGGGCGTCTCCGAAGTTGAAGACGGAGGACCCCTGAGGAAACGACATTGACTGGTCCAGACGTTTCTGGACGCGCAGTAAGAAGGACACACCTGACGACGGCCCGACGTAGTGTCCTTCGAGGTCTGTTTGGACGGGCTCTGGAGAAGCCCTGGAAACAGGCTCTGTGGGCAGTGCCGTCGGGACATTCGAGGAGGATGTGGTGGTACCGCCGAATATGTTGCTGGAGTCTGCTACAAGCGTGGACGTGCCCTGTTGAAGAGGTGGGATGGGTCTTTCGGGGTTCAGGCCACCAGCAGAAGTCGCGAAGACGGAGTCTTCGTGTTGCTGGGCGTTCTGACTCTGAGCAGTAAAGCCTTGTTCTTCCGGTCTAGAAGATAGAACTGGCGGTTGTCTTCCTCGAAAGTAGGCGGCGGTGTAACTGCATACTGCCGATGACTCTTCACAGAGTCTGCAAGGGTGCAAGCCTGTACATCTTGTCTTTCGCCTACAACGTTGTCAGTCTCGTAAACAAACATCAGCTGAGCTACCATTATGGTGCGCCCCTGAGACCAATGGCTTCGCTTACCTCTTACACCGATCGCACGCGCGGGTAACACGGGCGCGGTTCACTCTCTTCGGCCGAGTGTGGGGTGATTGCGGAGATCCCGGGTAGGTCTGAGCTGAAGAGCTTCCGGATGCTGTCATCCTGGTGTCGTTCATGGTGATAGCCTTCGCTTTCAATCCACTTCACGTTGTGCGCTGTATCGGCTTGCAGAGGCCCAGTCGGAACACAGTTCGGAGATTATTGCATTCATTCCAGGTGCCTCCCGTGTGAGCTTCCGTCTTCTCCATTTTATGCCGACGGAATGTTGGTCTTCAAGAGTCTTGGTGCGGGGAAACGATCTGGTTCTTGGTTCTCTACAGGCATCGCAATCCTTCCTGTGGGACCAGCCTCCTGCATACGATCGGCATCAAGCCGACGGGATGGATGGCATACCCCTTACCACTTCTCGGGACCTGTCTTCCGAGGCCTTCATGTCATTGGCGGGAGTAGCATGATGTCTGCAACAAGCGCTTGTCAAGACACCAAATCTCGGTTCTGACATGATCTAATTCACAAAAACGCGATCTTGCGCATGCATGTAGGTTTTATTGGCTGGCTGCACGCAGAGTGTCGAGCCCCTCTGAGCAGGGTAAGTTGCATGGAATCCCATCAGCGCTTCAGTTTCAAGCGTATTGGCTTCGGTCCTCCCAGTCTGGTCTCAGATAACTGCTGTCGAAAGACAGGTCCAGTGACGAACGGTGTACTCCCAAAACCTTCCACTTCACCTCAACAGCCGCTCCTGCCGTATCCATGGCCCATACACTGAGTCCTATGGTGTTCTCCCCGTGATAGTTGAGAATACCGGGGAATACTATCGTCGTGTTAGTGCTCTGAACAGGACCAAAACGTGACTGGTGGCAATGTCGTGACTTACCTGGGAACGTGAATTCGTTGCTGATGTGAGGTAGAATCTTGGCAAATTGATAACCATTAACGTAAAGCTGGGCTCGCAACTTAGCCTTCGGAGCAGTGTGTAACTCGAACGCCAGACTGATATCGTGTCCCTCGGGGAGATCGAGGGGAACGACCGTTCTGTAGAAACGGGCATCGGCCCCTTCAAACCCGTCAGCCGGCAAACCAGATTCCCAGCTGATGTGGTCAAAACCAGGCAGGTGCCACCCCAGGCGCTCAGCGTGGAGACCGCCCTCGTTGTAAGTGCCGCGGACCGGCTCTATCAAACGGTTTCCGCCGGCGTTTCCGGCGACTTTCCACGAGGTGAAAGGAACACCCGAACCACCTGCTGCAATGAGTGTAGCGTTGAGAATGCCTCTCGGGTCAGGAGCCGCTTCGCGCTGCTCTTTGCCCATCGTGTCTTGGATCACGAAGAGTACATTCTCCGCGTCGGTCAGTACCTTGGCGGCCTCGAACGACGCCTGGAGTTCTCCTGTCTTGTTTGCCATGGATCCCAGCCAAGCTCCGATAAACTCGCCGTTGAGATAGGCAGAGAAGCCGCTTGCGAGACCACCGATGACTCGCAGGTAGACACCTGTCGGCATGTTCTCCGCTGTAGAGTTAAAGCGGCCGCGCCACAGGATGTTGCCTGCTTGGTAGCCATACTCGTCCGCGAACAAGACGGGGTAGGTGTCAGGCGGAACGAAGTGCGGAGTTGTCGTGTGGTCAGCATCTGTTCAAGGGCGTTAGCTAGAGGTGCCTCCCATTACAACAACGAGGTCTTACCTGTCCAGCGAGAGTCGTCGTATAATGATTCCGTCTCGGGAAGGCCATCCGCAACCTTCCACTCGCCAAGATCTGGAAGCTGGGCTTGTACACTTTCGATCGTGACGTCTGTCGCGGCGAGAGTGCCAGTCAGAGTACCGTGGCAGGATCTAGTCACCTCGAGAGGAATTTCGTTGAAGGTAGCTTGGACAACATTCTCAGGGGCCCAAATCTCTATCTTGGTCTCGCTGCTCCAGTCGCCGGTGATGTGGATGGTATCTCCGTCGATGGAGGCCGTTCTGACAAGGTATGGACCATGAACCAAGACTATTGGGAGGTCTGGTAAGCTCATTTCACGGTGAACGAAAAGCCTGTAGTTACATGTGCTTACCTGTGGCGTTTTCCCAAGCTAAGGGGTTGTTGTTAAGTGTTGGCGCCCAAAACTTGAAGGCCGATTCGCGATCAACGATGACTGCCTGCACATCGTTGTCAAATCGAATGATGGACATCTGGCTCTGTGAAACAAAATTTGTGATCACACCATCCTTGGTTGGAGTCAAGCGGATGTCGCTGTTGTTGTTGATGGACCTCCCGGATGTCGCACCTTGCAGCAGGAACTCGCCTGCCTCTCCTCGAGGGGCCCAGAAAACCAGGATCTGACGATTGCCAAGATCGGAAACAGTAAGAATCTCGGCAGTGGCGTACGTCACCTTCTTCTCGGTAGAGCCAATCCTGAAGTCTGTCACCAGAACTTTGGACTCAATTCCATCGAGAGTGATGAGACCGTTCTGAGGAATGGTGATGTCGCCAATATCGGTGGAAACACGCAAGCGAAACTGAGAAAGCTCGGTAGATGGAGAGTATGCATGGCGGGTCACGTAGAAGGCGCCGTTTGTGTCCGGGTTTCGAAGTTCAGTGGCATATACGTCCGGGTTGTCAGAGTACTGCGTGCCATTGCCGATCCGCTCGACTTTAACAAAGTCGCGAGCGACGCGCATGAAGAAACCAAACAACTTTCCTTCGTTGTACTTGTCTCCGATCAGCCGGCTCTCATGAATAGGAGCGGAATAGTCGTAGCTGGTTCCGACTTCCGGGAATCCAATGTTGCCCCAATTAGTGCCTCCGTACAACATGTAAATGTTGACGGCCGACACCTTTTGGGCGAGGTTGTGACGGTAGAAGAGGTTCACCCAGGTCGGGCCCATGTTCTCGCCGCATCCGCCTGCTGGGCCGTCCCAGGGGTTGAAAGAGCCGCCTTGAAACTCCATCAAGAAAGAAGGCTGGGTCCAGGACACCCCCTGAAAGTGTGTGTAGTAATCGAAGACAGTGTAGGGCTCGACAGCTCCGTTGACAGCCAGGCATTGGGCGAGTTGACAAGTCCAGCATGCGGGGTAATGATCAAGCCCGTAGATGTCTGCCTCACCGCCGACATTGCTGTAATCCTTGGACCATGATCGTGTCCACATGTTCGGATTATTGGCCGTGAAAGGGACATCAATACCCCATTCGCGGTGGTTCTCTTCGAGTAATTCCATGTAGTTGATGGCGGATTGGTTGGGCGTCTTCAAGTCTGGGTTCAAGAACTGAACTCCATACTCGTTCTCGATCTGCCACATGATGACTGGACCCCCATTCGTGACCAGATGGGGTTTTACGTAGTCTGCGACTGCTTTGGAATACCGCGTCCACTCTGCGGTGTACCTGGGATCGTCATCGCGGAGAGGCCCGTATTCACCGGTGGTGAGCCAGCCTGGGAACCCCCCGCCATTGGCCTCGGCGTTGCTGTAAGGCCCAGGTCGGTAGACGATGTAGAGACCAATCTCTTTGGCCATGTCGAAAGCCTTTGCGAAGTCATGGGCGCCAGTCTCGAAATCAAGAGTCTCGTTGTTTGGTGCATGCCAGCCCCAATGTTCGTAAAGTCCAATGCCATTGAATCTATACCTTATTAGCATAGGTTTCACCCAAAGGCTATTGAAAATGGCCTCATGTGGCACGTACCCGGCAGCTTTGATCTTCTGAAGTATGTCTCTCCATAGCTCCGGAACAGGAATCCGCCAAAGATGAAGCTTTAATGTGTTAATGGCCGCTTGCTCTCAGGCAGGAGGAAATATTGCTGGTTTGAGCTTACCTCGCCGGACCAGAGAAATAGTCTTTCACCATTGACCTTGACACTGTAGTGATCCCTAGAATAGTTCCAGCAATCAGCTTATTTTCATTTTGAGTATCACAAACATACCACTGAACTACTTTGTTCAGGCCATTGTCATGAAGAGGCCACTGTTGGCAAAGTATGCCAAAAACGAAGCTCAGCAGCCAAAAAAGACTATGGAGAAATTGCACGCGCACGATGTTGATGATTTAGGGTAAACTTAGATGAAAGTCTTTTGGTAGACGATCCCAAAATCTCAGCCCAAGTCCCACGTTACCAGGCTTTTATCATGTTCCAAATCCTGGCTATGAATAATATCACTTGTGTTCGTAAACCCAGTCTATCTTGGTATACGTGACAATTGACATCATCACGAACCGAAGAACATTCTAAATGTGCTCACGCCGTACTACCCCGCACCTTGGCTCCCAGAAACTGCTCTAGTTGGCGTTCTTGACTTGAATACAACCTAGTGATAGCTGGGCTTTTCGATCTAAGATGAGCGGTTCCGAGCCGATTCCGGAGAGAACCCGTCGGATATTGACCGGAGCTCAGATTGTGGATCGCATCTATCCTCTCGATGGGAATTCCACATGTCTGTGATTATCGCCTCAGCGGAAAAGCCTACGTAGCATTTGCTCTGCGAGTAGTGTTACGATCGGTCGTGGGACCGTTGAAAGGTCGATCACAGCGAAAGGAGAGGAACTAATGAATTTGGAAACCAAAAAAACGAGGCATGCTCTGAAATTACTGGGGCTCAGTATGATATTCCTGCTCACATCTCTTCTCTCCGCCTTCAAGCTGGCTAGGGGAGAAACCCAGCCGCAAGCACCTCCGGCTGAGGATTTCAGGCGAACTACGCACTCTACCGGTCAATGTATTTTTACGGGAGGCATGGTTATGTCCAAGTTTCGAATCAGATGATATTGCTACAACTAAGTGATAATCACACTCAGCACTGATTCCCCAAAATTAGACTCCAGCCCTAAATCGACGGCAACGGAAACTGTAAACTTCAAGAACAAACAATATGCGGGTGCTTGATCCTCAAATAGACCCGAAGACAGATAAACTATCGTAAGCCTTGCCAGTTGGGTCGAACATCACGTTGCTCTCGCATGAACTTCCAAGTACTGCATTCGAAATCCAAGACGGCTCCCAGTAGTTAAGGCCAGTGGCGCGAGAGACCTGCTTCAGCGTTGCCGCAAGTCGCTGAATGTACTCCACTTGACCGGCTGGGGTGAGTGGAATATCAAGTTGGTCTGGTGGGAAAGGGTATTCCGGGTTCGAGCACTGCGTGGGCCAGTTGGTCTCGACAACTTGGACCTCCTTGTCGTATTGGGTGGACAGGCTGGTAAGCGTGCTTCTCAGTGCCTCCATGGTCGCTCCTTCACCCCAAAATGGGTAGAAGGATACCGAAATCACATCCCAATCGTCGACGTCGAGGAGCCCTGTGCCGAGAACCATGTCGTAGAACCAATGTTGCAAGCCTTGGTCGTATCCGTGAGCAAGGTGAGTAACGATCTTGGTGTGGTTACCGAGAGAAGATGCTCGAACAGCGCTCGCGCCGGCATGCAGAAGGCGCGCCAAGTTCTCGGGTTGGTCGAATTTGCCAGTCGGCCAAAGCATGCCTCCGACAATCTCGTTGCCTATGGTCATGATTTCAGGATACAACCCCGCCGCCGCAAAAGTCTCGCATACCTCAGAAGTGTAACGAGACAATTGAGCTTCGAGGTTGTCGATGTCGTGGGGCCAGCCGCTGGGAATATCTTGCAGGCCAGGGTTTGTCCAAGTGTCGCTGTAGTGAAGATTGAGCCCAAACAGGAGCCCGGCATCAGTGGCTCTCTTCGCGAGTTCGAGATTGTACTGTATGCCGTAATCGCCTTCAACAGTCCAGACGCGTTGTCGAACGATGTTGACGCCGGCTTCAACGAGAATGTGCTCCAGTGGCTTGGCATTTCCATGAGAATCCTTATACACAATTCTATTGTCGCGCTCCTCAACGATGACGGATGACCAGTCGACGCCATGGTAGCTGAGCCTGGTCTGAGTCTCGGCCGGGGAGGATGAACTGACTGTCGAGGTCGGAGTCACATGGGTGGCTGACATACAGGCCGTCACGACAGAGACCGCCATCATGAAATAAAACAATATCATATTTTTGACGATGACAAGCGATTGCGCGCTGAGATTCTGATAGTAGCAAAAAAAAGACAGTATGTATTTGACGTGGGCCAACTCATCCGAGTGTTCATATATATTTACTTTCTGTCTACATCGACACATTTACCCTCAGTGGCCACGACACAAAATTCTAAGTGAACTGCTAATATCGGCTACGCTAAGTCTTTCCGAACGATCTGAATGTTCATTTCCGAAAGGCAAGGAGAAAAGAACTGGATCAGGGCAGTATGCCGCGAGAGCAGCGGATGAAGGATGAACATTGGAGACACTACGTGTGAGATTAGATTGGAGGAAGGCATGTTAGTCTCAAATCCCTTCCGACACAGGTCCGCTTTGCAGGCCCTTGGCGAGAAGCTGGCTTCTTTGGGATAGGGGTTTTCTTGGTGCTGTCTCCAGCCTAGCTCTTCTATGGTTGGTGGCCACTCAATTCGGAACTCGATTTCCGTACTGGACTAGGCCAATGTTGCCCTCTACTGCATACTCATAATGTATAGCTGACGAATATGTAGAGAATTTCGAACACGTAAAGAGGAAAGGTCGGCAGGGGTGTGGAACCGGCAGTACATCGAATGAATCTGGGCTTTGGCCTCTAACGTTTTCAACACGCTGCTAACTATTTTGCAGGATTTGATGATGTATATGACTGATTTCAAGCACATGTGTAACGGCAGGAAAATCAAAAACTTCATTAAACTTCAGAACAGTTCTTAGAAAGAAGAGTTCGGTCGCTGGTATGCGGACATTGTGTGAAGGCCTGGCAGTTCACTCTAAGTCATACGTGTGGTTTACTTTGCAGTGGCTTCTCGCAGATCGAGGGCACTTCGGCTGGCAGATCTGTTACTGCTTTGGGGCTACTGCATGCTGGTTTGCGATGGATGTCTACATGTAGTTAGGGCACATTGATCCGACGGCACATCTGCAAACCCATGGTCCTTGGCAGGCTTTGCGGCATCCGACGGAAGCATTCACGAGCTATCAAGTCCGATGATATGTTCCACCTGAACTTACACATAGTACACCATCATACGGGACGTTTCCCCGGATTTGTGGCCAAGCCCCCCAAATTCCCCCATGGGGTCATGCACTCCCCGCATCATGCGGGCGGATATGTTGTAGTCTGATCGGAATATCCATGGCGCAACGCTTTTCCGCAAGAACATACTGTTCTGATTTGGGTAGATGATTGCTGTCCCTTAGGCCACCCGAGCATGCGAAGCCGGATCCCACCTCCATCGTTGAACCACATAAAGCAATAAGACGACAGCCTACTCCTACTTACTAGTAACTGTGTTCCTGCTCATGCGAGAGACATGCGAAGTTGAGCTTTCATCAAGGTGTTGCAATTTCTGTTACAATTCCTCAGAGACAAAACCGGCAAAATCAAACAGCAACAATCGCCATGAGCAATATTCATGTCCAAGGAACTTCGGACTTGTCCAAGATCGAGGCCCCAATCACGTGGAAAGCTTACCTCATTTGCGTGTCGGCGGCCTTCGGAGGCATATTCTTTGGCTATGATATTGGGTGAGTTGACCAGAGTTTGAGAACTGCCAGCGCTTTTCCGACAGTCTTCTCATCAGATCTCTAGGTGGATGTCAGGTGTTTTAGGAATGCCATACTACATCCAGCAGCACACAGGCATGCAGTACGACTTCACCACTGGCGCCCCAGTCGACAATTCTCGACCTTTTGCCATTTCATCCAGGGACAAGTCGCTCATGACGTCTATTCTGTCCCTTGGGACCTTCTTAGGCGCGCTTATAGCCGGAGACTGTGCAGATCTGATCGGGCGTCGCATGACAATCGTGATGGGCTGTGGCATCTTCTCAGTTGGGGTTGCGCTTCAGATTTCCGGCACCGGACAACTCGTCTTAATGACGATAGGGCGTTTGGTCGCAGGCTTAGGTGTTGGCTTCGAATCTGCGGTCATCATCTTGTACATGTCCGAGGTAGCGCCAAAGAAAATTCGCGGAGCCGTAGTATCTGCATATCAGTTTTGCATGTAAGTCGTAATAAATAGCATCAGTTGAAAGAAAGTTAGACTGACCTTCTTAGAACAATCGGTCTCCTACTCGCCAACTGTGTCGTTTACGCTACGCAGAATAGGAGCGACTCAGGTTCTTACAGAATTCCCATAGGAATACAGTTTCTGTGGGCAATAGTGCTTGCCGGTGCACTTACAGTTCTCCGTATGGCGGTCCTATCTTGATGAAGTATGCACGTTCAAGCTAACTTTGATGGCCAGCTGAGTCACCTCGATATTTCGTCAGAAAAGGCAACGTGGAAAAGGCAACCAAAGCACTCTGTTTCATCCGCGGCCAAGCCGCAGATTCCGAATACATCCGAGATGAGATTGCAGAAATTCTTGCCAACTTCGAGTACGAGTCAGCCATGGTCTCCAAGAATGGCTACGTCCAGTCATGGCTGGTTTGTTTCAAGGGTCCAATCTCGAAGCCTCATTCGAACATCAGAAGGACCATAGTCGGAGCCGGTATCCAGGGAATGCAACAGCTCACTGGCATGAATTTCATTTTTTATTTCGGAACCACCTTCTTCCAGCAACTCGGCACCATTCAGAACCCATTTCTCATTTCCTTGATAACCACCCTAGTCAACGTTTTGTCGACGCCGCTGGCATTCTGGACCATTGAACGCTTTGGACGCCGACCTTTGCTGATCTACGGGGGCGCGGGCATGGTCGCTATGCAATTTACCATCGGAGCGGTTGGCACAGCGCAGCCGAACAACGAAGCCGCGGTGAAGGGCATGATCGCACTCATCTGTTTTCAGATCTTTTTCTTCGCCACAACTTGGGGGCCTGCGGCCTGGGTGGTTGTTGGAGAAGTCTTCTCGTTGCCAATCCGTTCTCGCGGAGTGGCCATATCGACCGCGTCCTGCTGGTTCTGGAACTGCATTCTGGCGATCATCGCTCCGTACATGACCGGCGACGAAGAAGGTGCAGTAAACTTGGGCCCTAAGGTGTTCTTCTTCTGGGGATCTCTATGCTTCCTCGGAACTCTTTTTGCATACTTCCTGGTTCCTGAGATGAAGGGACTTTCTCTGGAACAAGTTGACCGCATGCTCGAGGAGACCGAACCTAGAAAAAGCGCCAAGTGGGTTCCTCGGACTACGTTTGCCAATGAGATGGGTCATTTGCAAAAGTTCAATGGCAGTGTTCACAGCGACACGATCAAGGATGGATCCGCTTGATGGTTGACGGAAGGGCGAAAACATGTCAATTGAAAGTGGCTTAAGATTGCGCTATGAGCAATGGGGTAGTTGTAGGGTCTTGATGATGCTAATCTGCGCGTGATAACATGATCAATAAGCACTGAGCCGTGCATATCAGGGATTATTAGTCTTTGAATTTTGTTGAATTGACTGTCTTCGATATTTCAATTAACGATGGGCGTGTCCGAGCAATGATACGGAAATGACATCAGAAGGAAACCTTTTTAATGGCGCAAACAAACTCAAGAATCGGATCAGTACTGCCATGCAACAGACTCGCAGCGGTAGCGGCAGCGCAACACGTTTAACCTCGTGCCTCCGTGTCCGGGCCACGGATCCGTCGCCCCACTCCCGCCATTCTCCGGCCCCACCGAGCTAGCGCCGAGAGAGCGCATCGTGAGTGTCGGCAATGCACTAAGACATTACCGCATCATCATACTGCTGTTCTACTTATGAGAATGAATTAAGGGATCTGCCGGCCGAGCCAACAGCGGGCAAGTTTACCATCTATCGCGAGGAAACAACAAAGGCGCATCATCATCGGACGACCTAACATAGGCACGGGCGGAGATTTTGCCCCGGGAGCGGACCACATTTAGTGGGGCTGACCACAGTCCCGTCTCCAGTGTGGCGGGATGAACCGAGCCATCTCGCCCACGAATTGCGACGGGTACACAGTCCGAAATCGAGATGAAGGACAGATCGGGTAGAGAAAAACAGAAACAATGTTGGTCAAGATCACGAAAATGACGTAAGTGAAGCTACCAAAGCTGTCAAAGCGGTGCCTGCCGGGAATGAGGGTCTCATGTACCCACAATGAGGTAGATCGATCGGCCCGTTATTGAGACCTCCGTCACGAACAGATTGGAGGCCGTGTTCTCCCGGAGAGCCTCTCTTCGCCCGCCGTAGCATTTCCTCCGTTGCCAGGTCTCGAACTTTTAGCGGCGACTCACAGACCGGGCCCTCTTAATACTCCACATTTTACCATGCGCCGAGCCGAGAGGTTCTATCAACAGACTCCTTATCCGCGTAGAAAGCCCCGACTGGCTGAAGATCCTTGAGTTGCTCATGAAATGGATGTGGCTATTTGCCAGTCCATCTTAGGCGGCGATGCGATCGAATTGAAGAGTTTTACTCAACCACAGAGAAATGTCTGCGCTTTGTTATGATACCCATCGATCAACACGGTTTGTGGGAGGGTTATGATCTTCCTCACATCTTACTCCTCCGGGGCTGTGGGCCGTCCACCAAAAAACCTCAAGGATAGTCATCATGACACAACACCATGATGATGTCGACAGATAAGTCAGATAGATAAAAGACAGAACTCACGCTTTCAATGTCAGTTGTAGATGAAGACCTACAGAGCAGACTCTTACTGCATAACGACAGACTTCTTCAGACAAGATGTCACAGCACGACGTTGAAAACGGATTGACGCCCCCACGCGGCTTCTCGCACAGACACCAGTCGAGAAGCAATTCTCACGGCAGCGTCAAAGTCGGAGACAAAGACATGAGCACCCATCACGGTCAACTTTCGAGCATACAGGCACACATGGTTGCGGCTAGTGGCGAGTTTGTTGGAACGTTCATGTGGTTATGGACTGCATACGCCGGACATCTGATGGCGAGGCATCAGGCTCCGGGTGAAGCACCCGAAGGTGGTATGCTGAACACGACACTCACCTCGACCGCGTTGGCATACGCATTCCCTCTGCTTGCGAACATTTGGGCATTCTACCGAATCAGTGGAGGACTTTTCAACCCTGCAGTAAGTATGATATTTGCCGAATTTGTTGAGCTAGACTCTAACCTTGTTTCTCTTAGATCACGCTTGGTCTCGTAGTTGCTGGCCAGCTTCCGTGGGATCGAGCGCTTTTCCTGTTTCCGGCACAGGTTGTAGCCGCGCTATGCGCCGGGGGCCTCGTCAAATGCATGTTTCCCTGGGACGTCAGCGAAACCAACACGATTCTCGCTACAAATGTGTCAATCTCCCAGGGCGTATTTATCGAGATGTTCTTGGCGTCGCAGCTCATGTTCGTGGTTCTCATGCTGGCGGCTGAGAAGCAAAAGGCGACATACCTGGCTCCAATTGCAATTGGAATTGCCGTGTTTGGCATCATGATATGTGGTAAGTGATACGTCAAAACTCGCGATTTTACGAAGGCCTAAACTAAGCTTTGTGAAACAGGCGGTTACTACACGGGAGCTTCCATCAACCCAGCACGCAGTCTTGGTTCCGCCGTTGCTGGTGCGAGCTTCCCCGGCTACCATTGGATCTACTGGGTTGGGCCCGGGATGGGTGGTGTATTGGGAGCGTTGTACTACCGAGTTGTGAAGATGATTCATTACGAGGAGGCGAACCCTGGGCAGGACCATGGAGGTGAAAATGGGGATGCCCTTCCCGATGGCGCTACGCTTCCAAGAAATATGTAAATGACTTTTGGAGACATTCCGGTAACCTAAACTATGCGTTTAGACATCACAATGAAACAAAGAAGATAAGATCGTTCAACATCACACTGGGTTCAGAGTTCAATAAAGGTGACTAGGACGCGGCCAAAAACAAGGTTGACACGGCGTCATGGCTCACGTGGGCTTTAGAGGTACAATCAACTTACATCTTGACCATTTCTCTGCAAAATCGATTATTCTTATTCCATAAAACCAAAAGATTCAGTGGAAATGCTCTCGCGACAGCCAACCTGCCTTCCAATCCATCGGCGCGACACACTGTGCGGTAATCGACCTGAGAGAACCGGTGACCGTCGGTGCAGCTCAGCGACTCGCACGCATACAGGTAATTGAGACGTAGACGTCTTGTAATCCGCAAAATTTGAATAAATTTAAGAAGAATAAGGACTTCTGGACTGTATTGCGCGGCGAATTGAAATTTTGACAATCGATGCGCTCTCAGCGCTAGTGGTAATTCGCGCCAGAGAACGTAACGCAAGGGTTTCCTGTTTCCCCACGGAAGTGCTGACTGCACTCATCGGCAAGTTGTTACTCGGCCAGTCGTCGCAAACGTGATGAGCCCAAACGACTCCAAGTACAAGTGTTGCAATGGGTGTTCAACCTGCAGAGCCTGTTAGCCTAATCGATCAATCGCCCAGTCCGAGTGGGCTGTGTTCATGCAAGATGACCTCGAAACCACCAACCACAGCAGCAGTTGATTAAAAGCCCTTGCATTCTGCATCAATAGATTGAGTTATGCCACGTACCGCAGGCAGAATTGTGGACAAATGGAGCGGCTTAGCTTCCTACATAACTCAGACTACATCACTCCCCGATGTCTCTGGTTCTCTTTCCTTTCCCCTCATTTTCCAACGTCTTCAGGACCGAGAGCTTCCTCTCAATTCGATCACTTTCTAGAATTTAGCACTGTCGCCTGTTTGGTGCGCAATCCTGCCAGAAACAAAAACCAAAATCGGCCTGACAATGGAAGAAGCGAAAACAGCGGCTACAGCTGTGGACGGCAACGATGCATACGACGGCGATGTGTGCGAAGACAACGATGCCGACGACGTGACCTCCCAGATAGAGGAGTACGAAATTTCTGAAACAATGCAGGAACTGGATGAAGAACTTTCCGATTCGTTGAATCAAATGGTTTTACGACTCTGTTCCGTCTGCGCCAACTTTTTCAAGGGGCGGTTTGAAACAAACAGAACCGACTACATCAATGTCTTCGACTTCCTTGAGCACACAACAAATGCCCGCGTGTACCATTCTTCGCTCACATCTTTGAAGCGATCTGTTAGATGCGGCTGTCCCCTCTGCCGGGAACTATTCCGAAACTTGCAAGAGCTATGGGAGAAAAGGCCAGAATACATGGGCAGGAGCGATGATTCGTTCTCAATTGGGTGTGAAGTTAAGGACGGGACTTTCTTTTCTTATGGAAAAAAGGGACTCCAAGCCACTTTCGTGCTTTTTGGTCCAGAAGGCCGACATCTGGAAGAAAGGACTTGCGACTCGAACCTCAATTTGCAATTTTATCCGGTGGAAATCCTAGGCCTTGGGCCGGAATTTCGTGGTACGAAGATTAATGATCAGTCCTCAACGGCTAATGATTATGTGACCTAACGTTAGCAGATCCTGCTTTGTCAGATTCAACGGCGAACTCTACACTGAGCACTGGACTAGCTCGACTTTGGTACCAAAACTGTTTGAGACACGAAGGATGTGAAACTTCGACAGTTCATCGGCCTGTACTCCAACCCGCCTGGTACGAATTCAGGAATCTGGCCACGGTGCACTAGCCAGTATTACCGCTAGCCTTGTGGAAACAAAAGATCTACCAAAAGAAACTCCATGTCACTACATGACACTGAGTCATCGATGGGGAGGACACTCAATGACGCACCTGAGGGAAGACAACTTTGAAGCGTTCCAACGAGAAATACCCGTTCGTCAACTGCCCCAACTATTCCGAGACGCCTTTTTCATGACCCGCCAACTTGGTATCAATTATATCTGGATCGACTGCCTCTGTATCATACAAGGCTCCAAGGCGGATTGGGCATTTGAGGCAATGAGAATGGGAGACTATTATCGCCATGCGGAATGCAATCTTGCCGCCTCTGGTTATCCCGATACCACTCTAGGATTATTCGGTCAGAGAGAAGCCTTGTCAGTCTTAGATTACCCAATCCAACTCAACCTCACCTTGGTGGTAGAGGGAGTTGAAGTCCAGCACACTGGCATCTACGTTAGAAAGCATGATGACGAATTCTTGAGGGCGATTTCACAGGGGCCCCTCAGCTCCCGAGGCTGGATAGCTCAAGAACGGGCCTTATCACCAGTGTCTTACATTTCACCCCAAAGCAAATGTGGTGGGAATGCAACGAGCGACTCCTTAACGAGGCGTTTTCAGACATCACGATGTCTTGGAGGTCTAAATTCGAAGGAAGCGGCTCGGTCCGTTCGGTAAATGCGAAAACTGGACACAAACATATTTACTCTTCCTGGAACGACTTTGTCGAGTCGTACGCTAGTACCGATCTGACCGTTGAGACAGATCGTTTCCCTGCAGCTGCTGGAATAGCCAAGATCTATGCCTCCCTTCTCGATGATAATTTCGTTGCGGGGCTTTGGGAAAGCAATCTGGTCCGTTCGCTGATATGGCACGTTAAATACAAGGCCAGAAGGGTTCCCTCAGTCCAGGTAGCTCCCTCTTGGTCGTGGGCTTCTGTTTGCACGGCTTTCAATTCGGGGTCGTCTGGTCAGACAGTCATCAGCGGCGTCAGCGTTCAAGTCTTGTCCGACATCCCGGGATTCGAATCTGACCTGAATCTACCTGTGCTGGAAAGGTCGGGCGTTTCGGGCTTGTCCGTTAGGGGGCCCTTGAGAACAATACTACCTGACTTCGAACGTTTGTTCAAGAGGGTTGAGTACGTGAAACTAGTTTTCATGCACCACGATTGGCATGACTTCAAGTTTTTCAAACAACAGAACATTTCTGATGACCAGGAATGGCGTTGGCAAAGCCCCACGCATCTACTACCTCTAACGCATCATAATTGTGTTCGCCTAGCTACGATAGAGTGCCTCATTTTACAGCAAGTAAAAGGAGAAGACGACCCGATGACCTTCCGACGACTCGGACAAGTCGCATTGTGGGTGCAGCCCGAAGTGTGGGAGGAAGTCTTGGGTCTTCACAAAGAAAACGGGGAATATAATCCAAGCCTTATATTCGAAGAATGCGGTCTCCAAGATATTGTTCTGATTTAAGACACACCGTCGAAGACGAACCTTGTGAGAGTTCACTGAAACGAAGTTGTTGATTGGTCGCTAACCAGATCACAAGTTTGCGGTTTCTCGCAGCTCAGTACAGCTGTGCACCATTCACCTCAAAACACCCACGGAACAAACCTCGCAGTCTTCGCATGCCACCGCTCCCACTTCTCCCCAAACTCCCCCCTCAACATCTTCTCCTCCTCCGTAACCCTCGTCCAGACCCCAGCAAAGAACATACATCCCCCAACCGCCAACGAGATCAACTCCATCCCCTGCAAAGCGCGATGCCTCTCCGGCGACACCCAGCAACTCATCACCCCATCCATCCTCGCGTACAACATCAAGTTACACAACACCAGGATGACGACCCCGGTGTAGCTCGGGTGCTGCACGTATCGATAAATCCCCGTCGTCTTCAGCCCGCTCGGCTTCGTCAGCGCAAAAGTGAAGTTCTTCCCCAGGGACCGGAAGGGGATCAGACGCAGCGGGACGCCGGCGAGGAAGATCAGGGCGAAAGGGACGGCGGTGGAGGCGGACCATGTGACGAGGGATGGGTTGAGGCCGTTCTGGGCGCCGTGGCGGAGGATCGCGGGCGGGATGTTGGGGTACGTGTACGCGAGGGCCGCAGCGTGGAGGGAGAGCAGGCCGAGTGGGAAAGTGACGAATTTGTTGATGTGGTTGTGGGTGATGTTGAGGATGTGGATCGAGTCTCGGATGGGAGCATGCTTGGGATCTTTTGAGGCGTTGGGTTTTTCGCTCGGCATCGGGTTTGGAGGCGTGATGGCCACGTAGGCTCCCACCGTGGAGGCTAGGTAGGCCGCTGCCAGCGACGTTTGGGATAGTGTCATTTTTAATATGAGTTTTGTTTGTTCGAGACTAATAGTGAGAATGAGCAACGAAGTGACGTTGAAATTGGCGTGAAGGGGGGATTTAAAGCCGGACGACGTTGACGCTCGGTGGCGACGGCACGGGCCACGTGAGTCGCGCTAGTGAGATCTAAGGTTGGGGACCTTGTTGAAGAATGAGATGAGAAGTGGCCGTCTCTTATGAGCTGAGCGATGATATGAGCTTGAAAAGCTTTCTTATGATAGTTTTGGCGCAAATAGGTTTAGTAACTCGAAATTGCTTGCTGTGGTTAGTAGCGTTTCATGGCTGGTGGTGTGACTGTTCCGGGTTATGAGAATGAGTATTAAGATCCGTCACTGTGACGTTTACATTCCATCTAGGTGTGTGAGGGGCACTAATAGCTCACGAATTCTGCTAAACTTTAGCCTTGAGAATGGTCATTAGGCGCAGTTTGATGAATCTCATTTTTGGTTCAATTTCATGAGTCTGTCGAACCTTCAACAGTGCTTAATGCATCCTTCTCTAGAGCAAACACATCTGGACTTTGTGTGTCGCGCACCAAATACCTTTCCAGCGCCAAACTCCTGATCGCCAATGCCTAGTATCCTAAGTTCACCGCAAAAGTACCTTTGTTTGAAGACCTTCGCTTCAGAATTCCTGATCAAGATCATACTTCCTGAACGACCTCGACCTGGGGTCCCTCGATCTTCTTCACCTTACGACCTTCCCACCAGGACATGACGCCTGCCATCATAGCGACACCGCATCCGAGTCCGATGAATGTGCCGGTGGCCCATGACTGATTATTTGGGTCAGCAACGTCTCATGGCAGAAGAAAGATATCCTGAGTGGTCTCTCAAGAAAGTTGAGGCACTCACAGGTCGATCAATCCGATTGTATCCCCACATAAAATAACACAACACAGCCTGCAACAGCGTGTTGAGCACCATCATCCAGATCGTGAAGCCCAACTTCCAAAGTGCCGTTGGGGGTGCTGTCTGATCCGTGAACGTCGGGGTCCTTCCCTTCTCGTCCTCGAAGGTCCATGCTGGGGGTCGGAACCAGCCCTTGTTCTGGGCGGCGAGCCTTCGCATTGCGGTGCGGTCCTTGAAATTGACAGCGCGGATGTACCAGTAAAGATCGCGGAAGCGCCATGGTGCAAGGCCAAAGCCAGTGACGCAGAAGAGGGCGTTCAAGATCTGACTGTCGATTTCAAGCCACTTCTTCCGCGGGGAGTTGTTGTCGTCGGCCGAGGGGTAGTTCATCGCGGGTGCGGCGTTGATGAGAAGGAAGAAAAGCATTGCCTGAGGTGGTCAGTATGAGATGAGGTGGGGTGAGTGAGGTGAGACTTACGCCCCAAGCCTGTGAGATGAGTTAGTGAGCTTCATCGACAAGCGGGTACTGAGGATGACTTACCACAATGTTTAGACAGTAAATGGTGATGATAAACCCTGACGGCGTAAGAAAGAACTTCCAAAACGCCTTCAGCCCATTGACGACGGTCGTCTTCCACGGCGCCTTCTCTTTCGCGGCATGCTTCTCATACAAGCTCTGTCGCCGCCTGAACTGCTGGCCCGAATCGGGCAGACTCTCATCACCCTGCGAACCACCCATCAATACCCGCGACTCGTCGACCTCTCCGTGAGACTCGAGCCTCTCATCCGGCTTATCCTTGAACACATTCCGGAACGAAGGCTGCCTTTCCCGCTGCTCCGGCGTGCCACCTCCGGTCCCCGTCGCGGTCCTCACTAGCGCCAGCTCGCCGTCCGGCTCCTGCCTCGCAAATCGTGCCGAGTGGCCCTGGGCCGTGAAGGCGATGTTGTCGCCGCCCGAGTCGATGTCGCGGAGCTCTGTGAGGTTGGGCGCCTGGGCAATGGCGGTTCCGGCGGCTTGCCACATGCCGAGCTGCGGGTTGGCGTTCATTAGCGAAACCGAGGCGCCCCGGACGCGGCCGACGATGCCGTCGTTGTTGGCGGGTGGATCGGCCATGGTCGGTGAGGTTTTCGAGCGTCAGTTGCCGTGAGTATCGACGAATTAGTAGGTCAATTGATGAAGCTCATAACCATGCGATTGAAGATGAAGTTGACGATGGAGGGGATGAAGTCTCTTTTGATGCGAATCCGGCTGGATGATTGACGGGGAAAACTTTAAATGAGGTGCCTGGAGCTGACGGAAGCGGAAGGGGTGATGGCTGTGAAGGGCCGCTGTTGATGGTTTAGTGGCTTGGCGATCCCTGCTGTCATCTCAGACAATACGCGGACAGGTACGACGGCTTGTACGCGGGAAACTACGAGCTTCCCGACGGCGAACCCGACGGGGCCGGGGTATTGATAACACACAAGATCATGTTACCACCAGAGTCGTCCATGTGATAACTTCAATTGATCATCTGGGAATTTCATTCACGTCCAAAATGTCATCTGGAACGACCTTCAAAATCTATACGAACTTGTTGAGGTTGAGGGTTCAATCCTTCAGCAGAGCAAGGATCACCGCCGCCGGCGCTACTCGAGTCATCCCTTCAGACACTCTAAGAGGAACCTCACATTTTCTGCTTTAGGAGTATCTGAAGTCTGTCAAGGTAAGAGGGAGCTATGTGTATTAACGCGTGCGGAACATCGCATCAGCCTTATGGTTATCATTACGCGTGAACTCAGGACCTTAAAAACAGCCCGATCCCCATCTTCCGAGCGGTACTCAAGACTCTTTGGCCCACTGATCTCCGTTCCACAGCTTTCCAGTGGTCCACAGCCAATAATCCCGACCCTTGATGAGCCAAACCAAGAAGCTAGGCAGCCGATATCCCATCGCCGCGCCGACACCCTTGCTCTTCCCAATAGGCACCATCTGCGTCTCACGAGTGTCCTCCTCGAAAACACGATCCCCTTTCGCGGCTGCCGCAGTCTGCCCCGAGGCTAGAAGCAGGTCCCGCTTGATGTTGGCGCAGAGAACTGGGATGGCGCTGAGGATGTTGTGGACTGCTGGACGAGCATACGACGACGCATCGCCAATGGCGTAGATGCGCGGGCCTGCTTTGTCGACGCGGAGGGTTGAGGGGTTGGTCTCGACTCGGCCGTCGGATGCCAGGAGGGAATTGTCGATGAAGTCTGTGTTGGGACGGGTGCCCGTGGCCGGAATATACAGATCTGCCTCCAGCTTCTGTCCATCGGCGAGGTTAATTGTCGCGTTTGCCGCAAGGTCGTCGACTCCTGCTCCGGACGGGGTTACGCTCTCAACTCTGGTGTTCTTGACGATAGTCACGCCGATTTGCGCAAGATAGTCCTCGGCCTGTTTGGCGATGGCTGGGCGGAGAGCAGGAAGGATCTTGGTGCCGGCTGTCACGAGCGTGACGGCGACTGTCGGTTTATCCAATTTTGTCCTGAAAAGACCTGCTCGTCCGTTGAGATATTCGCCAAGCTCGCCGGCCGTCTCTACTCCAGCCGGACCACCGCCTGCAACCACGATGCTTCTAGCCTTTGGCAGGGCCTCGCGAAACTCATGCCAGCTCTGCCTGAGACTGTCAGAGTCGCGATTGAGTCCGAGAAGAGGAGACGGCGTAGATGCGCCCGTTGCGATGATCAAGCTGTAAAATTCCAGTGTTTCAATGCCGCTGTCTCGAGTCGTGGTGACCGAGACTGTTCGGCTGCGGTGATCAAGCGCCGTCGCAGTCCCGCAAATGAAACGGAACTTGTCCTTGTCGTATTGCTTGATGGCGGTTGTGATGTCGACGAATAGCTTTTCCTGGGGAAACATGTCGTCTGATATCAGGGCGCGGGGACAAGCCGGACGACACATGACTTGGGATGAAGAGCTGACGAGAATGATCTGGTATCCATCTTCAGCCGGCACCTGCGGGATGACGTGTTTGAGGAGATAATAAGCTGTTGAAACACCGCCATATGAGCCACCGATTATGACGATGTTCTTTGGAGGCTGCTTCGTGATGTTCACAGCCATGGTGAGTTCTCGAGTCTTCGTGCTCACACTAAAATATGTTGAAATGACAGGAATGAGGCAAGTCGCACGATACTATGCAGATATTCAACCTGAATTTGGTTCTGAGATTCATTCCTATTTCCTACTTATAGATGATTCTCATATGCTGCCGCGGACCATTTCGGGCGGATGAGCAGACAGTATCGACTGATGGCGGTTCATCCTTACGAAATTTGACTTGTTCGTTGGCTTCGTTGAGAGGTGTTTGGACCTTGTCATGAGTTCTGCTTCGCCCGAAGCTCCGAATGATAATACAACATAGGCGCGAGTTCACGTCTCGCTGAACGGTTCGTCGTCAGCGTGAAGGATGGTGGCTTGCGCCACGCTGACTTGTTCGGCCGACGACCGGACGAACCAGCTATAACATAGATGTTAAGCTCCTTAAACAGCATAAGGCTTGCAGTGAGCGTGTTGCAAGATAGACTTCTCACTCAAGCACAATCGTATGTCTCCAGTGCTCATACAATGTGACGGTGTTAAGGGTGTGAATCCCAAGGTGCTCATGTAGCCTTAGAAAGACGATCGAGGCAGGTCATGAAATGACGAGTGTGATACTCTTAGTATTAAGATATATGAGAGTAAACTCTCACCCTGACGATGAGCGGTTGAAGCCTATGGTTAAGGAGGTAAAGGCACATAATAAGGTGAGTCTCGCCACCTCAGTTGTGAAGTCACGGACCTCCAGGAGAGTCTCAAACCAATGAGGTCTCAAGTCGAGTTGTCAACCGCCGAGTTGCAGAAACTTGGCCAGGATACTGTCGGTTGAAAAACTCTGTCGCACGTGTCTCTTTCACTTGTCTCGACTCGGGGAACGCCGAGGGAGAGAACCGTCAAGGTGAGTCGCGATGAGGTAATGAGAACGTGGTCGAGTGCTCCCTTTGGAGGGGCAGCGCAAAAAATTCACAGCGCTGCTGCTAGGGGGTGGCGGGCGGTGTGGACCCCTTACCGCTGAAGCTCGTTACGGCAGGTGGCAGGCCCCAGTCGCCCCGGGCCACGGCGGTTCGGTGGGCGGATATCTTCGGCGTTGGCGGGGTCATTTTTCCAATTCTCGCACCATCCCACCAAGTGGATTGCGTTTCTCTTTTGCGTCTTTCCTTGCGTGTGTGTTCGTGGGCTGAGAAAAAGGATTCTTCTTCTTACTTTTCACATTCTTCACACTCTCTCTCCTACAATCCACAAATTTCCTTATCGATATCGAAACCGCAAACATGGGCGACATCAAGTCCATCAACGCCACCAGGGTGGCCGTCACCGCCCAGTCGGCCACCGAGCTGATCGGAAACACGCCCCTCGTTCGTCTGAACAAGATCCCCCAGAGCTTGGGCATTGAGGCCGAGGTCTACGCCAAGGTCGAGCTCTTCAACGCCGGCGGCAGCGTCAAGGACAGAATAGCCCTGCGCATGATCGAGGAGGCCGAGAAGAGCGGTCGCATCAAGCCTGGCGACACCCTCATCGAGCCCACCAGTGGCAACACGTACGTCCCTGTGTCGCACTCTTTTCTGCGATGGCTTTAGCTAACCGTTTCTCTCCAGTGGTATCGGTCTGGCCCTCGTCGGCGCCATCAAGGGCTACAAGACGATCATCACCCTCCCCGAGAAGATGTCCGCCGAGAAGGTCTCCGTCCTCAAGGCCCTCGGCGCTACCATCATCCGCACACCCACCCAGGCCGCCTGGGACAGTCCCGAGTCGCACATCGGCGTCGCGCGCCGTCTCGAGAAGGAGATCCCCAACGCCCACATCCTCGACCAGTACGGTAACCTCGACAACCCGCTTGCCCACGAGTACGGCACCGCCGAGGAGATCTGGAACCAGACCAACGGCAACATCACTGCTGTTGTCGCCGGCGCGGGTACTGGTGGTACCATCACTGGTATCGCTCGTGGTCTGAAGAAGCACAACAAGGACATCAAGGTCATCGCGGCGGATCCTCACGGCAGTATCTTGGCTTTGCCCGAGGCGCTGAACCAGGACCACATCAACGAGGGTTACAAGGTCGAGGGTATTGGCTACGACTTCATTCCTGATGTTCTTGACCGCGAGATCGTGGACAAGTGGTACAAGACCGAGGACAGAGAGTCTTTCCAGCTTGCCAGGAGGCTGATCGCCGAGGAGGGTCTCCTCGTCGGTGGTAGCTCTGGCTCCGCCATGGCCGCCATGGTCCGCGCCGTCAAGGACCTCAACCTGGGCAAGGGCGACACCGTCGTCGTTGTCCTCCCCGACAGCATCCGCAGCTACCTGTCCAAGTTCGCCGACGACGACTGGCTGGCCGCCAACGACCTCCTCCCCGAGGTCAACGGCCTCGAGACCCAGGCCGCGTCCAACAAGCCCAAGACGACCGACCCTTACGAGGGCGCCACTATCCGCGCTCTGCGCTTGAAGCCCGTCATGACCGTCTCCGCGTCAAGCCCCGTCTCTGAGGCTTCCGAGATCATGCGCGACAAGGGCTTCGACCAGCTGCCCGTCCTTTCGGCCACCGGCAACAAGCTTGTCGGTCTAGTTACGCTCGGTAACCTGCTCAGCTACGTCTCTTCCGGACGTGCCAGCGCCAACAGCCCCGTTAGCGACGTCATGTTCGACTTTGGTCGTCTGGACGAGGTTGTCACGGACCCCAGGCAGATCGCCGGCGGCGAGACCCAGGAGAAGGGCAAGAAGAGGAAGTTTGTCGAGATCACTCTCGACACTCCTCTGTCGACGCTCAGCAAGTTCCTCGAGTGGAACAGTGCTGCGGTCGTCACCGACAAGACCGAGGGCAGCAAGGGCCTGTCCAAGCCCATTGCCGTCGTCACCAAGGTCGACCTTCTCACCTGGGTTGTGAACAAGAAGGCGTAAATCTCTTTTTATTTCACATTGATGAATTGGATTTGATAAAGCGTGGAAAAAATATACGCGGATGGATGGTTCTGGCGTTTGGAAGCGAGCATCATAGTGGCAGGGGCGAATCTTGGGTCGCATCAACTGACCCCGGTTGGCAGCATTTGCTTGGTAGTCTGGGATGGGGTAGACTCAACATCTACATAGAACAGGGCAGCCTGGTTCAATGGATAGAAACCAATATCACAATTTGCGCATTTGAGACTAAGTTCTTCTTTTTTAACTCAAAATCATGGGGTATGTATTATTATGTGGCCTTTCGGCGATGACTATATCCGCTCGGCGATCCAAGACCACCACTTATCGGCACCGGGGCCACTTCCAGTAACGTTGCCGGCGACAACATCGACCTCCACGTCAAATTCACGCAACTGATCAAAGGTGAACTTTTCGGTACCGTACGCGCCCAGCCAGTCGTCGTGCTCCTCAGAGCCAATATCGTCTATACCGACGCCAGAATCCAGGAGACCCTTGCTGCGCGAGGCACGTATCCGGGTGATCTCCGCCTCGAGACTCGTCTTGACAAGAGCACCAGGGAGCGCAGTGAAGAGGTCGATCTTGTTCGCGGCAACCAGCACGGGAATCGGCGCGGGAGGCTTGGACGACTTGCTCGACGAAGCGCGCTTCTGAAGACCGAGGAGGACGTCGTAGAGGTAGCCGGCGGTGGGCGCGAGGACCTCGTTCTCGCTGATGGCGGCGGCGTCGACCATGAAGACGATGGACTTGAGCTTGGACTTCTCCGAGGAGCTGTTGGCGAGCTTGCCGAAGGCGAAGTTGCGGAGCTTGCCGTGGCCGGGGGTGTCGACGAGGAGGAACTTTGTGTGCGTGCCGCTCGTGTCCTCCTGGTTGCGGAAGCTGTGCTTGGTCTTGCTGTCGCGCGAGGCCGTAAGCTCGACCGTCTTGGGGCGCTGGCTGGTGTGGGTGGCCGCGGGGCTGTCGCCGCGCTCGAGGAGGGTGAGGAGGGCGGTCTTGCCGGCGCCGGAGGGGCCGAGGAGGAGGACGGAGGGGAGGGTCGTGTACGGGGTCGACTTGACGAGGATGAAGTGCAGGAGGACCGGGAAGAGGAGGACGATGGCGACGCCGATGAGGATGACGGGTGCCGAGGGGGTCATGATGTGTTCGAAGAACTCCGTGAAGGAGCCCGTGTTAGACGACATCGTTGCGCTTCGTCGCTCGAGAGCTGTTTTGGGAGTGTCGTATCGAGTACGAGGGGGTGGTACCCTGCGCGGCGAACGGGCGACTAGGAATTGACGATGTTTTAGTCGTGGTCTCGTTGACAGATTTCCAGAAGAAATCGGAAATCGCGTGTGGCATGCCGTCAGTGGAGGTGCTTCCCCTAGAACAAGTGGAGCATTCCCATTCGGGTTAGACCATCTCGCTGCTTCAGCCACACTTCTCTGCCTGACAGACGAGGCTGAGGCGGCCGAGGAACCCGACCAACCAGGGGTCCGATGCCAAGCTTTGGGGCGCTGTCACCCTCTCAGCCAATCACGGCTACGACGGCAGGTGACGGCAGGTGGTCCTTTGTCAGCTCAGCCTCGCTAGTCCGGTTTAGGGGGAGGGTCCCCGGCGATCCCTTTCTCACCTCTAATTCCCCAGTCTTCAACGCTGCCGAGCGCTGGAGCTGACGACCACGTAATTTGCGTCCACTTGGCTCCGTGCCTTCTTTCCGTCCTCGCCTCGCCTCGACTCGACTCTATTTTTCTTATTTTTGTTTTTTTCCTCGTGGACCCCTGCGTGCCTCCTTGTACCTTAACAATTTTCCCATCTCAAAGTCATGCGACGCTAGGATCGAGCCGATAAACCCTCCGTTTCCGAGATACACCTCCCGTCGCATTCCTCCTTCGACCCCGTCTCCCCCTCGTCCATCCAGCCCCGAGACATCGCAAAGCTTGGCCCGCGACCGACGACCTCGACCTCGACCTCGACCTCGGCCTCGATGGATAAGTCGACAACACAAGGCGGCGCTGCCGCCGCCTCGGTGGCCCCGAATCAGCCCGCCAACAAGACGAGTGCCGTTGCGCCGACGTTGAACAATGAGGTCGAGATGGGAAACATTGGGGGCGATGCGCCAAACGCGGAGAACGACATCATGCAGATCGCAAGAGTCGGGGACGTGCCCGCCATGGAGAAGCTCTTTGAGTCTGGGGAGTTCGATGCGACTTTCACTGACGACGAGGGCATTACTTCCCTGCATGTATGTGCCATGCCGCTGTTCCTACCTCCCACTCTTTGTACCACCTTTGGCTGGATCACATGGCGCTAACAGCTTTTAGTGGGCAGCCATCAATAACCAGTATGCCATGTGCAAGTTCCTCATCGATAATGGAGCAGAGATCAACAAGAAGGGAGGAGAGTCTGTAGCAACACCCCTACAATGGGCCGCCCAAAGATGTCATTACTACACCGTCAACCTCCTCCTCCAGCATGGAGCAGACCCTCTCATCACCGATGCCCAGGGCTACAACACCCTCCATATCTCGACTTTTAATGGAAACAACCTCCTTCTCGTTCTACTCCTCCACCAAGGCATCCCCGTCGATGTGCTCGACAGCTACGGACACACGGCCCTCATGTGGTCTGCCTACAAGGGGTTCCCGCAATGCGTCGACCTGTTCCTGCGATGGGGCGCCAGCGTCCACACGACCGACGAGCAAGGCTTTACCGCTCTGCACTGGGCATTAGTCAAGGGTTCGCCGGCGTGTATACAGAAGCTGCTCGAATACGGCGCGGATAGGTTCGCAAAGACGGAAACGGGCAAGACCCCGGCTGTCACGGCAAAGGAACTTAACACGACCGGCGCCTGGCACAGGGCTCTGAAGGAGTGCGGGTACGACGAGGATGCGCAGCCGGTCGAGCCGCATTTCCCCGGTGCGCGCTTCCTCCGCCAGGATAAGAGGGGGTTCGTCACCAAGTTCTTGTTCCTCTGGCCGTTCCTGCTGGTCTGGTCCATGATCACGATATTGGGCAGCATGCCGGTGTATGCGGGCTTGTTCTTTGCGCTGGTGGTTGGGTACAGTCTGCAATGGTGCGCTCAACAAGTCATCGAGTTCGCGCCGCCCGACATGAGGCACTTCCACAAGACGGTGAGTGTTTCTGGTCTTATCCTTGAGACTCGTGCTAATAAGTGTAGCCTTGGTTGGCTGGTATCTTCTCTGGATCTCTATTCTGGGTCGCTGTGAGATGGTTAACTACCATCCTGCCTGGGACTACCGGATCTGCAGCAACTCAGTCGCATTGGTGGTTGAACCTGATCTTGGGTACTCTCCTCGGATTCACGGCCTACTTCTACGCTGCCGCCATGCGTTACGACCCTGGATTCGTGCCCAAGATGAACGGTATCGCCGAGCAAAAAGCCGTCATTGACGAGCTGCTCAAGCTGTGGAAGTTTGACGAGTCCAACTTCTGTGTTACGTGCATGATCCGGACCCCGCTCCGTAGCAAGCACTGCAAGAGATGCGGAAAGTGTGTTGCGAAGCACGACCAGTAAGTTTCCTGTTTTACTACCATGAGGTTCTTTACTGACATACCTAGCCACTGCCCCTGGGTTTACAACTGCGTTGGTGTCAACAACCACCGCCACTTTTTTCTGTACCTCATCAGCTTGACGCTGGGTATCATTGCCTATGACAGCCTGGTCTACTACTGTACGTCCCTTCCAGTCTCCAACAGAGGCCATCATCTAACTTGTCACAGATCTGTCAGACGTCTCCGCCAAGGCATCAGAGAGTTGCAACTTCCTGAGCCCAGGACTTTGCAAGGTTGTCAACGCCGACGGATACACCGCAATCTTGACCGTTTGGGTATCTCTTCAACTCACCTGGGTCGGCATGCTCCTCTTCGTGCAGTTTGTCCAGGTCTCCCGAGCCATGACTACCTACGAAAATATGTTCGGCGTCCAGGACGGATCAGCCACCTCCGCCTTTACCTCGACCGGCACTCCCCTGGACCCGAACCACCCTTCTCTCGCCACCCCCGAGACCCACGGCCACGGCCACGCTCACAAGCACAAGGGCGGCCGCCTGCAACAATGGGCCCGTCTCCTCGGCGTCGACCCCTTCATCGAGACCATCCGCGGCCGCGGCGCCGCCACCCAGAACAAGCGCAGGAAGAAGAACCCCTACTCCAACGGCTGTATGGCCAACTGCCGCGACTTCTGGTGCGACCCGGCTCCCACCTTCGGTCCCCGCGAGAACGGCTCCGCCATGCTCGCCGGCGAACCCATCAACTACGCGGCCATGTACGAGAGCCCGACTCTCATGGACATGAGCAGGGGACGCAGGAGAGCGGGCGGTTACGAGTCCGTCGCGGGCGAGGAGGTGTAATAGAATTGTGTGCTTGGTTTGCGAGTCCGGGGGTTTTAAAGGAGACTATGTTTTTTTTTTCACGGCCACGGAAAACGGTGTTGTTGACTTTTTTTTTGAAGAGCCGAGCAAGTCGGCGAACGACGGAATATGGTGTTCTCGAGAGACAGAGAGGAGGAGGAGGAGGATTGATGATCGAAGAGGAGTACCGATGTTCCCCACGAAAGAAAGCGGCGTAATGGCACTGCTGCATGGCTCGCGAGATGTATTATTGGGTACATGTAGATGTATGACTTTTCTTCCCCTTATTCTTTGCTGTTATTATAGGTGTTCGGGGCTACGGGGACCAGGGGTGTCTTTCAGTTCTGAGTGTCGAGCCTTGGGGACGCGGAGGGGATGAGGCGGGATGTTTAGACTTTAAATATATTGGGCTTCGGCACTTTTCCTTCCTGCTGAGCAAGTCGGCGTCGTGCTACTTTGCTTGATTCCATTTCCAGTATTACCAGCCCTCTCCTATAGGCTGTAGAAAAGTCTAGACATATGCTTAACTCACTTCGTCTGTCTTTGCGAATCTTGATAGCCTTTGTGATGCCTATGGGTGTATGGCTCGCTCCCATGGTACTGGTCGCCATATGGGTGTCAAGCAGCACCTTGAGCACCTCGCCGTTGTTTCGGAAGCCGCTCTGACCAGTGGTATGTCTCCCAATGGTACCCTTGAAGCGATGCATTCTGGGACTGATGAGAGCTGCGCCCCTCTCCGTCAGTAGCTTGCAAACCTCCACGTTGTTGTTGTTGTCCGCCGCGTACTACAACCCGGTACTGTAAAATTCTCTACCATGCGTCTGGTTGATGTCTTTGCCTTGGGTCAAGCATGCCTGGACCGTCTCGACGTCGCCTCGCTTAGCGGCTTGAAGAGGTGGCTCGAGTTTCGACTCTGAAGACCTTTGGCTTCTGGGAACTTCAGCGCGTCTGGTATTTCGGAGTGATATTTAGCGCTATGTTGCTGTGGGATAATCTCTGTTTCGAATCCCACAGTAAATCCGAAACAATTCTTGAATCGGCAGCAGAAGGGCCTTTCGTGGCGATTCATGTGCTTGTCTCTTTCTTCGGTCCTCCCGTATCCCTCTTAAAACCAAAGACACCATGATTTATGGCAATTGGAAGTATTTCCTGGCCCATAGAGATCATCCAGGACACTGAGCTCGAAGTCGTCAAGCCCTCCGAGATGTTCAACCTCCTTACGGATCCGTTTTGTTCGCATTTCAATGCTAAGAACGGATGTTCGAGCTCTTTCGTCTTTTGTAAATTTCTCCATGATTCGGTGCGAGTTGTTGAGAGCTTCCATCTGGGGTTTCGATGTTGGAAATGTTAGCATATTCCGTGACTCATGCTGCCGGCAAGGTCTCCGTCCTGTCAATCTCTTCTCGGAGACCATGGGTGTCTGCACCATCGTCAGATGCACTGCTGAACATTTTCAGATGATTGTATCATTGCTGAACAGCATAATCTTGAAGAGAATAGTACGCATTTCGTTCATGGGAAGCAGTTACATCTGACCGGTTGCTTACAGCGAACAGAGGAGAAGTGAGGACATCGCGAGCTACGAAAAAGACAAAAAGACTCGTATCATGCAACACCTTGAGAAATAACTTTCCACATGACGCGACATAAGTGCAATACCCAGCACTCAACACTATAAGAGTTTATCCCATCAAGTGCTGCGCGACGCCAAAACATTTTCCGTAACAATACCCATCTTTACCCCAGATTCGCTGATTTGAAGATTTTTAATTGGACTAAAAACCCTAGAGGTCTGCGTTAATTGACTCTACCCCGTACGGGGTTTTCTAGAGTGTTGCCGCACTTGAAGGGATGCGTACTCATGGCGTCGCGCAGCACTTAATGAGATAAGCCCATAGACACATGTAAACAGCGAATAGAGGTGTGAGAGATGTTTAGACTTCAAATATACTGCCCTTTGGCAATTCCTACTCGTATTGAACCCGTTGAGCAAGATTCAGAATTAGCGTCAAGGTGATGCTGTGCTTGATATCAGCCCCGTGTCATGTATGGTAATGCGGGCAAGCCCCATGGTCAATGTGGTGGACGCTTGTACGACACAGATGGAGGCATATTACATACGAATCCGTGAAAAGAACTTGAGTCAGATGGAACCATGCCATGCTTTATTCATCTAGGTGTTTCATTCTTCGCTCCCAGGGTCTATCGGGATAGCCATAATGATAGGAAGAACCTTTTGCATCTTCTTTAAATTGGCGATATTGTGTTGCACGTTGTATGATCATTCTCATTGGTATCCCGTAATTTTCAGGCTGCCCCCCACTTCCTCTTATTCCAAACGTCTCTTCTTTAACTCATTGGTCTCCAACTGATCATCTCTTTTCCTCTTTTCTGTGAGATTTGAGCCCGTCGATGAAGAACCCTCTGACTTGGACTTCGCTGCATCATCACTTTCGATGCTTTCATTCACCTCTGTGGTCGCCTTCGTTATAGGTAGATCGATGTCTACGACCCATGGTCGCTGGACAATATCGCCGGCTGCTTTAATCGAGGCGTTGACGAACAATGTCTGTCCTGCACCAACAGGGCTAACCACATGTCCTGGGTGACCTGTGGAACAGTATCCCTGAGAGGCATACTTGTCTAATCGCCTGATTCTGTCTTCTTTTTCCTCGTCTAGTTCGAACTTGCTTCCTCGAAGACGCGCGAGGTCCTCAACAACCATCGACTTTTCGTGATCAATGTCGCTGAAATGTGAGGGGGTGTTGGAAATCTGGGGGCGCCAAGTAGCAAGCTTTGCTCCCCAGCCTGTGTGGGTATGCCCGAAACAGTGCATACGAGGTTGCGTTCTGGCGATGGAGGCAAATAACTCCTCGGAACCAATTCGAGCTCTTGTGGATGACATGTCCAGGATACCGCGCGGTGGGCTGTGAGTGATGGCAATATCTGTTCCGTGCTTAATGTCGAAGATGTGAGTGTCTGCGTACGTGTAGCCCCATGGCTCACTCGATTTTGTGTATGGGCTTGCGTAGACTTGAAGTGAGGCACCGTTCTGAAGATTGAAATGGTGTGTGCCCTCGTCGAGAAATATGATGCCGTCGCGTTTGGCATCTTCAAGTGTTTTCCGAGCCTCGCCGTTTTTGCCGAACTCTCTTTCTACCAACTGGGTTTCGAGAGGCGATCCGTTAATCCGATTTGCTTCTTGAATCTTCTCCTCGAAAGCTACTGGGTCTAGCGAGAAATCGTGATTTCCAGCAATGACGAGTTTGAGAGAAGACTTCAGCTCGCGAAGGACCTGAAGAGTGTCGCAAAACTCAGATAGCTTGGAGTGTTCTGTAAGGTCGCCGCAGTGGATGACAACGTCAAATATCTGAGGTGTAGTCATAGGAGGGAGTGGTTCTCCGTGTGTATCAGAAATAACGAGGAATCGAGTCTTAATGTGAGAAGACATTTTGATATCGTGGGGCGTCTCGATTACGCAGGATGTCATTTGCAACAATTTTCTGAGGCAGGATTAGAGGGGCATGCAATTTCTTATATAGATTTTTCAATACGTAATGGCGACAGGTGATATTTGATTTCTTGAACTCTAATGAATGGGGGCTGCACTCTAATTCATCGTGTAGCATTTATGTCCGCGCTTTTAGTACTGTAGAACCAACCTAAGCCACGTAGATGAGCTATCAACCTGGAAGGTAAAGAAAAGTTTTTTCTTTTAGAAGTTTCAATATTAGATTGAGAATACAATACCTTGGCGACTGCTAGAGGATCGCAGGGACAAGTGTGTTATTTACCTAGATTTACTACGTGTCGAGACTACATGTGTGGGAGGTATTAATGTCCCTTGGGTCCTCTGACTGAGGCAGCAGCAATATGAACTTCCGAGAGTCGATTTGAACTACTCAATCTGCCATAGAGACTTCTCATTTCTTACCTGAGTATTGAAGGCGGAAGGTGTACGCATAAACCATGGAAGGCTGAGTCGGAGTGATACGTTGACGGGAAGTGACTTGCGAATTGGCTAAAGTACAAGAACGGATTGCGGTTTAAAGCTCATAAGCTTGATCTGTATTGCACCTGCTACCTGGTTTCCAAATTTTGGGAGTCCTTGCATGCTTGAGTTCTTGCAGTAATTAAGACATAAGGGGTATGCCTTCCAGCTCAATCCGTAGAGTATAGTATGTATGGCCTTCCAGAGGAAATACCAACTCAAGCGCATGGGTGTCGCACTTCCCGGTACATTGAATTACGAAGCGAAGGAACTGCTGTCTGAGACAGTATTGGTTCGTTTCGTTCCGCTGACTTCAACCGGGTGTTCTCCTCTCTTCAGCATCATCAACGAGACTTTTTGGTACGTCGTCTCTTATCTTCCCCAAACATTTTTATCATTGAAATCTGCATGGCGCCTTTTGCAAGACGATACTAACTTTATTATAGGCTCCAGACATAGCTGCATTCTCCAAATCGACAGCCTTTTTAAGGTAAATCACTATCTTGCTGTAAGTTTTCCTCGTTCATTATCTCACTTCTACCTGACCTTGAAGCCTCTGATTCCAATATTTACCTTGATGTTTGATCATAGCTAATCAAGTATCAAGATTGTCAAAATTCAAATTCTCGTTTCCTCAACTACACCGCAAACATGCCGATCAAGCGAACAATCTCTGCACCGATGCGTGCTGCTCTCCTTACCTGCTTCCAAGAAGCCGCCAATCTGGTTCGCCCATCTTTGAGGCAGCAATTCGTCTTGGTAGGCGGTGCGGCGAGCATAGCTCATTCTTCAACTTGGCATACCGAGGATGTAGATGTTGCAGCCCCATCAGACGCCATAATCGATATCTAGGAGGCCGCGCAAGAACGAAGATCGGGTCTCACGATTGAGGCAGATGGCAAGATTGCTTTTGACGCACCACAAGGTTTCCGAGTCCGTATGGACCTTTTGGAAATTGGAAATGGTGCTGTTGAGCACATTTACGCGACCGAACCTTTGTCAGGAGCATCGCTGGCTTCAAGGTCGGACCTTGTGCGCCTAAGGGCAAAAACCGTTGTTGAACGAGGCAGCGAGGGCGAAATCGAGGATCTCCGATGGCTGGTAGCGGCAACGGCCAAGAATGGCGAGCAGATTCCCATTCTCGATCAGGAGGAGATTGAGAATGTGGTTGGTGCTTCGGCGTCATTGAAAATTGCCGACCAGCTTTTACTTGTGGCAGTTTTGGGTGCTTACAACGAAGCCATGGCGTTGCGGATTTTGGGAATTTGAGTTTGCGTTCCTCACCCTTCACCAAACTTCTTCTTTCTCTATTCTTATTTTGCTTTAATAAATTGAATCAAGTTCTGCCGTCCCCTCATTGAGGGTGTAAAGGACCGGCCTCGCAATACTTCTTCTCTATCTGATTTGCTGCGTTTCTTATTTGATAAATTGTATTATTTAGCGTCCGCCTCCTCCGAAAGTCATCACCGCTGCCGATGATGGACCCCTGTCTCGACTTGAACAGATATCTCTTGGGTTCTCATGATGATATGCTTTTGACTGTTGTCGTCATCATCGAGTTGCAGCCAATTATCCTGATTTCCAGTCTGACAGTTGGAAACCGTCATGGCTCTTCCGCCGAGATTATTCAGCTTTACCCCGTTGCTGCCATGGTATACAGTGCCACCTCTCAAATCATTCGATCCGGTATTGTTATACGAGCCCTTTGAAGACTTGTCGAGCCAGAATTTGAGGAGTCGGCGAAGGGAAGGTAATGAGCCCGCGATGATGCCGATACCGCATTCGAAGATCGACCATAGGACAATGTTGGCAATGTTATCTACAATGGAATTCTGATTAGTCTTCTCTTCAAGTCCAGTGTCTGTTCAGAATTCGTCTTACGAAGATAGTCGTTGACTTGATTATAGTATTGCAGATACGGTAATCGGATAATCGTGGCTGCTGATGCTCTGCATATCCCACGATGTCAGCACATCATTCATGACAAGTGATGCTTGCAAGAATCTCTGAGGAACTTACACAGCTCCCAGAGCCAAGACGGCACACACCGAGGCCTTCACTCTCGACTTCATCTGCAAACCCCACACCACAAAGGTCGGCACGATGGCGCATGTCCAGTCGGTGATAATCGCCAAGACGGATATCATGTAGCTGATGCTAGTGATGATATTGCTAGGCGCACATACCCCATCTTGAGACTTGTCCCAAGTAAAGCTGATAGGTCGACAGACAGCGACGACCGCAATGAAGCCGACGGTAGTGCTAAGAACAGACGCGATCATGACGCTCCAAAGGATGAATCGGTATCTTCTTCGATTCGTGATCCGGAAGACGGTGAAGCAGATGCTGGACTTGATGAAGGGGAGGCTCCAGGCGTAGGTAATCTGGAAGAAGACGAGCCACTAAAAGACGGAGTCAGCGAAAGTTGTTCCAGCGAGCGTGGCGACGATGTAGGCTACTCACTTTGACACCTGCTACAGAATTCCATTCTTTCAGACGGGCATCTGCGGTGCCCATGCCCGCATATACGGCGATGGAAGTGCAAGTGCAGCAAGCCAAAAAAAGTGCCTTGAATCGTAATGTGAGTTCTTGCTCGGACATGAATGGGGGAAGGGTTCCTTTCTCAGGACTGAGGACTCACCAAACCGACAATCATCAAATAGTCGTCCAAACCAAGGGCATGTGTACTTTGACGCGCCCAAACACGCAGAAAGACAACAACCAGAGAGACTGCCCCAAGACAGATGGTTACACCCAGCGTAGCCACACCGAGGGGGTCTGGCTGGGTGATCCAGTTCACCTCCATTTCGTCGAACGGCTTCGCAGCCATCTTGTCATCGAGATGAAGTCAAACGGCGTGCTGACTTGGTAGGAAAGGAGTGTCAAGGAGCAGAGCTTGAGTGCGACAATTCGCTAGCCATCACTGGTTCAGACCCAGATATACTCAGAGAAAGGGGAACCGAACTGCAAGAGTTGGTGAGTTTCCTCCAAGATCACCGTGTCAGAGGAAATGGCTGGAAATCTGATCGACACGGAATCCTCGCAAAGTTCCAACAAGAAGGCTTTACTTCCAGGAGTCGTTCCCGAGCAGGCCTCATACTCGTCAACCTTGGCGATATCAGTTGCCCCATTCATTCCATGACGCAATCCCTGTTGGCTGGCAGAGATCAATTCCGCCTCCCCTTAGCAGGAAAAGGTCCATGAAATTATGTACCGTCGTTCTGGGCATTTCAGGGGAGCCTTGAAGGGTTTCTGCTCTAGGTACTCGGTACGAGCCTTCATATATGATATCTCCTGGTGAGTCAGGCGGCCCACTGCCAGGGAGGCATTTCAAAGTTCGTCTAGGGTGTGACATCTGGCAGCGGCTCTCTTGATCCAAGGCGTTGGTAAATCAAAATCCATCCGGCGGGTACCTGGCAGAAGAAGCATACCTAGCGTCAATGCAAAAGTTCGTTGGAGGTTGCGGTTGGCATGTACCCCTGGGACCAATCTTCCTACGATCTGCAGGCCATATTTAGATAGGATGGCAAGCTAGACAGTGTCGGTGAAGAACATGAAAGAATCAAGTTCAAACCCCGAATACAAGGACCTATGAGACAAATTGACGAGCGGTTGTGGATGGCCCTTTTGAGGATCCACGAATCTAGACTGGACCCGACAGTGTCGCTCACAACCTGGATCATGGCAAACATGCATGGAGGCAACCCCGAAGTGGATGGCCAGGACAGTAGGCTTGTCCCAAGATCTGTTGTGAGCTAGGTTGTGCAACCCCATCGTACGGATTATCCAGGGAACGTCCCACATCTGGGAGCAGGGCCGAGAACAACGAGGAGGAGGCGACGACGTCCACATCTCGTTCAAGTGAGACATCGATCAGTTCCGTAACATAACTTGAATTATTAACTCCATGGTAGTCCGAGAAGAAAATTCCTGCAGGCAATGCCGAATATCCATTTCTGTGCATCAAATGTATGCTACTCGACTTGCAAGTGACTAGACGAAAGATTTGCGGCAGTGTAATGACTGACACCAGCTTCAATGGCAGTTCCCAACGGCACGACGAAGACTAAAGTGATGGTTCGGGCTTTGCCCGTGTTGGAATCGTCGTCGCCTACGGGTTGGTTCTTCATGTTGGATCGTTGGATTCCAAACCATACCCCGGCAACCAGGTTCAAGGACACCCACTTCACCCTTGCATACAGTTGCAACGGCTGGGTTCTGCGCCAACGAGACAACTTACGTACCAACAAGACAACAAGGGCGAGCACACAACTGGTTGCATGCCCAATTTGGAGATGAAGATATTCCTCAGCAACCCAGCTCACCGGGTATGAGGTAAGAGGCGTTATGTGACCGGCAAGTGACAGTTCTCTCGGAGTATTTGAGAAAAATGACAGCTTTCCGGAAGGTCACTCTCACCTGGGCAGTATTCTTCTGTTTTGGGACACACAAGACAGAAATCTGCATTGACGCCGGTTTTCTCGATCTGCTTGAACTTCTCGTGAGGAATCTCGCTCAAATGTGTCGCGTATGCCGCGTACCTCGCACCAACAGCGTCACATCCACGATCCTCACGCCTGTGCGGTCGGAGACAGCGGGCCCGCCCGTACAGCGCCGATCTCCTGGGCGAGCTATCCCTACCCAGAAGGAGGCCGACGGAGAGGGCACCAACAGACAAACATTTCGCAGGCCTGGCTCTCAGGGATTGGGGCATGCCGGGTGCCTCTCCCGCCGCTCCAACAAGACGGAGTGACGAGATGAAACTCGGCTATTGGGTGACAAGATTACCCTGCAGATTAGATGACTTTTTGACGAGATGTCGTTGGTCCAGCGAGGCGGGGCAGTTGACAGCGCAAGTGCGGAGATGGAGGCCGTCTCCGGTGGACCTGAGATGTTTCCGTATTCGAGTCTGCTGGGGTCTCGTACGGATTTCTTCCCCGAGGACTCGATGGCCAGGGGCCCGGTCAAGTATCCAATCCTTACACCAACGACGACCTATTGAGTGGACAGCTAGACGAGCAGCATGTGTTCCAACAGGAAGTTAGTCACGAATGTGAACAGGTTTGGACTTGTTACATAGTGAACAGAGCACGTGGGCAAAGTCGCAACAGCAGAATGAATCGATGACATCTTGTGCGTAAAATCAACAGCTTCACAGCTAGGCCTATGCTCTATTGTACAAGGGAAATCCCAAATCCTTGGCTCTACTCCTCATGCGGGGCACGCAGCGTGCCAACGCAGTCATCCTTCCGGGTCACAAAGATACCTTCACGAACTTCGCCTTCAAGTCCTCCCAGAGCACCAGTGGTGTAGAAGCCAAGCATTCGCTTGATCCTGTCAGACAGCTTTGCCTCAACATCCTTGCGCAGAGACAAGAAGTTGTTCTCTTGCTGGCGGATGAAAGAGCGCATGAAAAACATCAGAATGACAGGGCGCTCGCCAGACTCCTCGCGGTTGGGGCCCGTGGCGTGCCATAGACGGCTGTCGAAGACAAGGGCGCTTCCAGCCGGGGCAGCAGCGGCGATGGTGCCGTCGACAGTGAAGAGATCGTCAGGGGCGATCTGGCCGAGGTGAGAGGCCGGGAAAACACGGGTGCCTCCGTTCTTCTCGGTGACGTCCTCGAAGTACCACATGATGTTCAGACCAAAGGCCATGTCGCGGACGGGAGGCTGGATGGCGACCTGGTCGGTGTGAAGCTGCATGGGAACGTTGCCGGGACGGGCGATGTTGGCGCTGTAGCTGTGGATGAGGGCGTGCTCGCCCAGGAACCAGGGAACGATCTCGTCGATCAGGGGGTGGTTGAGAAGGTCGAGGAATTCCTCGCCCTTGTTGACGAGGGTCCAGAGACGCTGGTTGGGGGCGTTGGGACCGCCGTCGGCTGCGGACACGCCGGCCTTGCGCTCGCCGGCTGCCTGCTCCTGGGTAGCCTTCTTCAGGATGGCGGCTTGCTCGGGGGTGAGGGCGTTCTTGACCAGGCCGTAGCCGAACTCCTTGACGTCGCGCTTGACTTGCTCGATGTCTTCCGTGGGCTCTGGCAGACGGTCGAAAGCGCCGGGGACAACCTTCCTGGGCGGAACGGGAGGGTTGGGAGTAAGCAGGTCCGCAAACTTGATGGCGACCGGGACATTGCCCTTGGGCATAGCGGCTTCGTGGAAGAAGGCATCCTTGAACAGGCCATACCGCGGCTCGAGCTTGCCCTCGTAGAACTGAGAGATATACTCGGGCTTGATGTTGATCTTGGTGTCGGGCTCGTCAGTGGACGAGTCGAGAAGCTTGGCTTCGGGGCCACGGGCGTCGAGGAAGACAGGAGGACGATCGCCAAAGGTCAGAGAAACCAGAGCGTTCAGCTGGCCCAAGACGGGCAGCTTCTCCTTGATGACCTCATGCGCGCGGGTAACGTTGGCTTCGATCTTGTCGCTGAGGTTGCTGTAGGACTGCTTGCTGAAGTCCAGCCCAGGGGTGAAGGTCTTTCCAGGTGCGACGCCGGCCATATTGATGTTGTATAAGTCAAATAACAGATGAATGGGTATCAAAATGAATGGAAAATGCAATGACAGTCGAGAGCTGATGTGAACGAGGACGGAGGTTGCGCTGTGAGCTGGATTTTGTACGTCGATAAAGGTCGGCCACAGGCAGAGGCCATTGGATGAGGTCGAGTCCGCGCAATTGCCGCTCACATCTCATTGACGAGGTCGAGCTGCGAGGAGACCCTGCAATGATACGGGCCCTCCCACGTCTCCTCCAATTGTCGGTGGGTCGTGCTAATGAGGGGTCAGGCTGCATCCTGCGTATTTTCTGTTGGTGCTTGAGGTGCTGTTGGTTCAACGGTCGCCGCTTGCTCCGGGGTCGTGGTCGAGGTATCAGTCTCGACGGAGCCGTCGACCCCGGCAGCCGGAGATGCGCTTGGCCGCGGGCTACCCTGGCTGTTGTGCGCGGATGAGTCCTCCGCACCGGCAGCGGGTCTTGCGTCCTCCGTTACATTGGGACTGCCTTCGGGTAGCCTGCGACGAGGTGCCACGTTGGTTGCAGTTGGCGGTACGGGCAAAGCTTCTGTCGTTGGGCTAGGTTGAGTCGACAAGCCCGGTTGAGTTGGTGCCTGTTGCTGGGTTTCCACAAAGGACGGGATCGACGGCTCACGTCCGGTCGCTGGACTCTCCTCGCTTGCCCGTTCCACCGGAGTCGACGACTGGGTTTCGGTAGGAGCTGCCGTCTCAACTGGGGCTGGAGCGGGCGCATCTGGTTGGTTTCTGTCGACGAGGTTTCCCGACGCATCACGCTTGCGACGCGTCCTCCTGCCCTTCAGCGAAGGATCAAAGATGGTATCCTTGTTCTTGTACCAGTTGTGGATGGAGCCGTAGGGAATCTTGAACCATTCAGAGGCCTCATCCAGGGTCGGACGACGAAATTCGCCCTCCAGGCGTTCCTCTCCGCCGCGGATACGAATAGGCTGGCCTTCGCGATTCTTGACTCTGTGGTGCTCCAAGAACATGAGCACCTCGCGCTTCTTCTCGATGGTGTATCGACGCTCATTTCTCGAAACTGACTTGGGAGCGACGTAGGGCTTGGGTTTGGGCTTTGGGCCGCGCCTTTTCTTAGCGGGCTGACCATCGCCAACCGCCTGGACCGGAGGCGGAACAAGGACGACAGGAGGCTGCTTTGAACTCATGATGGTTGGGGGTGAAGATTCGCAAGGATGAACCTGAGCAGAATTACGGTGTTGAAAGTGGGAAAGGGAGGTGCGGGTTTACCGCCTGCTTGAAGAGGGATGGCGTGTGAGGATTTTGCCACGTTTCGCAATTTCGTTAATTTTTCCGAGTTCGAAAAGAAAAATACAATTCCTTCCTCCCGTGGCTCGGCTGTGGAGTCTTGACATGGGTTCGTCTTGACTCAAGCAGCTCAACAACAACATGAAATCAATGACCTGAAGGCGAGCAAACAGCCAAGACTCAGGGTAGGCATGGCCGGCATCTTGGAGCTTCACTGGCCATGGATCAAGATAACGACTTGAAGGCTCATTTAGAAATAACAACATGTAATATGAACCACGCCAGTAAGAACTCACTACCTCGAACATCCAAGACCAGTGGTTTACAGAATCCACTCTTTTCTGCCATCTCCAACTCATCAACTTGCTTTGCTGTTTGCAATGTCACCAACATCGCTTAAGACCTACACGTTGCCAAGCAGCGCGGTAAGTCCCTTTCAGACTTACAGGCCTCTCTCGGCGACTAGATCTCTCACATACTTGACCAACAACGCCCCAACCTGTCTCGCGATCAGCTGGTCACCCTGGTCGTTCGGGTGAACGCCATCCCGAAGCATCGCAGTCGTGTAGCCAGCATTGGTTGAGCAGTCGGCAATCAGTATCGGGGATTGAGTCGAGTTCTGCTGAGCAGCCCACCCCGGAATCTGCTGGTTGAGCGTGGTGATGCCGCCGCCGTTGAAAGAGAGTGGGATCAGGAGGTCCACCTGGCCGTCCATGTTAGTCAGTCCATGGTATTCACTCTCTTGAAGAGGATGATACTGACCAGAATCTTCATCTTTGAGTTGGAAGCTCTCATAAGTGACACCATATTCGTGTACGAGGCAATGATATCGTTCGTGGTGCGTCCCTGAGCCACGTCGTTCGTGCCAAGCATGTACTGCACGATGTCGGGCTTGGTGCTGGCCAACCAGCCTTGAAGATACTGATTCGCGATGTTGATCGACAACCAGCCGGAATGTCCCTCATGATGGAGATCGAAAGAACCCGACTGAGCTCGGCAGTTTTGAGGGTTGTTGGTCATGGATCCCACAAACTGCACTTTGTCGGCCAGGTTCTCCTTGACCAGCATGTCCCAAACCAACGCTCGCCAACATGTGATCTCCGTGATCGAGTCGCCTAGTGGCACTGCGAAAGCGTTAGCTGGATGATTCGAGTGCCATGAGTTCAATGGTAGTCACTGATTTTGATCTTCGCTTGCGCAACAACGCTGCTTACAAGAGCGGCAACCGTCAGGAACTTGAAGAGTTGCATGTTGACTCGGCTGGTCTATTGTATGGTAAAAGAGAAGCGTGATACCTTAACTTTGAAACCTTTTAGAGCAATAAAAGCTCGCATGCAAGAGTGAGTTGCCATATTTATACAATGAGATGCGGACTTCGCTGTACTGTGAGTGGCCCTTAGTGTCGCTTCACCAAATCCCAGGTGAGTTTAGCCTTACACTGCCTCTGTGTAGAGAGCTGGACAATCCATCACCACGCAGTATCCAAGGCAGTTGCTTGGATACCGGGTAAATATGGATATATGCCCGCAGGATCACTTATACTGCCAAATCGAGACCGGCGACTTGGAGACAGAGCGGCCACACCCCGCATCATTGATGAACTGCCACACTAAATGGTCTTCCTTTACCCCGGAGTTGCACCAATTACTTAACTTCAGAAATAGTCAACAAGACAACAGCGGACTGATCCGTCCAGTCGGAGAAAACCAGAAGGCTCTGCAGATGTGCCGTCATCTAAGCTCGGCACCCTGCCGAAGATAATATGACGCTCATTATCTTGGAATATCTAGTGCGCCGAAAGATTGGACGCTGTTATGAATGGCACGTCTATGGAATCAGTAAGCAATGGTTGACACCGGTCGTGTTGAAATTTACCAATATAGTATACTGTAAGCCTATGGTTGAGATATCTTTTCTATTGGAAACTGGAAAGTTGGGTATCAAGAAATTATCACTCCGGTCCTTTTTCTCAATTACAGTACGTAGCATTTCGAGCCTTGAACTTTGCCTTCCTCGAGCACTGCACTCCAGCTTGTTTGTTGAGCCACCATCTTCGATGAAACATGCCATTGTATCGATGACATAGCACGAGGATCTCAACGGCCGATGAAATGCCTCTCAGCGTACCGCAATGGCACGTACAGGAGAGCACTCAAGAAGAAAGCGATTTCGAACCCAATATCACCAGTGCTGACCGCAATAGGACCCGTGAACCAAACTTGCGAGATGCATGGAACAACAAGTCCAAAGCTCAACACAGCAGCACCGATGGCTGCAACGCCCCACGGTAGCTTCGAAGGGGTGTCCCAGATCTCCACGTCGTACGCCTTCGGGTTCGCACGACGAAACACGAAGTGCTCAGTCACAACAATCCCAACGAAAGACGCAGACCAGTAGCCGATGAGCGCGATGAAGTTCTCGAGGCTGAGGAAGAAGTCGTGGGCCGCCTTGACGGCGATCGGAATGATGATAGCCGTGACCACGATGGAGAAGATGTAGCGCGGGATCCTGAAGGTGGGGATCAAGGTCTGGAAGTTGAGAGTGATGGCGTACATCGTTCCGGAGATGTTGGCGAGGAGGGTGAAGGCCAGCAGGACGAGGATGAACTTGCCGAAGCCCCCGGCAGGAGCCAGCATCGCTCCGAGGACACCGCCGACGAGGGTGTTGTCGAAGCCAGCCTGCCACTCGGGGATGTTGCCCATCGCGCCGCCGATGGCTGCTCCCAAGGTCATGAGCAGAATGGTAGGAACGACGAGGCCGAGAAAGCTGTATGCGAAGATGCGGTAACTATCATGGTTTAGTCAGGTACTTGGGGGAGATCTGATGGGATTCGTGCGACTTACGATGCAAGACGCGGGGTCGGGTCGAAGTAGGTCGTCAAGTCGGATGCGATGCAAGCCCAGGGAATCATGTATGAAGCAATGACGCCCCCAAAGCTAAGGACCTGAGATGCTGTCGCAGGCTCCGTGACGGCCTGGTCCTTGAGCTGGTTACCACCACATCCAACAGCAATAATGATGGCGACGAGTGCAGGCATCCAAGCATAGCCTTCGTAGAAGTGAAGAACGTTGAATCCGCAGAAGGAGATCAGCAGCGCCGCCACTCCGATGAGAACGATTCCGACAGCGGTCGAGAGATCTCCTTCTGAGACTGCGGAAAGGCATTGGCCGCCGATAACGCAGATGATGACGCAAAATCCGGTAAGAGTAGCCAAGTTGAGAATCACGGGAATTGAGACGATGTAGTACCTGGACGCGAACCATCAGTCATTGAATCTGTTATCGGCATGGGCGCCGACGTGAGTACTCACCCAAAGCTGAAGCGAGCCTGGATCATCTGGCGCATACCAGTCTTGGGACCCAAAGTCGACAAGAAGGCCGGTGCAAGTGTCGAGAGCAGGTTGAAGAACAAAATGACCAGGGCCGAGTCTCGTAGGCTGAGGCCGAAGGAGACCGGACCCAGCATGCCGAAGGTGATTCTACATCGAGACGTCAGCCACATGCGCAAAGACACTGGAGTGAAAACGCCAGCAGAATGAACCTACGCCAGGATGTTGGTATTGATAGAGCACCAAATGGTAAAGGCGTTGAAGTACTTGGTCGCGGTCCGGGCCTCGATCGGGATCGGCTGGATTCCGCCCTCCTCGACCCGCCCGGCCGTCAAGACGGTGCGGAGAATGCTCTTCGCATTTCGGCCGGCCGCCGGGGGCTGCTCAGCGGTGGCGGAGCTCTCAGTCGCCTGCTTGTCGTGGACCGGCTCGCCGCGCTGGGTCTCCAAGTCGTCGGCCATGGTTGCACGCTTTCAGCTGAGACCCCCTTGGAACGTTTTCGCGGGAAAAGGTTTGCAAAGCCGGCGGTCAAGTCAACTTTGCAAGAACTTTGAGTTGCGAGACCGGGGGAAGAGGCGACACAAGTGACTCAAATTAGCCGATTGTGAAAATGAAAATTTGCTCCGCCGGGTGCACCCGAGTGTTACATAATTATCATATCGAGAGCCAGGTTAGTCACTTATTGACTAATGGCGTTCCATGCCCGTAAATCCAATTTTTGCGGGATTTTAGCGGCGCGGATTGGGCGATCTCGGTGGCGGACGGGGCCGTTTTTGCTCGCTTCCGGCGATAAGCAGGGGGTTGACAAAGAAGGTTTGATTGCCTCACGGGGTTCTCGAACGAGAACGTTTCCAACAGATAAAGATTCGGGATCTAGACAGTTTACAAAGGCGTGAAAGGATGTCGCCACGCTCGTTAGCCTTGAACGTCATTTCTTTCATCAGTTTGGGTCGGGGTAGAAGTCTTCCGGAAAGCTAGCGCAGAAACAGTTGAGTCTAGAAGCATGAGTTCAAAGTTTGAGTTGAACCCTCGATTACAACGCTCATGAACAATAGCTGATAATACTGAATTCTCACTGCGCAATCAACCAGATAATATCTTCATGTATACCACTCTCAACTGGCCGTCAATGCCATTTCTTGAACACTCGAATCCCGGAATATGATAGACTTGACTATGCAGTGCCTATTTCAGGTGTTAGTGGTGTGAAAGTGGGTAGGTGGTGAGGATGTGGTAAGACTAACAGGCACTCTTGCAGCATTTAGCCACCTCAATACCCTTGGTGCCTGTTGTTATGCACTCTGTTTGGCATGGAAGTTCTTCGGAAGTTTGACAACTGAATCCGGAGGTGAAGCCTTGAGAGACGGCGGAAGAGTTGGACTCGCATAGGCCGGCTGCCGCTTTGCAACGAGCTGTTACACTCAAGGCCATCGATGCGAAAGTAACCAGAAGGCCTAGCCTCATGATGAACGAGTAGATTCAGTCCTGCCCAAATGATGATCATGAATAGAAAAATAGGAAAGTTAAGAGTTGTGTAGTTGAATGAAGCAAAGGCAGAAGGGATCTCCGGCGTACTTATGTTGCTTCAGTGAATGTTTCATGGACCCGATGCCAAGACTCGAATTCGAAGTCGAGGGTGAGACAACAGGCCACCTCTTCGCTTCAATGTGCATCCTCTGGCATCCTGCGGTTCTTTGATTTGAAATCTTGCTGGCTATGACATTTCAAAACGCGCGATGTGGCTCTATGAACATTATTCTTTCGCTTCTCAGATACATGAAGGACAAAGAGATTTCCAAGTAATATTATGAAAAAATCGTTCTTGTTTACGGAAGTTCGTCAACCAACTGAGAGGATGGGTGTAGAATGTCTATTTTTATGATGGCCCGTGTGTCATGCGTTGAAAGCTGGAGCTAGGACATGGATACCAGATGACACCAGTCTGGTGAGAGCCTGACTAGACATCACAGGCGCTTACACTCAGCTGTTTCAACACGTGGATTTCATTATCAAATGTCACGTATGAACATCTCCATACCATGGCTAATTCATGGGCCTTATCCGATCAAGATCAATTGGAAGCACGCCAACTAAGCAAGCACTGGAACCTTCATGGAGTGTCGGGAATCAGTCGCCCGATATGCAACCTTTTCTATTCGCCCAAGATCTATATCTATATGTCATATGCCAAATACGTAAGAAATCCGCCCAGTATGTAGGGTTCGCCCTCTATTCATCACTCGTTCAAACTCCAAAGTTGGGTATCTATGAGCTCTCAAACTTGTTCAAGATGCTCTCAAAGTCCTTCCAGTCGTGCATAACATCAAAAGCGCCGAGCTCCTCGGAGAAGAGCTTCTCGTGAGCCTTCACCTTGGCCTCGGGGTCCTCCTCGTCGTAGTAGGGGCCGACGTAGCCCAGAAGGGGAATACCGGCGTTCTTCGCAGCGGTAGCACCACTCCTGCTGTCCTCAATGGCGATGCACTCGCTGGGCTTGAAGCCGAGAACCCTGCAGGCGTGGAGGTAGATGGCAGGGTTGGGCTTGGAGGTAGGGGGGTCGATGCTGCTGGCGGCGGAGAAGATGCCCTCGTTGGGCTTGCCGAAGTAGTGGTCGATCTTGATGGTCTCGATGGAGGCGACGACGCGGGGCATGGCGGAGGAGGAGACGATGGCCTTCGCGTACTTGCCCTCCTTCTCGATCTTCTCAAGGACGGGGATGACGTTCTTGCAGGGCTCGGCCTGCTTGCGCAGGTAGGAGATGGTGAGCTCGAGCTCGCGGGCGACGTAGGTGTCGAGCTCCTCGTCGGGCATGGTGAAGTTGTGGACTTCGAAGAGGCCGGCCATCATGCTGCGGAAGTTGCGGCCGACGTACTTGTGCATGAGCTCGACGCCCTGGTAGCGCTTCTCGATGGCATACTTCTCGAGGATCTCGTTGGCGAGCTGGGCGCAGGCGGTGAAGGCCGAGATCTCGGACAGCACGAGCGTGTTGTCGCAGTCGAAAAGGATACACTTGACCTGTGGTCGAAGGTGTCAGTATGCCGTTCGCCAGTCTCAATCGGCTCAGGGCGAGTTCTGGATTACTTACTTGAGGCATCTTGAAGGTTTGGCGGTGAGCAGCTATGAAATCTGGGAGAAAGGAATGCTGAGGGAAAAGGAGGGAAAAGTCGCGACTTGTTGATTCTCAGAGACAGATTTGTAGTGATCGGCGGCCTGTGACTTGGTGGGGTGGAAATCAACAGGAACCATGCGGATGGAGGGGCAATGGAGGGGCAAGTGGATGCCGAAAAAAGAGCGCAGGCAGGTTTCAAGAAGACTGCATCTCATCCGTCTCCCTCAACAGCGAGTCAACAATGGTCAAGGCGGCGAGTGAAGTGGCAAGCGAATGGTCATAGCTAGAGTTGCACCACGAATGTTTGTTGAATATTCATTAACTAGCGAAGGAGACTCTCCATGAAAGCTTCCGTAGACACCAAGCCGTATCAAGATTGAGAATCTCCTCTGAGAATCACCTTCAGGAACCATGGCTGACGGACGAGATAACAACAGATTTCAGTCTCCGCACATTCGATGAAGTAACCAACGAGAAGCTCGCAATTGAGCGGCTGAAACCTTTTCGTCAGCACGTCCTGCAGGGAAATGATGTCATCGGTATCTCTCGCAATGGGCGGCTCTTATCCCTACACGTGTAGAAAAAGCCCGCGTCCAACAATGCGCCGCCAAGGCCCACCAGTCGCCAGGAGCCGACTTAATGTGCTGGGTTCAACGCAGCTGAAGGGTTCTGATGACGTATTGCGCAGGCAGGTTTGTCTGAAGTGGATATAAATTGGATGCTCGCTTGACTCGCGCCCTTTTTCTTGACTCTGCAACTCGGTGGTTGGCCCGAGTGCGGACCGATTGTGGGTACGACACCGGCGGCTTTCGCGGCTTTGAAAATTCGGCACGGTAGTTGCGGATGCCGGTGAGTAGGTGAAGGCCGACCTAGGTTGCGGTGAGTCTCGGTAGTCACTGCACAGATTCCAATGTTATCCTGTTGTATTCGTATTGCCCCATAAGTCAGCTGTCCCGCTCTGGAGGAATGCGTCCAGACTACCTGCGCCAACAGTAACCTACGTCGCAGATAAAATGTTAATAGAATTCCTGAAGTAGACAACTCAAGCTGACTTACAAGAGAATCAAATTGGCCCCAGTCAGTTATGTTGAAGAAATCGTGATCCAGAGCGTTCACTGTGGCTGCAGACATGCCCTGGCTATCCTGTTCTCTCGTACGAGTGGTATTGTCATCTTGGACTTCGCCCCTCTGATTGTCTGTACCGGTGTAATTCGAGGTTCTACTTGTGGCATTGGCTCGTTCTAGACTTGCACCATTTGTGGACACCGGGCCCCCAGCCTGAACGGGTGATGTTGAAGAAAGATAATCATTGTGTCTGAGAACTTCCATGCGCAGTTCCTGCAAGACGACGCCGTACCGCTGCATCAACGAACCTTTGACAGCTTTGGTTTCGATTTGAGCGTGGCATTTTGAAGCCAACCGAAAGCACCTTACATATGTCTCTGGAGATTCGGCCCGTTGTTGTATTGAGAACACGTACAATATGACAACAGCACTGAAACCGTAGTATGGAATGAACTATCCAAAATGCAACATTAGTTCTCAGACTTGTTGCCAGATGAGTGAATGGTCGACCTACGAAAAGAGTGCTGTAAAATTCCCCAGCCGCCTCAATTTGGTCAATGTGTTCCGCTATGTTGATAGCCGCATCGATGCATGTGTTGATGTTGTTTTGCATTTCTTGCTTTTTGGAGGACAGTGAAGACTCTGCACCAGCAGAATCACCGATGAAAGTCGTGAACGTTTTCAGAAGGAACGGCCGGTGAACAAGGATTTGAGCGTGCCAAAAAGCAAGTTTGAGGACGTCACGTTGTCGTAAGACCAGCTTCACGAAAATAGCGGAACTCCCACCCGTATCGAGGAGATATGATATATCCTCTCGCCATTCTTTCAAGTCTTGATTGAACTTTGAGGCCAGTGTAAAGTGTTCTTCGGTCGATGGAGGACGAATGCCATACATAGAACGGAGAATCCGGGCAAGTATCCGAGACAATCTGCACCCATGAGTTAGCGAAGCTAAGATTGGTAAGAAGGCTAGGGGAAATCTTGACAGGCAACTAAGACATGAAGAAAACTCGTACTTGACTTGAGCTACCGTTGCTGAGTTGATAGATGGCCCATACACCACCGGTTGCGGCGATGGTCCGAGTTGCAATTGCTCATCGTCCACACAAAGGGGCAACTCTTGGTCGATATCCTCGTCATGGAAAGTCATAGGCCGTCCCAATGCAGCGCTGAGATAGGTGTTCAGGTTATAACAGCACCAGAAAGCTCTTTTCCGACACTCTAAGTCAATATGATCCCCACGACCTGCAGTCTTCGGATCAACGCGGCATTTTCTATGTAGACCTAGGGCAATGGCAAGATGCGCTGTGACTCCAAAAAGGGTCCAACAGTGATTGAGTCGAGATTGCGCTAGAAGATAGAAGCACTGTGCGAGGCGAGCTTGGATATGTGACAACCGAACTTCACCCTTCTCCATGGAGAGTTGGTGCTCGGCAACAGCGAAGAACCGGGCGCTGACCTCGGACGATTCCGCTATTGTGTCCTTGCTATCCGAAGCCAGGCGGCTATGAAAGTTGTTCGAATGCGCAAACACCATGAATAGCAGCGCGGTCCGACTGCGAGCAGACTCTTTGTACAACATGGCCCCATTCGTTTCGTAGAGCTCCTCTATCCAGGCTTCGACGGATGGCCGATGCAAGAAACGGTGTGTTGCTGCTGCGAAATCGAAGTACCTCCTCACCATAGCCTCAGCCAGAGGCTTCGGTGGTAAGATTGCGAATGAGGAGTCATGTCCTGGCAATGGTCGATCGCCAAAGTTGAAGACGGAAGAGTTGAAGTATCCTGGAGATTGGACCTGCAACTTTCTTTGTATCCTCAACAGAAAGGTGACTCCAGATGCCGGGCCGACATAGTGCCCTTGCTCATCGGTCTGTGATGGCTCCGGCGAGTTACGTGTTGAAGCGAGACGTTCCGAGGTCGTTCGACCTCGCGCTTCTACCTGGTTCTGGCCACTGCGAGGTGGAAGCTCGGCCAGTGAAATCCCTGGCGGTTTTGAAGCCGAATGATTAGGCTGACTTATAGTGAGATCACTTGTAGCTTGTTGCGAAGGAGTTGTTGTGATGAAAGATTCTCGTCGTTCGCGACTATGACTCCCTTGATCCCAGGTGGCCTCAGTATGTGCAGGTGAACGCGACTGTCCAGCCAAGTCTGTCTGATCAAAGCTTACGGTGTCGCCATCGACTGCAGGAAGAAGTTGGCCCCGCCTATACCCAGCCGTGAACTGACAGTCAAGCTGAAGGTGGGTGCAGAAGATGCATGGCCAAGTTCCCGAACATCGTGTCTTGCGTCTGAAGCCCCCATCGTCAGCTAATGTCTATGATGGGTTGCACCGAGAGTACTTACGCTTTGCAACGATCACACGCCCTACTCACTCGGGGCCGTATGGGATCATCCCTCGGCCGCTTAGACGGCCGATCATGTTCCGGAGCATCGGATGCTCGTCGATTTCGGGAGATGGATGTGGTTGATGTCTCATCCATTGCTTCCTCGGATGGAGTGCCTGAGTGGCTTGGCATTTTACGAGACCATCACGGAGGAGAGTGGTTGGAGTCGGCGGTTGACCTACAAGTCGGCCACGCGGAGAAGAGCCGAGGAAGGCCGGGGTCCGGTCCGCGGAAGCGCTTTTCCGTTTCTGGTCTGAAGGTTCCGCGGAAGTCGGAGGATGCCGATCCTTGTCCACCTCCGCATTATCCGTAAGCTCGCGGATATTCACAACCCCACACCGATGCGACAGTCAACATGTTCGAACCATTTTGCATGCTGATCTCGTCGGGGCAGGGTGCGACAACGGCCTCGGTTGGAATTAGTTACATCTTCGGGCATTAAAAGGATGCGTCGAGGCCGTGGGTGTTCTCCAACTTTGAGCATCTCCAACCCCAGCATCCTCAACTAAAAGAAAGAGCCACAATTCCAGTTACCCAGCCGCAAACATGTCTCCCCGCGGCGTTATCAGGGATATCATCATCACGCCTGTGGCATTTCATGACATGCCCCTGCTGAACAGTGTCGGTGTACATGAACCCTTCGCACTCCGCAGCATTATCGAGGTCGTCACGGACGACGTCTACGGGCTAGGCGAATCCTACGGCGACTCAACCCACCTGGGCCGCCTGCAACTGGCAGCCGATCGAATCAAAGCAAAGAACCTCAAAGTGTACGACACCAACTCCATCTACCAGATATGCGTCGACTCCCTCAAGGGCGACACCACAACCGGCGGTGACGGCATGGCAGGCATGGTGACCACTGCTTCCGTTGCTGACAAGGTCTTTTCTCCTTTCGAGGTTGCCTGCCTCGACATACAGGGCAAAATGGCAGGCATCCCTGTCAGCGAACTGCTCGGAGGCCGTGTAAGAGACAATGTTCAGTACTCGGCATACCTTTTCTACAAGTGGGCTGGCCACCCCGGAGACGCAGATGATGAGTACGGCGCGGCGCTAGATCCGGAAGGACTAGTAAAGCAGGCTCGGAAGATTATTGACGAGTTCGGGTTTAAGGCAATCAAGCTCAAGGGCGGTGTCTACCCGCCAGCTCAGGAGGTCGAAGCTATCAAAGCCCTCCACGCAGCTTTCCCAGGCGTACCCCTGAGATTTGATCCCAACGCCGCCTGGACGGTGGAGACGTCAAAATGGGTTGCCAGGGAGCTCGATGGTATTGTTGAGTACCTCGAAGATCCTGCACCGGAGATCGAAGGGATGGCTGCCGTGGCCAAAGAAGCCTCCATGCCCTTGGCCACCAACATGGCTGTCGTCGCCTTCGCCCATCTCCCCCCCTCCATTTTGCAAAACGCCGTTCAGGTGATCCTCTCCGACCATCACTTTTGGGGAGGCTTGCGCAGGTCCCAGACATTGGCAGCTATCTGCGCGACGTGGGGTATGCGGCTTTCAATGCACTCCAACAGCCACCTGGGCATCTCTCTTGCGGCCATGACCCATCTAGCTTCGGCGACCCCTAACCTCGACTACGCTTGCGACACTCACTGGCCTTGGAAGCCGCGCGATGAGGATGTTGTTGTTGATGGCGCGATCAAGTGGGTAGATGGCGGCGTGGAAGTTCCCACTACACCGGGACTTGGGGTTGAGCTCGATAGGAAGAGGTTGGCAAAGCTTCATCAGCAATATCTGGATTGTGGGTTGCGGAAGCGCGATGATACTACATATATGCAGAAGTTCCAGCCAGATTTCTCCGCCAAGATCCCCAAGTGGTGAGGCCGCCTTCTCTCAATATCATGTAACAAGTTCGCTAGTCATAGTAACGATCAGACGCCCTCTGCATAAACCACTTCATTAAAAAGGATCGAATGGTGATCAAACCTGTTCGACTTGCATCCGCATACATGCCGATCTGCATACATGCACAACTCTGTGTTTGCCGTATCCAGTTGACCTTCATCGTCAGACCTCAAATGCGTTCTCTTCCGCTGACCGTCGGTGGAAACATATTATGATAGGTGTCCTAAAGCATTGTATGTCCTCCAAAATCTGAAAGCCCATGTTGGCGTCGCTTCTCTGGTACCTTGACTCCTGATCTGACCAAGTCGCGCACCAAGCAAATCTCGAAAGGTACAGTGCTTGAGAAAAGTCAAGCCTCTAAATCCTGGTGTGATCAGAGTTGCGACATTGAAGGCTCTTATCTGGAACTGGTCTTTTTGGAGCTGTATACCTTTTCGCCCAACTAGATTCGGTCCAAACAAGTGAGTTCTGCTCATGGACCTTCTGGCTGCCCCGATTGGTTTCCCGGTGTCAGTCTACGCCCCAGACGTGCTGTTACACGGAATTCCCTGTGCCATCAACAAGCTTCGGAGGCTCAAATTCACAGACTCCGCGGATGAGCTAAACCTAATACGAAATCATTCGCAGACCCCTAACCTGGCAGTGAGCCGATTCTCCTCATGGCTCCGCCGGTTCTCTCACCATGCCACCCCACTGCTCTCGAACATGGAACAAACCACAGGGTTTCGGAGAGTGTCTTCTTCTGGGGAATAATAGGGGAATGCGGGGGTGGAGTAGACCAAGCTTCCCCAGTGCGGGGGAGTGGAAATCAGACCGGGTATTGTCCTTGCCCAGCTTACACGAAGACATTGCCGAAGAGTCCCAGAAACCCAAGGGAGTTCCGAGACCCGGGATCAGTATCATACAAGTATTAATATGTAGTGCATTACAGTTCTTTCTACTTGATCAAACCTTGCCCAAGCCAGGCTGGATAACTGTACTTTCTCTTTTGATGTCAGAGCCAGAGCGTGAGAATTTGGATAGCAAGAGACGCACTCAATTACCCGACTCGGAAAGAGACCCAAAATCATGACGAAGCGGACGGCAGGCCATCGCGGCAACTCTGCCAGATCGATTTTCATCGGGCTGGCAATTAGTCTCGCAGGGTAAGTTAGCACAGCACGTCTTGGTCAAGACCACGTCAAGATAGTTGACATAGGCTTCGGTATAAACTGATTGTTGATTGCTTACAGTTTCGTGTACGGTATCGATACCGGAATCATTGCCTCCACAATTGCCCAGAAGACCTTCAAATTATACATGTACGGATCATCACTGAATAACGCCTCGGTGAGAGCTGGCATCGTCTCTGGATACTATGCCGGTTATGCCTTCGGAAGTGGAGGCTCAGCATACTCTATGGACAAGATTTCTCGACGCTGGACTCTGCTTCTTGGCGCAACGGCTAGCGTTATCGGAGCCATCCTACAAACAGCCGCTATGAACCCGGCCATGATGATTGTCGGACGTGCGTTCTCTGGTTTTTCAACGGGCATGGTCTACCCAACAGCCCCAGTCTATTTGGCCGAGCTCAGTCTACCGGAAAACCGCGGGTTTCTTGTCGGTCTCAAAGGATTAATGAACACCCTTGGTTTCTTTGCGGCAGGTTGGATCGGCTACGCCGGTTCCTTCGCAGTCGGGGATTTGCAATGGCGGATTCCACTTGCTACCCAAATTCCTCCAGCACTTTGTCTCGGAGTCATGACGATATTCCTCCCGTACTCCCCGCGATGGCGCAAGTTTATTCGTTCCTGATCATGAATTACTATGGCTAACACAAGTTCTAGTGGCCATGAGAGAGCGATACGATGAAGCCAAGAAAGTCATGTACACCCTCCACAAGCACCGTGGCTCAGAGGTCGTCGAGAACGAGTTCGCCGAGATGTGCAGCCAAATCCGCCTTGACGCCGAGAAGAAGAAGGGTGCCATGACCAATTTCCTCAATCTTTTCACCCGCAAGTACATTCGTCGTACTCTGTTGGCCTGCTTGACCGTCAACATGATGAAGCTCTCCGGATCCAACATCATTCAGAATTACCAGTCCATCATGTACAACTCTCTCGGATACCAGGGCCAAACAGTCCTTCTCATCGGCGGGTTGTACGGGTTCATGGCTGTCATCGGCCAGATCATCAACGTCTTCTTTGTTGCTGACCACTGGACTCGGCGTGTCACCGTTATTTCCGGTAGCTACTGCCTCGCGATTCTTCTCGCAGTCCTGACGGCGCTATCGGAGCGATTCCCGGAAGGCTCCAATCCGGCCGGGTCTCGTGCAGGAGTTGCATTTATCTTCCTCTTCGCCTTCGCCTACTCATTCTTCTTCAACAGTGTCAACTGGGTACTCGTCGCAGAAATTTTCCCACTCGACCTTCGTGGTGTTGGTGTGGGCTTCTCAGTGTTTACCCAATCTGTCACGGCGATCTGGTTGTCATACGCGGCGTCCATCGCTTTCGACGTGATCTCATGGAAGTTCTACCTCGTTTTCATTGCTTGCAACATATTCGCAGGTACGATTTACTTTTTCTTCTTGCCCGAGACGCGGTTCTTGTCCCTGGAAGAAGTTGCGGCCAAATTCGGAGATGAGATCTTCAACCCTCCAGCAAAGGACCTGGAACAAGAAAATGAGTCGACAGAGAATGATCCTGCGAAGGTTGACAAGACAGGAGTCTCTTCAGACCATGTCGAGGAGTCAAGGAAATGAGTGGACTGTAGACTATGACTCTATCAGAAAGTTTGATGTTTCCTATGTTGCCATTAGTTTGATGTAATTTCGGTGTCATAGAACGATGGCTGAAGTGCTGAAACTTGGGTTCATGCTGATTGAAAATGGTGTTCTGGTGCATTTCCAAATTCCGTACGTGCGCAGTTCAATGAATGGCGTGCATACAACATTGAAGCTTTGTGGAGGCCGTGAAAGATTCAATACTTCTGAAACCACAGGTCTAAGATCATGTATTGAGCAAGAATATAGAAGCTGATCGCAGTGGGTGGCTATGTAGACTCGTAGAGTGCGTCCAAAGATTTGGTCACTTCAGAGCAGTGCCGCAGGCTGGAGGTTTTGCTGTAAGCCTCCAACAAACTTCTCAACCACCTTGTCAATCTCGTAATGGTACATCCAAGTAGCCTTCTTCTCACTGGCTCTCTTGACTCGCTCCTCAATCTCCTCGTCAGCAGAGAGCTGCTCTGCAAGCAAACCTGCGTTGACCTCGGCGAAGTTGTCCAGAACTCCGTATAAGTCACGATAATGAGGTGACCTGATACTGTCATAGAGTTTTAATGCCGCGACTAGGTCCTCGCCGCGTCTTAAAGAAAAGTCTATGCTCCGAGTCAGAGCATAGACATCTTCCAGTGCGAAGCCAGCGCCAGCACCAAAAGCTCCAGAGAGAGGGTGCGAAGCGTCGCCTATTAAAGCCAACGCATCGTGGGAAATGACGGTTGCAAGTCGTGATCCTGAAAACAGCGCGAACTCCTCCGTCTTGCCTTGAGCTGCGAGTTGAATCACTTGGCGGACAGGCTCGCAAAACTCGTCGTACTCGGACGCGATGGTCGAGAAGTCAAAAGGTCGACCCCAGCTGACGTGCTCTTGGCCTTCGATTGGTCGTCGAATACGCGCCGTAACTTCAAAGTCGTCTCCGCCGAGCGGACAGGTGAAAACGTACTTTCCACCAATATTTTGCCAGAATACCGGGGACTTCGGGATCCCATCGATTCTGAAGACAGTTGGTTTATGAATAATCGTACGATACGCCGACTGTCCATTGTACTTGATCTTGTGTTCAGGAAAGGCGAATGATCGAACGAACTAGAGTCTGTTAGTCTCCCCAGTAAGGGGGACGATTTTTCAATAATAGGCACGTTACGTACTGATCTGATGCCATCCGCACCAACAAGCAGATCAACTTCGTCAACAAAGCCATCAGAGAACTTGATTTGTACTTTGCCGTTTGGTAACTTCGCAATACCAATGAGCTTCATAGAAACTTTGATTTTCGTCTTGTCAACTTCCTGGAGAAGAGCGGCCTGCAACTTGGCTCGCACCATACGGCAACTCCTTTGTTGCACAGGGACTTCGGCAGGATAATGGCTTTGCTCCAAGAGCTTTCCGGTTCTCCCATTTCTATATCGGCCATTAGAAAGACGGTGACGTTGACACTGAATTCCAACTAATTGATCTCACCTTGTCTGCCCACTTGTTCCATCTGGAGATCTGAAGAAATCATTCGGATCAACGTTTTTCGCGGCCCCAATCAACTCCAAAAGTCTCCAAGTGTGGCGCTGGAGACTGATCCCTCCTCCCGTTTCACTTATCTCGGGCTTCTTCTCGTAAAGAGTCCAATCCGCATAGTCTAGTTTGCCGAATTCAATAGCCGCACCTAATCCTCCAGGACCACCGCCGATGATGGCAACTTTGAGAGGGGGTGGATTTGAGATCGCAGTAGTAGACATTGCGACAAGGCGGTGGTGTTTGGTGCGGACTGTGACTAGTGGCCGGACGATGTTGAAACTTTGCGATCAAGGACTACACGGGGGACGCAAACAATTCAGTATAAATGATAGACCGAGAATTACAAACTGCCGCGCGGCTTATGCGACATTTTATGATCCCATGTTGGGATAGCCAATCGTCCAATCGATGTTGTTTATCAGGTCATTTCGCTGTATTGCGCAATACCCGGGTGATATTGTCAATCCGGCCGATGCCGATAAAGGAGCTCAACACCCCGCGCTATTCAAGAGCCAACAGCGGTGGGTCGCAAAAGATGATGGAACTTGTTCATTGTCAACAGCTGAAGAGGGTTGACAGAAAATCAATTATTTGATGTTTGACTCAGTGTATGACTCTTGGAAATAGTTACGACGCATAAAAGTTGGTTTAGATGCCCTCGTTATTAAAGAAATCTAAATACAGGCTTCAGTTCCCGTAAAGGGCGACGGGTGTCAGACAGTTTGTATGGAGGTCTCATCGCGAATTCACATCTACGAGACATATTGAGAAGCTGCACGTCCTTCAGACTCGCTAACATCAAATGGTAAGTTGAATAAACCTGATCTAGTTTCAATTGCGTCTGGTATTCCAACTTAAACTTAGGCTTACAGTCACATTTTTAAACAAGACTTTGAGAATTGTCTGCCTTCCGCCCACTGAATTGATCTATCCTAGCACGAAATTAGTCTACAGAAACTCCGGGCCTTTTTTTCTATGAGCAGAGAGTGACGAACATAGTTCTGCTGAGGTAGGTATTCACTTGGGACAGCCTAACTGTCAAAACCTGGAAGCTTATGCGGAGCAATGGAAGCCTCATCAAACATCACGCCCTCAAACGAATTGTCAATGGTGATCCTCTCCCACCGGACATTCCGGACATTAGGCTTTCGCCGAAGAGTCATAACGCATAGGTATCCCACCGGCTGAGACGATAAGGTCCAATCGGCGCCTTTCGCGAGTATTTGGCAAACCCACAGAGCGCTTTGACGAAGTAATTGTAGAGTTGTGAACTTTACCGCAGAAACACCAGCATAAGGTTCACATACCAATTGAGTATAACCTACCTAGGAAACAAAAACATAAGTTATAAGAACCCTTCCTCTCATCGGAAAAATTCGATACTCAACTGAAATCATTCACCTCAGTTTCTCTTCAATATTGAAAGTGGCTAACAATGTATAAATACAGTGGTCTTTCTGAGCCATTCGATACTAGGCCTCCTCATGGAGGTTTTAACTGGTTTGAAATTCCTTCGACCGATCCCGATGCAACAAGAGTACGACCTTGAAAAGAGTTTGTAGGCGGAGGGAACAGCAACTAACAGTGCAATAAAGAACTTTTACCAGGCCATCTTCCCTTCCTGGAAGTTTGAGAACCCCCCGCACTACCCTTCCGAGTTCATACAACTTTTCAAAGTCGAACAGCCATCTTGTGAGTTTCAAAGCATCGAGAAATTGTGCCTTCATTAACCTTCCACAGACATGGAGGGTGCCATCATCATGGCCAATCCCCAATCTAAGTCAAGCACCAATGCTTTCAAAGCCGACGCGGTGGGATTCGTTCCGTTCTTCTTGACTGACTCCATTGACAAGGTCAGCTCTTTGGAGAAATAACTCTCGTGGTCATGACACGGCTGACATGGTGGAACAAAAGCTCGAGGAAAAGGTTGTTTCTCTTGGTGGCAAGCCCTGTGGTCCCAAGACTGACGGACGAGGTGATGGCTGGTTTGCCAAGTTTTTTGACCAGGACGGCAATGTGTTTGGGGCTTGGGAAGTTCGCGTGAAGTCTTGATGTGGACAGAAAGGCTGCTAGTTGATGGTCGGCCTAAGAAATACTTAACAATAGCTGGCATCCGTGTTTGTATGGTGTGCGTATTGTCCACGTAGTCATGAACAGTAAACGAATCTAGTAACAGGAAATCCACTGCTGTCGGCGTCGTACAAACAGTCGCATGCTCACTCCGCATCTTGAGGATACACTGTTGCGCCCTGCCGCCGGATTTCATCCATGATTTCCATAACTCGGATTGTCTCAGACCATGGCATGATTGAACTCTCTAACTTGCCTGCCAAAACGTCCAAAGCAGCATTGTCGGCTTCCCAATAGTATCCTCTGCCAACTGGCTTATAGTCGTACTTCTTCCCTGCGTCCCTTTGAATGACGCCAGCGGTTTGATCCCTTTCGAATTTGGAATAGACGGTAAAAGCATCTGGGTCCGATGGAACTGTTCCATGGACCTCGATACTTCCGTTTGTTCCTTGAATGCGTGCCAAAACATCAGGGTTGCCAGTTGCCATAGTGGTAGACGTCACTACACCTTGTCTGCCCGTGGATGGATACTTGAGAATGACACTGGTAGTCACTTCGACATCCCCGTGGTGGGTTTGAGCAGCAAGAATCTCGGGCATCTCGGATGCGGTTGGGGTGCCTGCGTCCAAGCCGAGAATTGCCCACGTCAAGGTGTAAATGCCAAGATCCAGCAGTGAACCGGCGCCCAGGTGAAGCTGCTTGTAGCGGGAACTGTCAGGCAAGTTGGGGATATCCAGTCCCAAGCCAAACTCTGAGTACACTCTGAAAACATCGCCAATGACCTTTTCCTTGTGCAGCATACGTTGCAAGTCCTGCACCAGAGGCCGGTGACGGAGCCACATCGCTTCAGCGACATACACCTGTTTTTCCTTGGCGAATGCAAATACTTCTTTGGCGTGTCGGGCGTTGAGGGTGAATGCCTTCTCGCACAGAATCGGCTTGCCGGCGGCAATGGCATCTATGCAATTCTGTCTGTGGAAGGCATGCGGGGTTCCGATGTAGACAATGTCCACGTTCTCATCTGCGTAGACTTCGCCATACGATCCATAGATCGCTGGAGTACCGGATGGGCAGTACTTCTTCGCGAAATCATTGCCTTTCTCAACAGATGAACTCCCAATTGCCTGCACAATATGCTTGACTTTGGCATCTGATCTGGAGACCAGAAGGTCTTCCACGAACCAGGATGAGATCATCCCCGTTGCTGTAATCATTGTTAGTCAACGATGCACTTTGAAACTGTCAGGATGTGGGTTCGTACCAATGATTCCCCAACGAATCGCTGGTAATTCCGACATCTTGATGTGATTGGTTGATTCTTAGCAGATGAACTGGTAAGCAGACGAAGAAAGTTCTTTTGATAAAAAGACGAACAGCTAGAGATCTGACTTTTTGCGACCCCGGAATTCGAAGACCGAACCGAGACTCCGCGTGGTTTATATACCCGTTGACACTGCGCTGCCGCCTTAGACCGGAGTGGATGACATCGGCATTCGGGATTCTCCCGCAACTTCGGTCGGAGGTTTGCCCACCAATCCGTGACCAATTCGACCATTTTCGCCGGCTCTATCTATATCCGCTGAAAGCGGTGGTGTTTTCCCGCCCGTACCAAGACGCTCGGAATTCAACCTAACACACTTAGTACCACCTCGGGCATGGCTGCATCGTGGACTGGCAGCTTTATACCAACCTAGATACCTATGTTTTGGGATTTTTCTTTCCCATAGCAACATATTCGGGCTACAATTCTTTCCACCCAAGTTATCATACGTCATTCACCGGTCACTATCAATTCAAGCAACTAGAAAATCATGACTTCTCAGCATAAGATCCTGAATGTCGGAGTGGTGGGCATCGGCCGCATGGGTCAGCGCCATGCCATCAACGTACTCCACGCCGTACCGCGGGCCAAGCTGATTTGCGCCTGCTCTCCGGCCCAGGCTGATCTTGACTGGGCCGCTGTAAACCTCGAGCCACACGGGGTCAAGGTTTACCCAACCTTCGAAGAGATGATTGAAACCCCTGGCTTGGACGCGGTCATCATCTCGTCTATCACAGCACTGCACTTGCCGCAGACCATTGCAGCTTTTGAGAAAGGAATCCATGTTCTTTGCGAAAAGCCCGTCTGCAACACACTACCGGAGGTAGGCTTTCATTCTGCATGTTACTCCAACCAGTTACTGTGAGCTGATTTGTGACAAACTTTAGCTTGAAGCGTTGTGCGAACGCGTGGAGGCCAAACCTCAGACGAAAGTGATGGTTGCGTTCGTTCGTCGTTTCGACGACAGTTACCAGGATGCCTACAACAAGATCAAGTCTGGGGCAATCGGAAAACCGTTCGTCTTCAGATCCCACGGTGTGGAGAAGCTGGACCAGAGCCCATTCTTCCATCAATACCTCGCGAACTCTGGTGGGATCTACTTCGACTCCGCCATCCACGACATTGATCTCTCATTGATGTTCCTCGGCGAAGACGTTGTGCCAAAATCTGTTTCTGCGGTAGGAACTGCAGAATTCTTCCCGGATCTCAAAAAGCTGGGCGACGCCGACAACGCTGTCGGAGTATGCGAATTCTGGGACGGCAAGATCGCGCACTTCTACCACTCCAGGAGTTCTGCTGTTGGATACGACAATGTGACGGAGATTTTCGGAACCGCGGGCAAGTTGACGGTGAACGCAACTCCGCGGAGGAACCGCGTGGAGATCTGCGACGGTGATGGCGTTGTCAAGGCCGAGGCAACGCCGTCGTGGTACGATAGATATATTGCTGCGTTCGTGGTTGAGGCGAATGCGTTTGTAGATGCTGTTCTTGATGGTAAGGAAATGCCTATTCCGTTGAGATCTGCAGTGACCTCTCTCAGAGTAGCGGCGGCACTGCAAGAGAGTCTTCGGACTGGCCAGAAGATTCATTTCAACCGGCAAGGAATTGCAATTGAACACGGTCCGCAACTTTAGATCACCCAACGACACAACGGTATTCTATCATTTAGTATTGTTATTCGTATTATTGATGCAAATATCAGTCTTCAATGAGCATCGGTGACTGGACAGTCTGGCTGGGTCGTTCATTGCGACAACGTGTCTTACGTGAATGAATATGCTAGCCCTATCTATCTCCTAGCCGTCACCCAGACCGCTTCCAAATGGTATAACCGAAGTCAAAATCGCTTGATGATTCTTCAGAATGATTCATTCGCTCTTCAAGTCTGCGCAAAGATCCGTCGTCCTCCCAGGAGCTTGTCCATATGTAGTTGCTGTTCTCCCAAAGTCTGGAATTGTGCAGATGGTTTATGTGATTGGAGAAATAAGTCAGCTCGGAAGCCCTGAAGAACTCAAGATCGGGACATCGGTTTCGAAGAAAGTCGAAGAATGTTTCCCAGTTCCCACCGTCACTGTATATTTTGACTCCGTCAAGGTTCACACGTCGCGCAACAGACGACAGCTCCGAGCCTGCAGACGGCAAGAGAAACATCATGACGGCTGCAATATCTGTCCAAACACGGTGCAACGAAAGATGTTTTAAACCTCTGTATCCAGCTGCTCGATCCCACTTCAACTGCTTTAGGTCGAGATAATGAGTGGCATGAATAGCGAGTGATTCGAGATTTTGGCATGACGCCACCAATGCCCAAAGAGCGTTCTGATGCTCTCTGTTTGGGTAGGCAATCTGCAAATTGCTTGACGCATGGCCTGTACCCACAAAAGTCGTGGTATCTCCGTCGTTTGACTCATCGTAGTAGCTCCGGTCCAGACTTCCACATGGTCCTGTCTCGTCTTGAATGACGAGCCGCAGACGAATCAGCCGGTCTCGCGCCTCCTGTGAGAACGACCCCGCAAGCCGACCAATGTGCCACGTGCTGGGTACCAGTAGGCTAAGATCTTTGAGATGCTGAAATGCAGGACGATTCAGCCCATACTGAAGAGCGGCAATCATATCGCTAACGCCCTTCATGTCGTAGCAATCTGTTATGTACTCAATATCGCTTTCAGCCACAGGAAAGCTGACACTGAAGCCTTCAATCTCCACTAATCTGTCAAAGAGACTCCGGAGAACAGCGTGCTCTTTTGTTTTGTCGTAATGCAGCATTCGATCCTCGGGTCGTGTTCTCCTTTTGCTGAGGATATCAGAATAAGCAGAGTTCAGCATGATGTAGTTGCTATCCACGTCTTGCCCCCGAAACCTGCACATCGTGTTGTCAGCCTCTGGCCGCGGGAAATAACGAGCACGTGGGTTACAGAACTCGTGCCGTATAAAACAAAATGTAGAGCTAATGCACTTACTTCTGCGGTTCATATGAATATTGCCGCGTAAAGGAGTTGAGATCCTTCATGCCAGTGAGACAAAGTTTCCTCGCACGCTCAGGAAAATGACCATTGGAATGGTCGCAGCATTCTCCGATTTTCCCCATGCGCTCAGCTTCATCAAAATTGACATTCCACCATAAGTCCTTGTGGAGTAATCTTGACACAGATGCGTTCCATCCTCGGCTCACCAATCGCAGCTTTAACAAGTGCTCGATGTCAAGATCAACATGAGCGAGTGATTCGTAACCGATTTGATCTCTGTTGGCAGGCGTGAAATTGCCGGAGGCGATGAAGTCTCTCCATTGATCGAGGGAGCGCAGGGAAAAAAACTCCCCAGTGGGTGTTTCCGAGATAAACTCGCCAACGATCTATATTTGTTAGATAACCTACAAAAGCTGAAGAGCTGCGGTCACAGATACATACCTGGTCCAAGACCTCGCGAGGTAAATCCATATTCCCCTCAACTCTAGGCTGTTTTGTGTTGGTAAGGAAATTCAAAGAGACTGTGCGGTGGTTGCTGTTGGTTGCGAGGAGTCGCACCTTTTAAGGCGACGGATTGACCCCTGGACGCTCTACGGCCCCTCTGCAGGCAGCAGTGACTAACCCGTTCAAGATGAAGCTCGTCTTATGCACCGCACAAGGGAACCAAACAGAATCGACTGACGTTCTATCAGACATTGGGAACACAAAACAATAGCGGTCGGTCACTCGATGTAGAAGCCCGCCCGTCACAAGACCTACTCCTCGGCCAACAAATACAAATGCAATATGCCGCGCAATACAATGCAGCCACCCTTATAATCTGGTCATTGATATCTCGTCATACCCAACGAGTATATATTTAACGTTCAATATTTGGAAAAGTTTCTTAATAAGCTTCCAGAGTGCCATGACACCTACCTAGTCCTCGGCCAAGCTTCCGGCCCAGCTTCCGTGTGCCCCACTTGTTCGGAGCCCCGACTCCGGGCGCTGACCGCCGTTTCAATTTTTATTGAGAGTATCCCGTCGAAAACTACCCGCCCGAATGCATGCTTGATGCCCTCATCGCTGGGTCTGCGGCCGAGTATCTCAATTACTCAAAATTCTGTCGATACGATTGGCGTTCGCGATGATTGGCGCGGATAACCTGTTGCCCCCAACGACGATGTGCACTTTCGACAGCGAATCAACACCGAATCAAGTGGTACCACCCGAAGGACCTTATGCATAGCTTGATTTATTTTTCAAGAAACAGGGATATTGATCGAAGCAGTGAAAATGAGAGGAACGGCTCTCATTGCTTGCAGGACCTCGTCTTTCAAGATCTGGAAAACCTGCATCTCGGCAGTGTGCTATCATGTGGTGAACTTGATAGGAAGTTAGCAGTCTCCTGCTGACCTCAGAGCTGACTTCAGAGCCTTCGAGCGATTTGTATTTATCTACAAGGGTGGGATCTGAAAGTTGGGAAACATTGGACGGTGTTTGAGACATGACGTCGCCGCGATCATGGCTTCATTTAGCGAAAACACCATTGCGACGCAGACCACCAGCTTCAACACAAAAGGCACATCATCAGAAAACCAGCTCGATTGCTGACGACAATACCCACAGCGTCCCTTAAATAGGCGCAAGTCATAAAAGCTGTCTTAACACCCTTTGACTTCAAGCGCGAATGTCGACGCGAACTCAAACGTTGACTGAGCGGTCGAAGCTTGGTCAACCAGGGTATCCTCGTCTGGATTCGCGTGATAATCGTCGGATGATAGACCAGGACCAGCCATTCACTCGGTGCATGATCGACGGATCTGATGTCGCGTCGATCCGAGACCCGCAGTTGTCAATGTCTCACGGCTCACGCGTTCCGAACATGTAACGAGTATCAAGTGCTGAGTCTCTTGAGTCGCCCCCGGATTCCCCCCAGTATTCCTACGTAATTATCCACTGATGGCAGATCGGAAATCCCCTAACCTCTCTTGATTCCGCTGATTTCTTCACAAACATTACTTTGATTGTTTGTGAAGCGTACGATTGTCGTCAAAACCCCCTTTGCTGCGTTGACAAGAGTATTGAAACAATAAGCCGGGCACCACACTCTCCTTCGATCCACACGAAATGCGTTTCCCCGCTCTGGTGCTCGTTGGCTTTGCTTTCGAGGCAGTTCTAGCTGGTATGTGGGAGTTGGATATTATCCATCATTCAAGGTACTAACAGCATCGTAGCTCCTCTGAAGGCAGAAGCGCTTCCCTTGACACTACTCCCTCGAGAACTCAGAGACTATAACAAAAGAAACCAGCCATCGGCGCAGCAGCTTGCGGCCAACGGACGAGCCTGTGGAGTTGGAGATAAACAAGGCGTTTGCGATAATGGGCGATGCGGTACCTTCGTTGCGCCCACGGGGTTCACAGTAATCCGAGGTGCCGAATCACAATGTGGAGGAGCTACACGTCAGAGGTGATACCCGTAACTGAAGAACGGCGGGACTTTCCTGTCCGCATAATAACTTCCGATTTGATTGTATTTATTCCCCATGGGAAACAAGCACATAGAAGACAATTAGAGGATGCAACCGGTTGATTGGCAGCATTACACCACGAACGTGATCCCCCTAACTCAGTAGTGGTCCTCAAGCGTCATTGTGACGGTCTTGGACACCAAGTACTCCTCCACGGCGACGTCCTTGCCCGATTCCTTGCCATAGCCAGACATCTTCATACCACCGAAGGGAGACTCGGCTGCGGAAGAGTTGCCTGTATTCATCCCGATCATTCCTGCGTCCAAGTTCTCCATCAGCCTCCAAGTTCGGTCCATGTTCTTGGTGAAGAAGTAGCTCGCAAGTCCCATGCTGGTATCGTTCGCCCACTTCACCACCTCATCTTCCGTCTTGAACCGGTACACGCCAAGCACCGGGGCAAAGGTCTCCTCGCGGCTGATCAGCATCGACTGTTTCATGTCCCGCAGAATAGTAGGCTCATGGAAGTAGCCGGCCTCTAGGCCCACATCGGTCCCGGCCCGTCCTCCGTGAACGACCTTGGCGCCGGCCTCCACGGCGTCCTTGACGTGAGCTTGGGCCTTGGGAATTGCGCGGGGCGTCGTAAGAGGACCCATCGTCGTGCCCTCTTTTGCCCCGTGTCCCATCTTGATAGACTTGGTACGCTCAACCAGCTTTTCCAAGAACTCTTCGTAAATCTTGTCTTGTACGTAGACTCGATTCGCAGTGATGCAAGCCTGTCCTGCGTGTCGCCATTTCAGAGCCAGCAGAGCCTCGAGAGCCTGCTCTTGGTTACAGTCGTCGAAGATGATGAAGGGGCAGTTTCCACCGAGTTCCATTGTAAGTTTCTTCAATCCCTCGGAGCAGTGCTTAGCGATAAGACTGCCGATTGCGGTAGAACCAGTGAATGAGACTTTCTTCGTGAGTGGGTGCTTGCACAGCGCTTCTGCTACTTCAGGAGTGTGCTTTAGAGACGTAGTGATGACGTTGAATACACCTGGGCCAAAGCCGGCCTTGGTCGCTAGGTTCGCGAGAGTGAGACAGGTGAGCGGCGTCTCTGGAGACGGCTTCGCGATCATTGTACACCCCGCTGCGAAGGCGGCCGCGGCTTTACGCAATATCATGCTAGAACTAGACTTAGCATTTCGTTACAAATCGATAGAAGAAAGCACTCACGCGATAGGAAAGTTCCATGGGACGAGGGCCACAGTGACACCAATCGGTTGCTTGACCACAATCACCCGGCGATTGGGTGCGGCTGGTATCGACACGTTACCACGAATACGCTCTGCCTCTCCAGCAAACCACCACGTGAAGCCCAGAGCATAGTCAAGCTCGCCCTGAGCCTCGGCCAGGGGCTTCCCAGACTCGTGGGTCAGAACCGTAGCTATGTCATCGCGATTCTCCCGGATCAGTCGGTCCCACTCCAACAGCTTCTTCGCTCGAGATCGTGGGTTTTCGTAGCGGAAGGTTTGGAAGGCTTCGTTCGATGACTTTACGACGGCATCGACGTCGGATTTGTCGAAGTCAGGGCTGGAAGCAAAGACCTTGCCGGTTCCCGGGTCTTCGATATCGAACGTCTTCCCTGACGAGGCCTTGGTCCAGGATCCGTGGACATATGCTTCTGTCTCGAGAAGGTCCGGGTTCGAAAGCTGAAGATGTCACAATTAGTTCCGGTAAACGGGATCTGAAGGCATACCTTGAAGGGCAGATCTTGAGTCATGATGGCGGTCGCAATTATGATGAAATTGGATGAATGCGAAATCAAGCTTTGCCCTGTTTAATGTTCCCATGAAAGTCAAGAGGGTTTGTGGTGTTTATTTGAAGTACATGCAGCCTATTACTTTATATAGCCGACATGAATTCATCTCTATGACCCCGCACGGGATGCAGAGCTTGCACGACGTCCGCGATGACGACACAAATGCTTAGCTGTGTCAAATGCAGCCAATTGTGTAGATGGTGGCTTCTGCTTTGGAGATCTTTGGGGTCACTACTTACAATTGGCGCTATTGTGAATAGCTATGCTGGTATCCGCCACACTCACAGTTGAGGCCCGGAAAACTTTGTCCGGACAAACTACTTGCACGACAGGCGTCGTTATTCAGGTTGGACTCGGTCGAACTTACGTAAAACAAGGTTCAAGATTCTTTTCCAACATAACGATTTCTATCCTCATGTGTATTCTCGCCCGTCTCCCCGTCAGCAACGTTCTATGTTCGTACTGTATCTCAACTACTTGAGTTCCAATCTATGAAAGGGCGTTCAAATGCAATTGTATAGAAAATAATCAGCTCAGTTCTTGTCCCAAAACACCCAGTTTCAGAAGGCCATGTTGACCTCTTCACCCCGTCTGCGTATTTCCAGCTCCAAAGCAGGGTTCATCATGGGATTCTGTCCATAGTCGGTAACAACAGGCTGAGCACCAGCAGGCAGCCTCCACTCGTACTGCAAAAGGATGTGGACAAGAGCGATCTTGATCTCGTTGGCAGCGAAGAAGCGTCCGGGGCAAGCGTGCTTGCCGTGACCGAAACCGAGGTGCTCGGGACCCGTGCTAACCAGCTGAGCGACGTTTTCTTTTCCGGGCTGCTGGCGCAGGCGTAGGAATCGGTACCCATCCCATTTCTCGGGGTTTTCGTAGACTTCCGGATCGTACAGGGCGTGGGAGGATACGCAGACGGAAGTACCCTTGGGAATGAAGGTGCCGTCGGAGAGGGTGACGTCGTCAACAGTGATACGTTGCATGCTAGCTGCAGAAGGGAGGGATGATTAATGAACGATATCCATCGAGGATGATTGGGCTGAACTCACCAAGCTGAAGCGGCTTCATGCGTTGGCTTTCCTTGACAACGCTGTCGAGCAACTTCAAGCTGTACAGCGAGGTCTTCTTCCAGCCACCTTCATTCAAAACATCGAGGATCTCCTTTCTCAACGGCTCAATCATCTCAGGGTTGCGAGCCAGATCCACCAGTACCTGACCCAGGAGATCCGTGGTAGTGTGGATGGCGACAGTCGAGAGGAACAGCTGCGAGATAGCCGGGTCATAGTGCGTGCCCTTGGAAGCCAGCTCAAACCAGTCGATGGCGTCGTTGAAATCGGGTGGGTTACGGCCTTCGGCGATGGCAGCAGCCCTAAGAGCGCGTCGGTTTTCGATGATGGGCTTGATGATCTGGTTTGCCTCGACAATCTGGGCGCGGGCCTTCTGGCAGCCGGGAAGAAACCAGTGGACGAAGGGTCGCATGACGGACGGCCATTCTCTAAGACGGTCGGCGGAGGCGAAACCGTTCATGGTGTATTCTTTCGTCAGTGTGAGCCATTGTTCGTTGCGGCAGAGCTCGGTGCCCAGGAAGACGCGAGAGGAGATGCGGGCGATGAAGTGGAGGATGGTAGATCGCATGTTGATAGCGTGCCAGTCTAGCGCCCGTCAGTCTCTGCACAATTTCAGCCGAAAGCTGTTGACTTCACCCTTGTTGTCGGTAAAGATCTCCTTGAGAGCCAACGAGGCCTCGTCAGCGAGGGGCTCGGTGACCTTGGCTTCACACTACATGTCAGCACTCAGTTATTTTAGCGTCCTTGTTTTTCTGCATACTCACCCAGAGACTTGGTGAGATCCTTGTTGATGACAATCAGGGTGATGCTGTCTCGGGTTCCCTCGTGGAACGCGTCAAAACCAGGAGTTGTAGTTTGGAAGAACTATTTCAATTGCTGCCGTCAGTAACTCATTCGGCACGAAGGATTGTGCAGCAAAGTCAAATCATACCTCTGCGGAAAACTTGGTAAAGCTGAAGCGCGAATCATTGCGGATCTCGTTGGCCATGGACGGGGGCAGCACGATCGTCTCCCCCATGTCGCTGACCATGCGAACGGGCTTGTTTGGGTTGACTTTGAACCACGAGCTCATCATCTCTCGGGCGCTGGTAAGGTAACGCTTCTTTGGTCTGCTGTTGGTGAGTTCGAACGTTCCCTTGGAGTTGACCGACGGCGTGTTGAGCTTGGATCCCTGCATGGAGTAGACAAAAACGATAACAAGGATGGTGGTGAGGAAGTAGGATAGTGGTTTTGCTGAGACATCGAGGGCGAATATCGCATCTCCCAGGGGAGAGCGGGCGGTGTCAGTCGCTTCCATGGTCGGTGAAGTTTTCAACCTGGTTGACGATGAAGGTCTGCCGGACGTAGAGAGAAGATTGAGATGGATCACGAGAAGACTTCGATGACGATACAGGTCTTTATACATACGCCAGGATGCCTCGAGTTCTCCGCTTCAAGTACTTGGCCCAATGCAAGACACCGTCCCCTGGCCCGGAAACAAGGCCGCCACGGGCAACTTATCTTCCCGCAAAGCGCCGGCCGGACGCTAAGTATTACTCCGTAGACATGCGTGGACCCTTGGCCCAGACTTACATCCTGGGTAAAAGCACGAATGGAGCTGCGGGGGCCATTGGAAGCCTGTCGCACAAAGCCACGAACACCTTCCAAATCTTTAAAGCTTGAGCGGCAGATCCTGGCCCAAACCCACCATCAACAAGCAAACAGGCTGTAAATTCAGGAGAGAGTACCCGTATTTACGTGGTATATACTCATTGTCGGTTCTTTACGATCATCGTATCATTCCCAGCGTAGCCTGAGCGTCAGTTGACGGCTATTGATCAAGTTCATAGTTTTGCTGGTACCGACAGGATGAAGATAGGTTGATGGGCGGTGACAGTAGCAATGAGTTCGGACCACAACGTGTTAAACCCTGAAGCGAGAAAACACCATCGGTCTACTGAGATTGACTATTGACAAGTGCGTGGGTTGGACGTAGGGTTCATCTTCCTCTTCGGCAACTCGAACCGCCCCGAAGTCCTTGCTGCACGTAATACAAGCCCAATCATTCGTCAACGTCGGACCAAAATACGAAGAACGCCCATGCGTGACGTATCCAAGGGCTTCGGCACTATTCAACGTCTCTGACCGGTCAACTCTAGTCTCTTCTAGTGCCCATTGGGTCCCCACGCGGGATCTCCCTTCGTCAAGCTGCATCGAGCCGCATCCTCACAGGCTCGGGACGGGATTCCTGCTAGACCATGAGCCAATCCGAAGGGTTGATTCGATGGCTTTTGTGGGAAAACGGGGCCGTCAACTCGGTTGTCTCAGAATTGCAGTCACGATGCCGAGACCCATTTGCGGTCCACGGACGAACTCCGTTCTTTGAGCAACAACCGGCCGGCCGCTGAATCAGCGGATGGTCCGGGTGTCATTGGTGAACCGGGCACTTCACCGATCATCCACGACGTTCTTGAGCAATAAGTCGAGTTTGGAGTTGCGTTGAAAGTGGTTTTCGTCCCGATGATTGAAATTGAGGCTCAGTTTTCCTTGCACTAAGACTAGCGAACCCATCTTGCTTCGGAGGAAACCCATCATCCGTCAACTGCAATTTTCCGCATACAGACTTTCAGATTGGCAAGTCTCGCCTCCAGAACTGTTGAGATCGGCAAGGCCATCTGTGGTCAACGGCTTTTAGCAAAGCGCCCGTCCGAACCGAGGTGCACGAAACCTCCTAGGCTTCAAACGGGTCTTCGCTCCTTCGCTGTCATTGAAAGAAGCTTTTATGCTGATGACATGTCCATCGTGTGGGGAATCATTCCAAAATACGGCGCAGTTAAACTTCAGCCCGTCTACAAATCTGTCGGCCGGAAAGATCTGAAGACAAGGATACAAAAGACAAGGTCGGAGAAATCCCACCCGACCCATCTGATTTGCCCTGGAGTGTTCGCTATCTTGGGCCAACATCGGCAGGCACACGAGCCGTGTTCCGTCCAAAACGAACTAACATGAACCCAAAGACGCGCAAACTTCGCGGTGGACGGGATGGATCGTCAGTCCGCGAGGCAGGAAAATTCGGATTGTTCACCATTCCGCGTGACTCTTCGTGCGAACCATAGGCGTGTTTCCACGATTTATAAATACTTTTTATCCCTACGATCCTCTCAAGTTTCGTTGTGAGTAAACGCAGAGAACTGACTGTCTGGAACAGCATGCTGATCCCACTGCTTTGAGGGCAGCGTCGAGCGATATGCGCCACACGATTCTTCATCTCGTACTCTGTTAGAATCATCTCATACAGTCCGTTCATCGGTCAAAACAGGTGGGCAGTGGCTTGCAATGCTGAAATTGGTTGATCGAAGACGTTATCACCGTTTTCGACTTGCAGCCATGGGTACCCGAAACTACCCATCAAAACCCATGGGCCAGCGTGGGTACCCATAACTACCCATGGGTAAAAGTCATGATACTACCCATACCCAGAATTACCCATGGGTAGTTCTGGGTACCCATTACTGCCCATGGGTAGAAGTCATGAAACTACCCATACCCAAAATTACCCATGGGTAGTTCTGGGTACCCATCCTGCCCATGGGCTTTTTCGGGCCATGCCCACGGGTACCCATGGGTAACTGCGAAGGGCTCATGGCTGCAACAAAGGTCAACGCAACGCAATTCTTGTACGCTATGAGGCAGGCAAAACGGTGTGTCGGAGAGTTCTCCTGACTAGGTGTTTGGGGCTTGGAACTAGATGACGAACAGGATACACGATCTACTATTTCCATGGAGCCCGAGTCATAGTTCATGGAGGAATTCAAATGGGAAGATTTTCCTGATGTACATGCTTGAAACTGTGGGAGTTGCCGGATCAGCATGTTCAGATCCTGAAGAGCATGCGAAATGGTTGGATCGGAAATATGTCGACGGTCACGGAGTTCAAGTTTAAACAGATGAATATAGCAGATCTAGTCAATTGCACTCGTTCACCAAAGACGTGCAGAAAGGCATGTGAGGTTTTTACATGAGCTGTCATCATGGAAAAGAGATAGGTCAGTATGAGAAGCTCAGTTTGACAGCATGATAGTTCCGTGCCCAGTAAGACAGCTAGTTGCCTCCTGAGTTGGTGGGGTGTGCTCGGTAGCACCTGTTCGATATCCGCCACGAGTCACGATGTCTTTCTTTGCTGGGACGGGAAGATATGCCAAGCAATCCAAGATAGCCATCAAATGTACTCAAAATCACCACCTACACCTCATCGCAAGTCCGAATAACCTCAGGCACGTCCACATCTCCTCACCGCCAGAATGCGTCACAGAATTCCTGCACTTCCTTCGCCCAATGACTCCGTCCCGTCCGGCCCCCCTCATCGGAAATCGGATCCGTGTGAGTGGAGACCGCACACCGGGCAGGACCAATCCCGGAGCACCGACGGACGCCCACGGGACCTTTCCTTCGAGGGGAGAGCAGCTTTTGTCTCAGTCTGCCGCGTCTTCAGCGCGCATTCCAAGCGAGTGCAACTGATTGTCCTTACCCATACATGATACCAAGACTGGCCTTATGTGCTGGTCTAGTACGGATAAACTGTCAAACATCCAGCCCAGATCGTTCCAGGCTCCCGCCGGAAACATCCCACCACCACCAAGACACCGAAGCACACCGACCCCGGCGTCCCTCGGTGAAGGATCGACAAAAATGTCACTCTCCCACCCCGATTCGACCCGTCCCGCTTTTCCAGACACCACAGACACAAGGATGGCCCTCCCCCAACCCAGCGAAAATGCGCGATGTTGCCTATTCCGGTCTCCGCACTACAGGCATCAACCTCGGTGTGCCTCCAATCAAGTCCCCAACGGCGCCAAGTCAGATCGTGCTAGGGCCCGTCAACCTGCGAACGATCATCCTCCTGGCGGAAAAAGCCAGGCAACGACAACGACCCCGCGATACGCGACCCCTCGCGCCGAGGGCTGTCATTCATATCGATAAGGACTCCGAAGCGGATTCCCGCGATAGACGACGTCGAAATCAACACCGTAATGTAGCCATCACCACTCCCCAAATCATGTTCAGAATGCCTCCTCGCTTAGATGGAGAATGGTGTCCTGACTCACCCCGACGCGACCCCTCCTTCCGCGATTGAAGACCTCCGAGCGAACAATAGAACGCCACGGATACGGGTTCTCGCAGATGTCTCGCCGCTTCTCGTGTGTCTCGAGGTCGGAGATGGGGGACCGGGGGGGCGGCGGTTGTGAGACATGCATAACTAAGCGATCACAAGGCCTATTCGGCATGTAGGGACTTCACGAGAAAATGAATTGCATCGTCGCCAATCGCGAGGAGAAACAGCCTTGTTTTTTGAATCATGTTGTTTTTTTGTGTGTTTTCTGCATGTGTGATTCTATCCTGAGGTATCCAGCCCATTTGCTGTGGTATCATCCCGTCCGTCCCCGTCCAGTCCTGTCTGTCACCCAGACCGAGGTGTAAGTCAAAAAAACGCTTGCTGTCTAAAAAGTACATGTGCAAAGAATATCAAGTGCGCGAACCTCGCTAATCAAAACATATGCTGGAAAATGTGATTGGGTCGTTTACTCCCATCGGTAAACACCATCGTCGTAGGAGACCCGGTGCCGTCTGCTACCGGGGCCCACTGTTGCCCTCCGGCTCGGCATCATGCGCTCCATCAGGCGGCGGCGCTGGGCCTCATCCTCCTCCTCGCGTTCTCGCAGCTCCCGAGCCCGGCGCTCAGCTGCGAGTCGCTCATTGATCTCCATCCGGCGGACCGCGTCAACGAGGTCCTCGTCAGCAGACAGAGGAACGTTAGCGTAGCCGGTAGAAGAGCGACGGACCGGGGCAGGAGGCACCGGAACGGCGGGGCGGCGCGCGATGCGCTCGTTCTGGGCCTCAATGCGCGAACGAACCCGTTGGCGGCGCTGGTCCTCCTCAGCCCGCTCTCGCTCTTCGCGTTCCTTGCGTTCCTTGCGTTCCTTCTCGTGGCGCCGGCGTTTGCGCTCCTCGTCGTCGGCGCTGTGTCGGGAGTCGGAAGAGTGGCGACGGCGGTGGCCTCCGTCGATGACTTCGATCTCAACCTTGGGTGGGCGCGGGCGCTCATCGACGATTACCGGGCGGAGAGTGTTGCGAGGGACGTGGCTGTATCCGAAGTGAGGGACATTGCCTCCGGCATTGGGTGAGGGAGGTGCGGTGTAAGGCATGGTGAACTGCTTGGGTGGTGTGCGGGGAGTGGGAGGAGAGTCGACGATGACAATGCGCTCGGCGCGGGGGCGATGCTTGCGGTTCAGGTCGACAACTCTCTGGCCGTTGACATAGACACCCGATGGCCGCCGGTTCCTGTCGCTCGACGAAGAGCCAGTGCGAGGGCGGGGGGACTCAGCAGAGTGTCCGCGGGGCGAGGACAGGGGCGGCGAGGGAGGCAGGTGCTGCGGGTACTGGTATGAGGAGGCCATCTGTGTAGGGTAGCCGACGGAGCGAGGCGTGTGGTTGTAGACGGTGGGGTTGGCGCATAGACGACCGTTGCGAGAGTGTGAGCAGAGAGTTGGTGTCTGGTACTCGCTTCTGCGGCCGTCTGGGTAGACGTCAGTGTAGACGTCGGTGGTGCACATGGTGTCTTCTTGGAACGTATGAGTGCGCGGCGTGCGCGGTGTTGGTGGTGAGGGTTGGACAACCTCGGGAGCAAATCGAACTCGCTTCGCGTGGGTAGTCAACGTGGCGGTGGTGGGAGAGTCCTCTCGATTGTTGGTGGAACGACGAGACTTGTGCTTGAGCACGATGATGTTGTCGATGTAAAAAGCTTCGGGAGTACGAGTGAAAGACAATGTGTCGCTGGCGATAGGCTGGCCGAGCTGGAAGTTTGGAGTGTTGGTTTGGTCGTTGGTGGTCTGTCTGTTGAATGTGTAAGTTGGTTGGAACACTTGACGATATGCAGGTGAGCTGGAGAAGTTATATACCAAGTGGTTGAAGTGAGAGACAAGATACTGGAGGCTGAAAGAGTAGAATGTATCTGCCTAAGTATAGCTGAGTGGATCGACAGGGTCTGGATAGATTGAGGTGGTGTTCGTGCTCTATGTGCGGGATCTTTTCCAAAGTGTAAAAAGACCAAGTGGAGATGTCGAGCAAAGTAGGTCGATATGATGTTCGAGCGATACCGCGTCTGAATTAAATATCGTCCTGTGTCGGAAAGGCGCGTCCCAAGGTGAAGGTGGGAGAGACAAGTGCAGGGGTTTCGGGTACGCAGAAGACGCAGCAGCGACAGCAGAAAACGGAGGTACCGCTGCTAGAGCGATGCAGCCATTGCTGGCTGCAGGTGGTGGTGGGATGGTGGAGATTGAGGCCTTGTAGGACTCTGTGTTTCCCCCTCCACGACTCTCCAAATTCTCGACCCCTGCCATGCTTCTGCCTATTGAAGTGGCCGATGAGTCTTTCGCTAGACCAGTTTCGTACGACGAGGGGTCTATGTTGGGAGGGGGGGTCTCTGAACGGCTCGAAATGGCGTTTCCCAAAGTCTCTCTCGTAGTTTACGCCGCTGCGCAGTACTTGTGTCGTCCATTCACAGCCTCCTTAGCTGAAGGCCCCTCCCCTTCTCCAGAGGCTCAGCGTGGACCGAATGACTTTTGGCAGAGGGCGCAGGGGGTGCCCGTAAGCTGCCAATGGAGGAAGGATGGAGGGAGCCAAGGGCTTTGGAGTGGTTGACAGCTCTCGAAATGCCCCGCCTGTACGACCTCTGAGTCCTCTATGTCTCCGTCGAGTGACCTTGCATCTGAGGCCAAATGGGTGTGGTCGTGTCGAGATGCATCGCGAACAAGCGCATTGTTGCCGTGTTGTACTGAGCGGCGCAAAGTTGAGTTGTTGGCTCAATCAGTTCGTCGCATCGCGACATGGCGACGGAACCGACTGGTTGGACGCCGGCGTTGTCTCGTCTGGTGGTCTGGTTTGTTTGACCCTGGAAAGACTGGTTGGCCATTCCCAAGTCCTGCGTTAAAGTCCGCAGTATCCCAAAATACACCTCGTTGATGGTGGTCGTCGCAGCCTTCTCTGATAGATGACGAACCCAGGTCGAGGTGAAAAGGCTGAAAAACGCGAAACAATACTCTCTGCGATATGATGCTATTTTTTGCACAGCCTTCAATGCCCGTCATGCCACCCATGGAACATGTTCCCCAGCCCTTCATCTATTTGACCCGGGGGAAAGGCACGGGCCAAAGCCAAGCACGGCCGCCAGTGACAGTGCTAGCGACAGCGGCAATCGAAACACACACATGGTGACATTTGTAGCCTGTGTTCGCGGTTGACATAGAGTGGCCGTCGATATTGATGTTGTTGATTCAGTGGGACAAGCGATAGACGCCATCGTCCACGAGTCGCGACTGTTCCATCGTCGAAGGGGTCGAATGGACGCCATGTCCAGTCACCCGACGAAAGGATCGATAATTGAGTCTTTGGCGATGGCAATGGCAATGGACGAATGACGCGCAGGAAGAGGCCTGAGTCATTGAGCCGGCTCGTAGGGCTTGCTCATGCGAGCTCTTCGAGTCCCTGTTGGAGGGACGCAGCGCAGCGATGCTTCACCTCGCTTCACCTCGCTTCACCTCCGAGTGGTTGCGAGTTGCCATCTCCACATCGCATCGTGGACCTGCAGCGCGGTGCCAGTGCAGGTGCAGGTGCAGCAGGCCATCATGATGGGGGCTTTCGATCGTTCCATGACAGCAGCGGCGCATCGGCGGGATGATTGATTGACTTCGAAGTTCGCAGACGGGTACACTCGCCGCGTCCGAGGCCTCTTGCTGGGGTACCGCCTCGAAGGATTGCAGTGTCTGCAAGGTCTGCAAGGGGAGCCACAAGCCACTCCAACGTTCTCACTGTCTTGCAGCAGTTTCGAGATTGAGTTGCTCGTCCGACCTGCCCAGTCGCGGGACATGGTGGAAGCTGACATGTCTGTTAGAGCGGTTGGTGGTCGGGCTGTGCCCTTCTCTAACAAAGTCCGAGGTGCTCAGCCACCGTAGCCTGCTTCTCGTCGGACCAACCGATGCACCTGGGCCTTGTTTCGTGCAGGCGGGAAGCGATAGAAACTTAAAGTTTCGTCATGGTGATTTGATGCCTTCGACCATGACGAGCAGGCGGGGTTGCAAGGCCTTGCTCGCGATTATGCCACGCGGCTTGATTGCATTGCATGTTGGAGTTGTTGTACGTGTTTTCTTTTGGTGACGCACTTTCTTGGTGTGTCGCACAAAAAAAAAAGACACTGAGTCCTCCAGAAGCCCCACACCGCTATTTCCCCACCTGCTCGTTCATCGTAGGGAAGGTGCCACCAGGCAACCGTTGCTCTTTCCCTCAGTCAAAAAGATCCAGACCGTGATGACTAACCCAGCTGAAGGTCACCCGATTCGGCTCACCTTTTTCTTCTTGGCCGTCTGCCTGGTCCGACTTCCACCACACCAAAGAACCAAAAACACCACTCTTGAGTCTCCGAAGACGGCACCTGACGAACGCCATTTCACCCCCTGCGTTACTCACATTTCTCCTCGAATTCGTGAATTTCCCTTTCCATTGGCTCGTAGCCATCGTCTCCCAAACGCAACCACCACACCAAAGTCGAGACGCGTCAACTCCTCCAGGCACGATGCACGCCCTGATCCTTCGCTTCGTCGCTTTTACCATCCAGGCGCCGCCCTCCATCTAGCGTCCGCTCGCCACCTGTCATCTCATCAATAGACGCAGACCTGCGGACCGTTGCGCGTTCATCGCGGCAATCCTTTCCACTTTTCCTACATGATGGAAATGGGCTGTCACTGTCCGCCACAGCGCCGGCTTGGCTGCTATCAACAGCGGTACGAAAACTTCTCAATTCGGCGACTTCCGATGCAAGCAAGGCTGTAGGATCAATTACCATGTCCGCCATTACGAATTGGTTTGTGGCGGTACGTACACACCACTACACAGCAACCAGAGTCCTATGTCGCCGCTTCAGCCCCCATTTGGGGGCCATTTGATATCGCAACGGGAGGCCGCTTGCTGGGCAATACCTGCAATGATTTCGTTCAACAGAACCCGCTGTCACTTCCACGGCATCCAGTTCTCGGTTCTCAGCCGCGCGAATTAGTTTGGACAGACAAGATGGCATCCACTTGCGCGTCTGCTCAGCCTTACGAGGCAGAATCGCTCCCAAGGCGGAGTGTTTCTGGTCTCTCAAGCGCCGCGCCGGACGCAAGACTCCACGTTTAGGGCTGCCTCCGAGTCCGGGTCATTCTGCGGGTACCTCGGGGGTTGCTCCGCACCCCAGTCCGTATGTTGGTGCTCTTCCCGAAGACAAGGATCCCTGAACAGTTTCAAAGAAGGAAACCCATTCTATTCTTGTCCGCTGTGCGCTATCCAAAGCAACCGGCATTTGGGCACTTCTGTAGAGGCCTCAATTTCTCTCGACTTGCAACCTCGGGTCGATCAAGGACAGTCTCAGCAAACCCAGAACACGGTGAAGAGCTAGATAACCAGATCCGTGAAGGCATTTTGTTACTATCTTGGGAACAAGAACCGCTCTATATGCAGTCATACACGCCCCGTCGTTACTCAACTGTCTGCTTTGCGTCTATTAAACACCTGGCAACATCGGATACAACCAGTTTGGGGGCCGGTTCCCCTCGACATCTGATCATGCACGGAAAATGACTTTTTCCACTTCACTCCTCGGCCGCTTTTCGCCTTCATCCTCCGAATCTGGCGTGACTCCGAGGTCTCAGTCAGACTTCTATGGTTACTGGGGCTAGGCCTCCTTCGTAGTCGACTGCCTGGGCACGAGATTCCAGGTACCATCAGCTCTCTTGATTCGGGGGTTGGTCTTGGTTGGCAGTCCTTCGGCACGCTTCTCCTGCTCGGAGTTGTCCACATTGTCAGTGACAACGTCAGACCGCTTAGGCATCATCTTCCACGTGCCATCCGCACGCTTCTCACGAGGGTTGGTCTTGGTGGCGTCCGTGTCTCTCTTTGCCTCCTTCGTCTCTGACTGACGAGGGACCAAGTTGAAAGTTCCATCGGCACGCTTCTGGCGGGGATTCGTCTTGGTTGCGGCGAGGTCTCGTTTCTGAGCTGCCTTCGTCTCTGACTGGCGAGGGACCAGGTTGAAGGTCCCATCTGCCCTTGCGAACCGTGGGTTGGCCTTGGTTGCCTCCAGGTCCCGCTTCTTCGCCTCCTTGGTCTCTGACTGGCGAGGCACTAGGTTGAATGTACCGTCGGCCCTCTTAGCTCGGGGGTTTGTCTTGGTTGCCTCGAGGCCCCTCTTCTGAAGCAGCTGGTCGTCCACGTCATCCGTGACAATGTCTGATCGCTTGGGCATCAAGTGCCAAGTTCCCTCTGCCCGGACGAAGCGAGGGTTTGCCTTAGTTGCCTCCAGCTGGCGTGCTCTTGGAGGGCCGCCGGGTTTGGGTTCCACCCCGATCGACTCTCTAGGTTGGAGATTCCATGTTCCTTCCGCACGCTTCAGGCGAGGGTTCGTCTCGGTTCCTGCCAAACTACCCTGCAAACGAATGCGTTGTCAGCAACAGTACTCAAGGTCAACATCTTTTGACAATGGAGCTAACTTACAGCCACAGCGCCAGCGCCGACGAGGACGACAAGAGTTGAGATAAGCTTCATGTTTGATTCGAGGCACAGATATACTTCACGGAAGTGCGTGCGTTGAGTTCGGTCTTGAAGAAGAGAGTTGAGAGGGTTCCCTGGACGATAGATAGATGAGAGTCGGAGCGGGAGTCAAATATCTGCGGCCTCGGGCCCTTTAACTGGCCGAATGGGACGATACCTGATATGGCGATCGTGGTCTCCCTGGCATTGTGCCGATCATATGGATCCTTGGGTCAACACGATGCCGTGGTCTCTCTATAAACCGTCATGGGCACGAAACTGATTCCCCACAAGTAACGCGTACTACGTGCGGTCTTGGCCATGTCTGGATCATGTCCTTGAGGCTGGTCAACGATGATCATATGGGGGAAACCCGGCATATTCGGACAATCATGGTAGAGGACGGCGGTAGCTTCCCAACAGAACGGAACAAACGACCCACCTGTCGTGGCTATGGCGAAGACTTGGCTGCAATAATTAGACGGGTTACCGTTGCCTTCAACCCGAGCGGGAGAGGCGGCACTGATCCGCAGCGCGCAATACCTTGTGCTCGGCGGGAATTCGTCGACCTTAACTGACTCAAGTTGATAGAAAGTCATCTGAAATCCTCTGGCGGGAGTATTCCCGCAGGACCAAATGCCGCCCTGAACTCTTTCGAAACGTGATAGCAGTGGTTGAGAGCATCAACATCTATGCGGACAAACGGCGGAACACAGTCTGATGTTTTGCTATCGTCTGAAGCCTGACTCATAACTTTCCCAACTCGTTCTAGAAACATTCCAACGGCGTCGAGATGTTGTCCATTTGGATCGACAACGGTTTCATGGAACCCGTTTCAGTAGTCGCTCTTGGTAAACTCTATTTGAGTGCTGGTTGTGGGGATCGGATGATCCAGGTTTGTCAACTTTCCTCTTTCAGACGAGGTTGGGAAGATCGTGTGCCGCGGTAATGCGGAAATTCCGAGGTTTTAATAGAAGAGCGTACGTGACGGGGATGTTGATTGAGGTGTGCCGAGTTTGTCTTGTTTTTGTGGTGGTTCTCTGACAATGTCTTCGAAACCACCGGCTCAGAGCCGGGTGTTCAATCTGAATGTCTTGGTTCTGGTCGTCTCGGCCGTTGTTCTGTATCTTTTGAGTCCGACCCTCAATGATTGGTGGACGACATTGAGTGTTGGTCAAGATGATCCGTATGCAGGAGAACTTCCTCGCGCCGCTGTTTCCGAAGCTTCGTGGCTGAGGTCAGTCCGGCAGAGACACACATGGATGGAACAAAATCAGGATTATGACGACACACTGTCAGTTGACCAGATCACGAAGCTCTCTCCCTATCTTATTCCGCACAGGCACTGACCGAAAATATCATCAGCTTCTCCCCCAGAGACGAGTCCTTCCGCTTCTGGTACACCCTCTGGGACCTCTTCCCCGCGACGTACACGTGCCCGTGGGACCTCCAGCGGGTGGGCAAGCTCGGCGACGGGGGCAAGTGGATCTGCGGGATGAGCAAGTACGAGAACCCTCGCCCCCCCGCACGTCCGCCGCTCCGCGTGTACAGCTTCGGCGTCGGCGGCGACTCCTCCTTCGAGGACGACTTCCTCAACCGCTCCTCGGCCGCGGAGGTCTGGGGCTTCGACGACACCGTCGACGGCTGGGGACAGGGTCTCGGCGCGCGGTATCCCGACAGGACGCACTTCTTCAAGACGGCCGTGGCGGGGTATGATTTTTACGACGAGGGGGATCGGACGGAGTTTTTGAGTGTGAAAAGTATTATGAAGAAGTTGGGGCATGATTACGTGGATCTCGTCAAGATGGATATCGAGGGCGACGAGTTTCCTGCGTTGGAGGCGTTTCTGGAGGAGTTTAGAGAGGCGGGGAGGGAGGTGCCGGTTGGGCAGCTGGTTGTCGAGATCCATGTGCCTGAGAAGGGGCCGCGGATCAGTCAGTTCGCGGAGTGGTGGGGGAGGATTGAGGGGATTGGGATGAGGCCTGTGGTGAGCGAGGCGAATTTGTTGGCTGTTACTGTAGGGGATGGGAAGCCTTGCTGTGTTGAGGTGAGTATGGTCCATAGTGATGATGAGGGTTGTTGCTTACGGGGATGCAGTATACTTGGGTTAATACGAGGGATGGACGGAGTGTGTTGTGGGGGAAGACGTGAGGTGGACGTGAGCAATACGGTTGAGACGGGTGCTCTAGATATCCGACGAATACTCTTATTCTTTGACCAACAACCTCGTTTATTTAGCTTGCTACCTATTACTGCATAAAGATCATTCACAAAGTTCATCCACCACTCATCAAGCTTTCTTGTTCACGGAGTCGGCCGCCTTCGAATGCTCCCTTGGCGACGCAGACGTGCTCTCAACCTGCGTCCAGGGCAAGTCAGAGCCAAAGTAGCGTGCCATTCTATCCTCCAGAGTTTCTTCGCCACTTGATTGGCGTCTGATTACGTCGAATGAAGCGGAAGCGGGCTGGGTTGCCGACTCTGTATTGAGTGTTGTGGAAGATGTAGCCGGCTTGGCTTTCTGGCTGTAAAGAACCACCTTATCAGCTTGTGACCGTTCATGACCTGAGAAGCAATGGCATATGACTTACCTGTTCTCAGGGCGGAGGCCCATGTCTGAAGCCTTCCAGTTAAAATCTGGCATTGTGGATAATATCAAAGACACGGTGGTGTAGCGGGTAGTAGTTTTGATATCAGAAAAATAGGTGAAAAGTTATTTGCCCTTGGAGTCTTTGAAAACAAACCAAAAAGGGCATGCGGGATTAATTGATCTTATAGCCGTTATATCTGAAGCCTTTCCGAAGAAATGTTTGTGAGTCCGGTTGAGTCCTTACGGCGTGTCCGCAGAAACGGCTCAAAGTGACTCCGCGATGATTGGCCGGAGCCTCGGAGTCCTCAACCGCGTACACAACCGGGACTCTTTAGGACTCATTATTCTTCGATCAATTGAACAAATAAATAATCATCTACATCAAATGAAACCGAGTTTGAGTTTGTTTTTAAATGTTCTGGACGGAGTTGTCTTTTCCTTTTTCCACTTACTGCCACTTATTGTGGAAACATAGATAGGGAACTCGATGTTTCAAATCTTCCACATTTCTCTAACATCACGTAAGAAGCGAAAGCTATTCTACTTTAGGTAAATCTCATTGATTAGAGCTGATTCCTTGGTGAAAGATGCGGTCCCTTTGCGTATATATTGCTATGCTACAACTAATAATCTAATGTTAGCCACGATAATTGCTTCTGGCGTCAACATCTTCTACCCACATGGAGCGACGACGGTTTCCATGTATTCTCTGGACGCGCTAGAAAAGCTGATTACACATCGCTGTAAACTATTCTGTCGACGCAGATGAAACTGGCTAAATAAATAAGGTGTGGTAAAATCAAGCAATATCTGCATCACCGATCTTAGTGACGCTCTAAATGCTTCGAAAGGGGGTTAAATGAACTCAGTCAGGGTTGCTGTCCACGATATGAAGATTGAGCTAGTCACTGGCCCCGTTTCCGGGTATTGAGCCACGTATCTGCAGACATAATGTGACATGCATAATCGTGCTTGATAGTACAAGATGTGTAACACAACATTGAACCAGAAGCCGAAGCTCACATGATCAACCCTATGGGGAAAGCCTTGCGGAAGCCAAGCTTATCCCGCCTCAACATCCAGGTTTGATGACTATTTTGCATATGTAGGCAGTGGAAGGACTCAAGTGATTGGATGATCATTACTCATGCTGATGTCAGCTCTGGCAGCTGAACTGCAAGTGATCATTTTGGCTAAGAGGCTCGAAGAGAGAGCCGGAATTGCCGTAGATGGGACTCAACTGAAATTATAGAGTCGGCTGATCCTTAGACAAATAGCATAAATAGACCCAATTACCCACTAGTTTTCCCTCTCGTTGTCTCTTTTGCTTGCTCCGCATACGCGTCGAGCAGTGTATGTCTCAGCACCCTTAACTTCTTTCCCCTTCTTTTGTTTCCTCTTCCGCAGATCCATGGAAGCCACACTCGTCCTAGGGAGTTCGCCCTCGTCCTTATTCCCGGCCTTGGTCGAGGAAGATAGTTTTCGACTGCTGCGAATCTTGCCTGGGTTCGAAAAGGATGATATACATGGCGAGCTCGTGACGACTTCTGTATCTCGCGAGGCCGGTAAATACATTGCACTGTCGTACACCTGGGGCAGCGATCGACCAACAAAACCCATCACTTTAAACGATACGGCTTTTGACATTCGGGAGAATCTGCATGACTTCCTAAAACTCGCCCGCAAGATCAACGAACCTGTCATTCTCTGGGTTGATGCGATTTGCATTAATCAAAATAGCAGCTCCGAGCGCACACACCAGGTTGGACTGATGGCTGAAGTCTACGGCCAGGCTGCGGGTGTCGATATATGGCTGGGATCTGGTTCTGAACAGCTCTACCACGCCATGGAAATCATTGAGAGACTGGGAACAGACAAGAGCTTGCATCTGGACCCCCGATGCGGCCCTGCTGTTTTCAAGGACAATGGAGAAGAGAATGAGCAGTCCACAATCATCGCTGCATTTTTCAATGTAGCGTGGTGGTCCCGTGTTTGGACCCTCCAAGAATACGTCTTGGCCCGGAAAAGAACTTTCTATTGCGGCACGAGAAAGATTGATGGGAGAGTTGTTGAAGAGTGCGCAAACAACGCCATGTCTCACTACGAGAGTTGTTGCAGTCAGATGACGAGTATTTTCTATCGACCACACCATGACAAGGTCCATTTGGCGGACGGCCTTATCAACATCGGAATTCTGAGGGAGTATAAGAATCAGCAACCTCCAACACTTCTGGGGACCCTTGGTCGATTCGACTTCAAACTTGCGACTAACCCTAGAGATCGACTCTACGGGTTTCTTGGCATAGTTAAGCAGAACGGCCATTCATTCATGGATGCTCTGTATGATTGCACGCTACAACAAACATGTGCAGAAGTGGTCCGAAGATGGCTCAAAGTTTACGGGAACCTTGACTTTCTCTGGCACGTGGGAGACTATCCTTCGTTCACAACGCAATCGTTCGTACCAAATTGGACGGAAAGAAGGCCCCTGCACCATGAGAGATGGGATTGTGATAGACGATGGCATCTGCAGAGTGCTTACGACGCCTCTGCGGGCCGTCGTGCGGAACTGGATGTGGAAGTCGACGGCACTGCTCGCTTCGCCGGCTTGAATGTAGATGTCATCAAGGCCAAAACCGACTCCTACCACACAGACTTCGCTGGCACGCTTCTGGAGGCTCAGGATATTTCTGGTTTCAACAGAAGCCCTCACCATACGTACCAGCCGACCGGCGAGTCTGTGCATGATGCTTTCGCAATAACGATGACGGGTGGACTACAAGCGGGAGGCGAGAAGCGCGAACATGTCGATGAGAACCTTCTTACATGGATGAAATGGATTCTTGACTGTAGGGTCAATCACTGGCACATTCCCGGGGGATCGACACAAGACAAGCTGGACATAAACAGTGCACACCTTTTCTTCAGGGCGGCCGTATTTGGTAGAAGCTTCATCGTCACGGAGAAGGGGTACTTTGGGTTTGCCCCAAGCACATGTAAGCCCGGGGATATGGTTGTCGTGTTGTTTGGATCGAAGATGCCGTGCGTTCTGCGGCCTCGCCATGACGAGCTGGGAAATCATACACCAGACGGGGCTTTGACATACAGTATGTTAGGTACTGCGTATGTTCATGGCATTATGTCCGGAGAGCACTGTCGCAATCATGCTGAGAGTGGAGGCACTCTTTTTTCAACCACTTTTCATGTAATTTAATATGGAAGATCCTAACAGAGGACTGATGAATTCGCTGGAAAACGTTCTAAGGCTACTGCCTCAATAGTAATAGTTATTAAGGACCTCCCAACAATGGGGAGTACGGGAATAACAGTAATTCATGCTTGTTGCAACTTATCGGCCCCATTGATTGTTCTTGTTATCTGCTTCAACCCAGGCACATGTACCCACCAAGACAATCCCATTGTCCTCTCATGATTCTCTACGCATCTCCGGAGCCCACTCCGTCTGTACCGCTGCCTGCTAGACGGGGCATATTCTATGAGCACGTGTGCTGGAAATTGCCTCGGATTGGAGGCAGGAGCCGGCCTGGCCATACATGACCCTGTTGCATTTTGATTGATACTTAACCATGTTGACTGCCTCTTGGCTTTTTCTACCCACGTTCCTGGATCAGCATAAACTGATGGCTTACATCCCGTCACCAGTCTATTTCGACAGGGACGACTACGTCCGTCTTTTGTCCCTGTCGCCCGGAGAATTCGACGAACCAATCGTGTGCGATCTCAAAATTGCCTCAATTGCGCACTTACCACAACACTTCGAAGCTTTGTCGTACTGTTGGGGTGACCAACGAGACCGGAAACCGATCATCCTTCGAGGAACCGAATACCTTGCCACCGCAAGTCTCATTACCGCACTACGACATCTACGATATGCCGACCGTCCGCGCACCCTATGGGTTGATGCGCTTTGTATCAACCAGGAAGATACAGCAGAGCTCAGTCACCAAATCCTACACATGAGGAACATTTATAGCCAGGCGACCCGGGTGTTGGCTTGGGTTGGAACCGAGGAATGGAATCCAAAGGCCGCATTCGACGCTATCCGGCGGCGCGCAGAGAAGGCAGCTGTCCTCGACGAGGCATCGCTGGCAGCACTTTATCACTTCCTGTCGAGCCCGTATTGGGAGCGACTTTGGGTCGTCCAGGAGCTGGCACTCGCACGAGACATTGCCATTGTCTGTGGCCGAGAGATCTTACCGTGGAAAGCCATCGACCAGTTGATGGCCCCAGATGCGGCTGGTCGCCGACTACCGGATGGCCTGCCGTACCACATGCGGAAAGGACTGTGGAAGGTCCGGCACTTGTGGCACACCCGAACCGTACTTCACTCGCCAGATCGAAGCCTCAACTTTCTTCAAGTTCTTAACAAGTTCAACCCCTGTTTGTGTTACTTGGCGAAAGACAAGGTCTACGCCACTCTGGGCATGTCTTCTGATGTGGTGAGACGGATCGTCCGGCCGGATTATACGGACAGCACCACTACCGAGGACGTATTTCGTCAGGCGACTATTGCATGCATCTCCGAGCAGAAGAACCTAGACGTTCTCGCCCTCACTAGGCGTTGGACGGAGTATGGCGAATTCCAGGTATCCGGTGATGAACCCAAACCTCCAGTTTCCAGGGTTTCTTGGGCAGGAGAGTGGTCTACGGTGCGCATCATACGGCCTTTGATCGAGCCGGATGACACAGTCAAGGCATACGCAGCTGCTCCTTGCGATGGGTTCGACGTAGAGGAAGCTACACGACATGCCAACCGTGGCTTGCTGAAGCTTAAAGGAGTTTTGCTGGATATGTTGAATCATGTTGAGGAGCTTCCAAATCCATACCTTGACGGCTGGGAGGAGCGTACCATAGCTTGGGAGCCCAAGGGACTCGACACATATGAGTATCCGACGGGAGAGAACGGAGTCGATGCATTTTGGCGAACGCTGCTATTTGACATGGCCTATTCCACCTTCCACCCTGTTCACGAGCGTCTGACAAAGGAAGAAGCTCCACGGTACCGGCAGCTTTATCTTGAGTGGACTGGCAGGTCTGAGAGCTCTACAAATGAGAATTCGTTCTCTAACTGTTTAAGATGGGGTGTCAACTTCAGCAGCCTCCACGGGTGGACTTTTGCAGTGACAGAGACCGGTTACTTTGTGAGGACCCAGCCAGAAGCCGAACCTGGCGATGTGGTTGCTTTTGTATCTGGTAGCGCGGTCCCATTGATTCTGAGGGCAACACAGAATTTGGAAGTTGGATATGCGCATGGTTCATCAGATGTCGGTGGACAGAGGTTGTGGCGTTTGGTGGGCTCGGGGTACGTTCACGGGATGATGGATGGCGAAGCCTTCGATAAGAACCCTCCAGATGTCGTCGATATCTTACTGGTCTGAGCTACCAGAAATCCACGATATTTATAATATCTCTCAATTCAATAATACAATCCACCGCGTCTTCATTTACAATCAGGCTAAGGTTAGTGCCATTAGTGAAAGCTCCGTCAGTCCTCCCGCACCTGTCGAACAGACTCTAGACAGAAGCTTGCAAAGCAATGGGACTTTGGCTTATGATTTGGACTGAGTTAGCCAGATTCCACTGATTTAAGTCTATATTCACGTGTTGGCAGTGAAAAGTTCCTAAGACTTCGCCGTCAATGAATGGCAGCATACAAACATACATATGTATTGGTGATCGGGGTGTTCTGAACTAGGCTAAAGTCCCTTTGATAGCCTCGAGTCCCTGCCGGAAGTTCGACACCTTGTTCTCCACGCCCAGTTCCCCCAAAGAAAGGAGCTTGTCCGATGGGACGAGATCATGCCAGCTCGGATAATGCTCACTCCAGCGGAGCTGCGATCCAAACTCCGCACCAAGGTTGCCCCAGAGCTGCTGCATGGCATCGTCTGTGACCTCAACGAATATACCATTCTTGCCCGTGACCTCTCCCCAAATCTTGACCAAGTCGGTCATCTTGACGTAGTCTGTCACAACAACAGCTACCTTTCCAAAAGCCTTCTCCCCCGCTTCAAGAATTCCCTCCACCACGACGCCGGCGTTCCGCGACAAATCGCCGGCAATGGGGAGAAGTGCGTCTGGCTTACTGGGCTGCAGCCAGACGTAAGAACCCGACATGGGCTGTCGTTATTTGTTATTCTTTTCTTTTCCTAGACGCTGATGTTACGAGGACGTTTGAAACTTACTATCGGTAGCAACTTGGTCATGGGATGGGCCCCAAGATTAGAGGCATAATACCCCAGCCAGAGCTCAGTTGTCTTGGCGGCGAGTTCCGGCAGATTGATCACGATCCATCGGTATGCCTCTTGCTTGTAATCGAAATGGGGCACTTTCAGCTGGCCTTTGGATGCAAGACCTGCAGGTGGTAACGAGCTCAGTACGTAGTGCTTCAAGGTTGGTATCTTGGCTGCTGCTTTAGCAATATTGATCGATTGCTGTCTCTCCTGCTCGCCTGCAGCATCACGACCAGTCTTCACGGCCGTTTCCCTGGAAAGGACCATGTTAGCTATGACGCCTCGGTATTGAGGTTTGGTGTATCTGGGAACGTGTTACCAGTCGTAATTGGTCAAGGCAAAGATGGCAGATGCATTCTGAGAAACATGGTTAGCTTAACATAAAGATGGTCGTGCGAGGGATCGTACGTCGAAAGCTTTGATGAGGGACCCTTCATCGTCCGTGTCTGCGGCAACCACCTCAAATCCCTTTGCTGCGAGTTAGTCATGAACCTCTTCGGATACGACGTCTTTTTTTTCCTTTTTTTTCTTTTCTTGACATACCTCATCAGAAAGACGCTTTGCCGAAGCAGTCGTTGCATTACGAGTAATTGCCCGGACTTTGAAGTTGGGGTTCTGTTTAAGGGCATTGCACACAGACCCTCCTTGGGCACCCGTTGCACCGAGCACACAGACGATCGACATGGTTGCCCAGTACTTGTTAGTCTTTTGGTTTTGAGGTCTTCTGATTCAGAGAATAGCTTTGGACGTCCCATTTCTCGAAGGGCTTTTTCATCACTATTTAATCTAGATACATGTTGTTAAGACCAATCGCCAACCGGTCGCGAAATGACACAATGCTACGCATTCGCTTTCGGTCTCCGGAGATTTCTATTGTGCGATAGGCCACTGCCCCGTCGTCGGACACCGGTATTAGTCAACGCGGCTCAACTCGGAGACTTTCGGTACGAACTTACGATGGTAACGGAGCAAATGCGGAGACTAATAGACCATTACAGCAGCGAATATATCCGCAAAGAGTGTAATCTTGAATGGGCCGGCTTCAAGTCTACATTCCAAAGTGTCATCATTGTCTATGACATGTGGTTAGTAAATTAACCGTCATAACTATCCCAAATGTCGTGCTCACGGTGATGGAACGTTTCGAATTCAATATTTTGTATCCTCCATAGCAGAATCAAAGTTTTCAGCGGTGTAAATGACGTCCAGTGGGCATTCCCAACTGACTGGGGATGATTTTTGCTCAGAGAGCACCGATGAAGGATGGGAGGTTTGGATTGTTGTTCAAGATAATCAAGTTATGACCGCACATTCCGCGAGAACGCGAAAGGTTTCAAGCTAGGAGCTCGATACCAGTATTCAAGATCGACTGATGGACCTGCCAAAGGAGGCGGACGTCCCCTTGAGCAGAAGTTTACAACGCTCCAATTCACGTGAGACGCTTTCAAACAGTTTCACGTAGCTCATCCAACCTTAGACAAAAAGTGGAAGAATATCCTTTACCCCACGGGGACACTAGCGGATCGAATATTCTCCAAGCTCATGGGGGTATTCTCGATCGCGTACCTTATCTGAGATTGGAGCTTCCTGGACGGGAGTCTTGGTATGACGCCAGTACATGTATGAACGACCTTACACGTGACTTGCCTCTCAGTTACTAGTACCCTGCCGATGTAAGTTGCTCGATCTCATGAATGTTCGCTCTTTTCTACTGAGCCAAGGCCGACTCCGGTCGGGGTTGAATTCCGTCATCTCCGATTACGGACAAGCCGCAGGGGCCAGCAATCCCCCACGCCGTGATCGACAAGCGGAGGGGTAAAGCTGCGGTTGATCAATCTTCCGGAGTAGATACACTGGAATACTAAGACTTCCAAGTATCTATAGTTTATGGAAACATCCCAGCGACATATCTTGCTTCAGGAGGTCTCTGTGACACCATGACTACCATCCCAGCTTCACCATTGTCCGCTCAGCGCCTTCTCGGCAAGACGGTCTTAGTGACTGGCGCAGGAGGATCCATAGGGCTCGAAACATCCGCCCGACTCCTCCTCGAGGGCGCAAACCTATGCCTCGTCGACATAAGTCCAGATGCCTTAGTAGAGGCAACCATGAAATTGCAAGCCTTCGCCCCCGAAGACGCCTCCACGCGTATCTTGACAATTGCTGCCGATGTGACCTCGGAAGCAGCCGTTGAGAGGTCTGTCGACAGCACGATCAAGAGGTTTGGACAGTTGGATTGTGCATTTCTTAATGCTGGGATTAGCTACACCTCAACTAGCATCTTCGACACAACCGAGGAGAGCTACGAGCGCATCATGCGGGTCAACGTCAAGTCAGGTGAGCATTGTCTTTGTGTGTAATGCGCATACTGACAGCCCCAGCATTCTTGGGAATCAAGCATGCGGCTAAAGCAATGAAGGACAGCGGCCGCGGAGGGAGTATTATCTTGACATCATCGATTGCGGGACTGCGTGGTACACCAGGCCTGATTCTGTACTCGGGGTCCAAGTTCGCCCTACGCGGTCTCGCCCTCACGGCCGCATCGGAGCTGGGTCCGTTTGGAATCCGAGTGAATACGATCCACCCCAGCGGTGTTAACACGCCGATGTTCCAGGCGTCGTGGAGCCCCGAGAAGATGGAAGAGTTGAAGAAAGGAATGCCTCTTGGAAGATTTGCGGAAACGACGGATGTGGCCGGTGTCGTCAGCTTCTTGGCAGGTGATGATTCCAAGTTCATGACGGGTGGGTTTCTCAAGATTGATGGCGGGTGCGTTAGCTTTTAGAGCATGTTTACCATGGGGCGCGAAGCATGGGTCTGTAGCAGAAAGAGTGAGAGCATCATCATGCTAGTGAGATTTCTTTCCTCCACTATTTACTAAGGGTATTTCTAGTTAGCATAGTAACTATTACCTTTACGATGCCGTATGGAGTACAAAACTTTGGTGCTGAAGCGTTCGGGCTGCTCGAACGACGGGAGAATATGCACGGAGTTGAAGCTAGCTGTTTGCATTGAATATTCTGTAACGACTGTCTATACCAAAATCAAAACATACCCTCATGTGACGTCTATCTCTACTTTCTCCCCTTACACGCTGCCGAACAATTGCCCAAAAACATGAAAAGCACGCAAGTCAAGTCTATCGACCTTCTCCCCATCGGCCTCGAATCTGCCCGCTTCTATATGTCCTGCGCCTGTGAGATCTCTGGTCTTCGGCCTGGTTACAACTTCTTTGACCGCTTTACTTGACCTCTTCAGTTGACAAAGACATCCTTGTCGAAGAGCTCGAGTCCCCGCTTGGAAAGCTTGATAGACTTCCACTGGCCATCGACGAACTTCTCGACCTTGGTGATGGCCTGTAGCGGGATGTGGTACTCAACCGCGAACTCCTTCTCGTTCGGATACGGGTAGACCTTGTTCTCTGCTTCGTACATAGCCGCGACATCGTTGATGTTCTCCTCGATTTCATCACTGTTGATAGTGTAGAGGTACTTGTTGCCGCCCTGTTTCGCGGCCTCTGCGGGGTCGGTCGAGGTGGAGATGAAGGGGTCCTTGTTGGGGCGCTTCAGGGACTTGGTGACATGCTGGAAGACGGTGGCCTCGTATTTCTCGTGGTCGTCGTGGTTGCCCCTGGCGTAGAAACCGCCAGCGTCATTGATCGCCTTGGGGCCACGTCCGTCGCCGCGGTAGAGGGTGGCAGCGCTCACAAGCGATGCGATGAAGGTAAAGAAGACCAGGAAGGAAGACGTAAGCATTTTGTGAGCTGTGATAGTGCTGTTGACTTGGGTGTCAGGATATTGGACTTGGGGTTTGTTGGATGTGAAGATTGTGAGGATATCTTGATTGTCTAGATTGTTGTGTCGACTGCTGTTGTTCGAAATGGCATATCATCACAAGGAAGGCCTCTTCATATATACCTTATTTCCTAATAGAATCCAAACATTGTTGGCAGCTATATTCAAGTGTTTCCAGATATTGTGACATTTCCTCAGCAGGCCGGCGAGTCGAAATGCCTTCGGCGACATATCTTGTGTCAGCTCAAGTTATCAGCCTCGTGATTCGCATTGCCCGCTTCAAAGCGTCTTTACTTGAACTCTTCGTCCTTCCATATTATTTCCTGCTGCCGCTGTTCTTGGCTCTTTTCATGTACCTCAAGGGGAAACATTCCATGCCATCCTACTTGACCGTACCTTTTGTCGCCGCGATGTTTATCTGCATGTTGCCGTGTTTCTTGGCTTTACAGAATTGAACAGGCAAAAGTCTTGGCCGAATCCTTTAGTACATTACGGTGTATGTGAATCCGAGGCGTCGTGTGATATGATTCGTTGGTGTTTCCTTGGGTTGGGGTCGGTTGGTCGTGCTGCTTGTTGGTCTCAGAATGCACTGCATGGAAGTAATTGATAGGCGTACCGCCCGCCCCAAGGCATATCGAAGACTACCGTTGTATTTTATTTTTATATCTCATGCCAGCAGGCAGCAACGTGTATTACGTCACCCGAAACGTCGGAAGGCGCAGCTCAATTGATATTGATCAGCAATAAATACCCCGATCTCTCGTGCAGCTTCACTTCTTCATATTCTGGTCAACAAACTACAACACAAACAACAAGTTCCATTAGCCTTTATTCTAACCGATCTCAAACCTCACGCACAAACCCTCTCCATTAAATTGAAGGGTACGTGCAGATTGAAGAGTCACCGCTCAGGCATTGGTGCATGCGCTAACTTTTTGCAAGCCACCTCACCAATCGCGATGTGGCAACCACCCCCAATGCCGAAGCCCGCCTCTGCTCCATGGGGTTTGATCATCAGCGAAGCCGACTTCAAGAGACTCAAAAAAGGTCTTGAGCCTGAAAGCATGGATGACAAGTACCAGATCAAGGCCACAGAAGACAGCGACAGCGGCGCTGTTACCATCCACTGGGTCCGGGCATTCCATGACGAGTTTTGGTCTCTCGTAATCAAGAAGTACGATGACGACAACAGCAACACCATCTACAGAATCGACACCATCAACTGGGCGCAGGTCCACTCCACAGTACCCATTTCGGAGGCGTTGGCAAAAAAGCAGGTGGTAGTCCTGAGCAGATGCAATCTTGAGTGCGATTTCGAGGCGGCCCCCGCTTATGACGAGCCGGATTTCTATGACGAGCCGGCTGAGGACAATATTGTCAATGGGACGAAATGAAAGAACTTCATTTTCCTGCGATCAAGTTCTATACCGCATGAAGGCGCAGCCAGACTACATATATGAACGAAGACCGACCTCACTTAACCATATGAGGTTCTGTACAGATAGCAATCAATCTTGTATATCAGTCGGTTCCGAGAGTTCATGAGTCTACCAGAAAAAGTGTGTTTTCATGATCCCAACCAAACGTGCTTCAACCATCAAACGTGCGCTCCTCAGCCCGGAAGGAAACGCTGTACATCGGCTCATTACAAGATACTTAGAGTTCTTGAAGCAAGAAGTATACTGATTGACTTGTACTTTCATTCTGTTATGGGATGTGATCAAAACATCTTGGCCCTGTCCAACATATTGGAAACTCCCAAAACGCTTCCCATGGCTCCTCATATAGTACTTTACATTGAGAGAAAAGTTACCGGATCTCTGAGTAAGTACGAAAGGAATATCGCAACGATCTCCAGTTCCCAAATCACTTGGGTACCTACCTGCACATAGGCCTCCATTAAGTCACTCGCCAAAGCTAACTATACTCACAAAGCAGCAACTAAGACAGCTCGTACTAAATTGTAATTGGAGTCCGAAAAGAAGCCTTTTACTATGTTCTGGCAGTGACTGTGACTTTGGTGTTCTTCCAAGGCCGTGAGACAGAGCAGTCGAATGATGTGAAGAGGCCAAACAGAGACGTTGGTGAGTCAACTCGAATCGTTCAGGTTCGTCACAGTGCCCTTGAGTCAGTTCCGCGATGAGAAGCATTCAATCCAGATCCTATGAATCTTGAGAATGATACCCAGCCGAGTGCGGTATTCTTCAAAGCATCTTGCATCGAAAACACACTCAATTGAATTGCCGGCATGACCAAGAGAATTCCCCGTCTATCCAAGAGCAATCTGTTACACCATTAAAACCACCATCCACAGGGGGCCAATGGACTCTCGCGGGGTCGTCAGCACCGGCCGGCCGGCGCCGTGGCCACAGCGAATCAGGGCCAACGATAAGTCCCCCGCACGGGGATGACGTCCGCGTCAGCGGGGCCGATAGGGTAATGCTCTTCCGGGCCGGGCCCACGTCGATGAATGCGAGACCCCAGCATACCTCAGCCCAGTTTTAGCTGCATTGGGAGTGTAATGACAAGGGTTCTTAGCTGCATGGTAGTGCTGATCAACCACGGATCTCCCATGGTGTCGATAGGATAATGGTCGACCGGAGAGATCAGATGATAGATATCTGAGGTTATCGGAACGCGTGTGATACGCGGTGGAAGACGCGGGGGAAGATCTACGGCTTCAGGATAGGTTAATGCTGGCCCGATTTAAAACAAAGATAAAATCATCGCTGTATCAATGTTCGTTGGGGAAAAGAGGCACAGGGGATACTGAGCGGAGATACTTAAGCGTGCCTCTTTCACGATGAGCTCGACATCAGACGAAGCAATCGCACTTACAGACTCTCAAGAATCATCGTTCCTCTCTATTCGCCTGAAGAACTCAGACACTCAGACCACCCCAGCTTCCTCGAAAGACACAATGGCCTCGAAGCTGAAGATCGCTGCTATCCAAGCTGAGCCTGCTTGGCAGGACCTTGAGGGTGGCGTCAACAAGTCCATCGCCCTCATCGAAAAGGCCGCCAGCGAGGGAGCGAATGTTGTTGGCTTTCCCGAGGTGTTCATCCCCGGATACCCATGGTAAGCCTCAATATCCTTCACCGAAGTCTCAAGTCGACATTAGGCTAACATGCGCCGGAAAGGAGCATTTGGGCCAAGTCTCCCACTGACAACGCCGGCTTCATGGACGAGTACTTCCGCAACTCTCTTGTGAAGGATTCCGATGAAATGAAGCGCATTTGCGCTGCCGTCAAGGAGGCCGGTGTTTTCGTCGTTCTGGGATACAGCGAGCGCTACAAGAACACGCTTTACATCGCACAGGTAATGTCTGCTCTATTAGCTGTCGTCGCACTTCCGACTTACAATCCCATCAGTCCTTCATTGACGAGAACGGCGTCATCGTCCACCACCGCCGCAAGATCAAGCCAACCCACGTCGAGCGCGCTTACTGGGGCGACGGACAGGGCGAGTCTCTCCAGACCGTCGTTCCTAGCACCGCGCACCCGGATGTTCGCATCGGCGGTCTCAACTGCTGGGAGCACACGCAAACGATGCTGCGCTACTACGAGTACGAGCAGAACGTCGATCTGCACGTCGCCAGCTGGCCTCTGATCTGGCCTCAGCCCAAAGACAAGGACGGAAACCTCGACAAGGAATGGCCCGCCCACATTACCGATGAGATGAGTCTGCGCTTCTCGCAGATCGTTGCGCTTGAAGGAGCCTGCTTCGTGATGGTATGCACGCAGATCTGCACCGAGGAGTCGAAGAAGCGGTGCCGCATTGATGAGTTTGGCTACGCCAACAACGATCCTGCCCACGGAGGTGGCTTTAGCATGATCTACTCTCCATGGGGCCAGGAGCTGGCGACGCGTCTTCCGCCGAACGAAGAGGGAATTCTGTACGCGGAAGTTGATCTTGCTGAGAAGGCCAAGGCGAAGCAAAACTTGGATATCGTCGGACACTACTGCCGCCCTGACCAGCTGAGTCTCCGCGTTAACAAGTATCCCGCGAGACCCGTTCACTACGCTGCCGACCCTTGAGAGAGCGAGATGGTTGCGAGGATTTTAATAGTTCATGTTGGAGGCACCGAGCTACTTTTAATAGAGTTTGACTAGGACAATAGTGGATATGCGGGGAAGATAACTGAGTACTGATTGATTCGTCAGAGTGGGGGGTTTCAGGTAGTAAGATTTTCTGTTATTAGGCGCTCATGACACAATGCAAACGCTCATCTGAACTTGCTCCTGACATCACGGTGAGAAGCCGCCTGCCGCCGCCTGACATCCTCCTTCCTCTTGACTCAGTTACAAGGCGCAAATAGGGCGCCAAGTAGAGTGAATTATGTCTGAACCATCAAGTTCCGCTCCACCGACCGATGGGAAGAAGAGACAACGGGTCTCAATTGCGTGTCTCGCGTGTCGAGGGAGACGGATGCGCGTAAGTGGAGCTCAATTCCCTCCAACCCCGGAGTTCTCCGTTTATGAGTCCGACTCAGTAACTCATGATATATGAAAAACGATAGTGCGATGGTCAGCAGCCGGTTTGCGGCTCTTGTGTAAAAAGAGGAACTCAGTGCGAGTTTCAACATGCAGAGAATAAGCGCAGGTAGGTTTCTCTGATTCTTGAGGGTGAACAGACTCTAATCGCCCCTAGACCACCGAGCAAAAAATACGTCGAATCCCTCCAGGCCAGAATTCGCCTTCTAGAGGCTCAGGTCGTCTCACTTGGCTCTCAACCCCCGACCATCCTCCCTGATCCTCAAGCAATTGAGCCTGAGGGAGTCGAGCTTGACGATGATACCGGTGATGAGCAAGACCCTCTTTCCGAGCTTACCGGCTTAGTCGGCCGTCTCAACGTGATCGACGACGGCCAGATCCACTACTTCGGTTCACAAAGCTCATACAACCTAGTCCGGGAACCATTACGCGATGCCGCGCCTCATGAACCTTCACTCAGGATGCAAAGACAGGGCATAGCAGCCGCGGCTCAACTGGGGAAACTCGTCACCATCTCGGATGATATGCAGAATCATTTACTGGAACTTTATTGGAAATGGCAAAATCCGTGGAACTACGTTATTCATAAGGGAACGTTTTTGCGAAGTTTCAGGGGGGAAGATGACGGAAAGTACTGTTCGCCTCTTCTGCTATCTTCGATATTTGCCATCTCTGCTCGCTATTCGGATCGCCCGGAACTTCGATCAGACCCGAACGACCCCAATACCGCAGGAGACGCTTTTTGTGAGCACGCGAAGGTTTTGTTGCTTTATGAGAGCGAGGCGCCTACCATTACAACTGTCCAGTCTGCGTGTCTCTTAGCCCTGCGCATCATGTCCGACGGGAAAGAGGCACTCGGCTGGCTTTACTCCGGTGAGTATACGAGTTCATATGCTTGAAGTTTGGTATTCAAGGCTCATAATCACAGGTAATGCTACACGGATGGCACACAACCTAGGGTTGAACTTAGACTGTTCCAAATGGGTTACCTCAGGCTTGCTCTCAGAAGATGAAGCTGAGACGAGAAAGGTGACTTGGTGGGGATGCTACGTGGTCGATAAGTATGCAAGCCTCGCGAAGACACTAACCCGATTTTCAGTCCCGTTACTGATTCTTATGAAGGCTGTTTTCTCTCGGGCTGGGCAGGCCAAGTAGCACACCCAAGTCGAGCATCACCTGTCCGAAGCCGAGCATCGACAACGAGGAAGAATACACACCATGGAAACCTGCCACAGAGGGCGCCTTTGACGAGAAAACACTAGGAGTTCACTCTCATATTTCCTCAACGGCCCATCACGTATCGGAAACGTACACAATCGCTTGCGAGGCTATGGATATGATGTAAGATGAGCAGAATTCACAAGGGCACGAGTCATGAGATCCTGATATCATCGCAGTTACGCTATTAACAGCAAGCTGTCGTCAAGAGAGATCGAAGACATTGTCAGCAAGACAGACGTTGACCTGCAGTCACATTATCGTGCCCTGCCCAGCTACCTTCGCTTACCTTCGTCGCCAAAGGTCCCAATGCTTCCTCATATTTGCCTATTCCAGTAAGTCATGATCGTTCGACAGTTCAGACAAGGATTACGAGCAATAAAACCTAATTCGAATTAGTATACAATACCACGCCCATCTCATTCTGTTGCACAGGCCTTTGATGAGGAAGAGGAGGTCAAGACGCTCAGTGAGCAAAAGTGCGTCTCCTGACGGAACGAGCGAGGACGCCGACGAATACGCAAATGAACATATGGCAATATGCCGCCATTCGGCCGCGGAAATCGCAAGACTTCTTCGCGTTTACAAGCAGCAGTACACACTGGTAATTCTGCACGCATTTCCCCTGGGAACTGTACGAGTACTAACCAGTGCGAAGCGCCGCATACCGATTGCTGCAGTCCATCTCTGCTTTTCAGCTGTCATCATCCACCTAATAGACGCTCGTCCTTCAAATCCAAAACGACAGCTAGCAATCCACCATCTCCAGACCTGTATCGATGCTCTCCGAGACTTACGGATCGCGTGGTGTGCATGGAGTGACCGAGCTTTGAGAGCAATCCAACTGCTAGCGAGAGAATGGTACCACTGCGACGATGTATCACAACTGCAGCACTGCAATGATCTTAGCCGACTCGAAAGCGTCAGGCCGGGATACTCCGATAGAGAAGAGGTCCTCATCACAAGATATGGCGCAAGGGGAGATGTTGGAAGCACTCCACTTGGCTCGGGCCAGGCTCAAGCTTCCGGTCTTACCAGTGGAGGCGCCGTCGGAAGCGCGAGTGGTGATCAAGGTCGAGAACCAGCTGTCGGAGAGTCTGATCCGCTGGCATTCTTGTTTGATTCTACAATGCCGGATCAGTACACCGATACGCTGGTCAGGGAGTGGCTTGCTGAAAGCGGGTATGATGATATGTTGAATATGGCTACGTAATATTGAACAATAATCTTCGCGAAGTCATGAATGAGCTGTGTCTGTATCGTTGTCTCTGAATACTGGTCATACGACATATCGCACTTGTTGCGAAAACGCACCACAAGAACCATCACTCTCTTGACGTCATATTGAACGAAGAATGGCGGAGTCACAATTCATTTCAGGACCTGGCATCAACCCCGCAAAGCCCCTTTGCGTTGCAATCACGGTTATCTTTCGACAGCCACGCTCTCGGTCGAGCCCTCAGAATCCAGGGAGTTGGCAGAAGTCTAGATCGGTTGTTTTCGCCTTCTTAGATTAACAGCAACCAATGCAGACAAATCAACGAGCTCGAAAAGGGGTTGCCCCAAAAGCAGTATCACAATTCAGTGAGAGATATGACTTAACACCAGAAATTAAGTAACAGGAGTATCAACAGCATCTCACAAATTCAAACCCAGGCACAACTCCACCCAGCAGTCGACCAACAACAGACCCGCAGGGGTTTTCCAAAGCATATAAAGTAGAAAACCCCCAGAGTTGAGCCATTTGATAACACAACTCTTCTTGGAATTAGTACAATGCTGTTTGTACTTGTTTGAAAATGTTTACGATGCCACTGCCGAGATTCCAATGCTGGGTCCTAGTCAGCCTTTAGGTATCCAATAGCACGTCTGACAATTGGCAGTCAGCACTGCTGACGTCAATGCTGTGCCGACTGACATTTCAGGTTTATCGGGTGATATTTTACCCAATGCTTCTGCACATGAATGCCGATCCGTCTTCCACATTGGATTGGGAAGCCTGCCAATTGCTTGGCAGCAGGCTACGGAGTGTGCGTGGAGGCAACCAAGTTGACCTTTTCCGAACGCCTCGGCATGATTGTTCTCCGATAGACTTCTATTGGCCACAGACAGGATGCAGCAGCTGCAAAACACAGGACTCCTGTGTAACAATGCAGATTTACAACAGCTTATAAACGCCTCACCATCCCCACCCAAAGATGTTCATGTTTCTACTTCATTCTGCCCGATTATGGGCAGTACCTGCCAGAGTCAGATCGAGGGACATGACCTTACGCGCATTTCCTTGAGTAAGCGCGTTCCCTTTCGCGAGCACTATTACATTGTATTCAGGTGGATCCCTCGTGAGCCACTCCAATCACACGTTCTTCGGCACAGTCTGCGTTGCCTTCTGTCTCTCAAATCTACGTCTGACGGCCGTCGTCTCGACAAAGGGCGGCGGCCTCTTGACGCGCTTCAATCACTCAACCTTGGTATTGGTGTGGAATTATCTCCCCCAAAGTCTCGATTGATTTTGATGAGAACATATCTCGAACTGTTACACCAATCGCTTTGTGTCACTTGACCTCCGACTCGACGACTACGATCGGAGCGTCTACACGTTTAGCGCTTGAATTATTGCCTGATCTCGACTTGGATGGTATCATCTCTCAGACCTTTTCACCACGACCATCCTACCAACCACTGGGACCCTCCACTCAATCACCTATCTACTTCACTACACCCATAGCTATACGCAGCCCGGATTTCGCCCATCTCTTGGATGAAGGATTCAATATCGGATCATCATCTCAACTTCCCACAAACGAAGATACCCACTTCGAGCCTTATGTAAATTCCAAGGTCAGCATTCCCGATGAGATTCGACCCTCTCATCTGGGACATTATCACTCTGAACCACAATCTCAAGACAGCTTCATCGCAGATGCTTCGTCTTCAGGAGCATCAGGGCCTCAGCCTCTGCTGAGGTCAGCTGCAAAAGGCGGGATACCAAGTTCAACAACAAGTCATGATGGGACTCAGTTGTTGCCTCTGTTGCCTACACGACGTAAATATGCGTGTCAAGCATACGGATGCACATACTCCTGCGACTTACCAAAGGACTTGCGGAAGCATTGTTTGAAGCATGAAAAACCAGCCCAGTTTCACTCTTGCCCGAACAGCGGGTGTGACAAGAAGTTTCCGAGGAAAGACAACTGCCTTCGACATGCCCGCAGAAACTGCAAGTTTTCTCGAGAAGGATCCACGTTCGATTAGATGGCGGGCTTATACACCTTCCACGTGGCTTTGGGAAAGGGAATAAGGGTATATGTGGCGTTACTACTGAAGATTGTTCACATTCTTCTTCATTTCTAAGATAATCGAGGCCTTCTGGTGACTTCTCGTCTTCTGTGGATATAGGACAGCTCAATAATCCTGCTTAGGCATGTGTGTCATAGTATTAGCTAGCCACATTCATAGTAGCAGAAATACTGGATTGGGTAGTGAGTCAGAGTCAGAGACGCAGCCTGTTCGTATTAAACTCAACGAACCGAATTCTTAGCAATTGGTATCAGCTGAAATCTTTCTACTCAACAAGATTGCTGAAAGTGTGACATGTCTACCCGAAAGTCTGCATCTCTACCGCCTACAACTACATCACGCCGCACAACACAATGCGGCCACTGTTATTTTGTCTTCTCGCCAAACGAAACGAGCATATGTTTAATATTTAATACTTTGAAAGGATGAAACTCTCCCCCTGATAAGTTTCTAGACGATCTGCTTTCAACATACTCCGTAATATTAGGTTCAAGTCAAGCCATATGATTAAACAATGACGTTAACATAAGAAAGGTAGCACGCAGTGTTTGGCACAACTCCGCTGGAATCTCTACCGCCTATCCAGCTCAGCAATTTGATGACATTTCCAATGCGAATAGAAAACCTTCTCCAAGTATAGCACAGATACCCCTCACGAATTGTCTGAAGGTTCATTCAATCTGGACACCATTACGCCAGCATTACGTCTGAGCGCAAACTCAACAGATGAGGAAGCTTCCAGTAACATTATCCCAGATGCTAAGTTCAACCGTGCTGCTATAAAGCAGGGAAATTTTCCTGGATTGCAGCTAGGTTTTTATCATATCATCACGGAGTGCCGGATCGGTGCAATACTACCCTCACTTTTAGCTCACGTACATCCTTGGCAACTTACAAGCACGAGCTCTTCGCAGCTAGTGCTCAACATGGCCCCTCCTAAAAAAGCGTTGATTGCAGTGACCTCCGCTCATGCTCCTCTCTATCCCAAGGGCCAGGAGACGGGTAAGTCCGCCATCGACTTCTCCGTACACACACACACACACACACACACACACACATCATTTGCCTCAAGATCGACCTCATCTGACCTCGTCACACCAACAGGGCTCTTCATAACCGAGGCACTGCACCCCTTTAACGTGTTCAGATCCTCGGGCTTCGACGTCGATCTGGTCTCCGAGACCGGCACCTACCAGCCGGACTGGCTCTCTCAGCAACCGGACTGGCTGCCGGATAAGGATAGAAAAGTATGGGAGGATCATCAGAGCGAGTTCAGATCGAAGCTGGATAAGTTATTGAAGCCGCAGGATATTGACCCGGAACAGGTGAGCAGAGAAATTATTCACGCGAATGGATGACGCTGATGGACGGGCTTGATACTTAGTACGGCTTGTTTTTCGCCTCAGCTGGCCACGCCTCATTGATCGATTACCCTGACGCCAAAGGTCTGCAGTCGATTGCTTCGAAGATGTATACTAAAGGAGGCATCATATCCGCAGTGTCAGTAGACCCCTGCTCCTTAATTTTCCATTCAACAGACTCCATCAGGCAAGACATCGTGCTGAATCCCCTAACAAATTGCCAGTTGCCATGGTGGTGCCATCTTTTCGGGAATAATCGATCCCTCAACGAAGAAATCCATCATAGACGGCAAAAAGGTGACCGGGTTCACCACTAAGGGTGAGGAGGAAGAAGGCGTTCTCGACACGATCAAGAGCTGGAACAGACCCACCATCGAAGCCGCCGCGGCGTCGGCGGGTGCAACCTGTGAGTCCAACCTAACATTTTTACACGGTCGCATCAAATCTAAAATTTCTTCTCCGTTTGTGATCATGGTCTGATACAAGAACTGTAGATATACCGCCACCAGGACCCTGGGATGCATTTGCCTACACTGATGGCCACATCGTCACTGGCGCCAACCCGGCCAGCGCGACTGTGACTGCCGAGGCAGCTGTGAATGCGTTTGGCAAACTTTGAAACAGAACACATGATCGGTACTCTCTTTGATTCGATAGTGATACGAAGTTTGGTTACGAGCTTAGCAAATATTCTATTTCGTCAACAGAAAATCATGAAGGCCTTTTAAAGAACAGTCGAGGCGATCGGTATCAAGCAGCGAAATTATGATAAAGTGTTCCTATTGTCCAGCCCGAAAGAAAAGTAATACCGTTCCGAGATCTACTATAATAGAAGCATCCGTTCCAGATGCTAACGAGAATTCTAATACAAATGCGCACGAGTAGTTGTCGAAGCTCAGAAACTTCGCGTTCGAAGTCCGCTGCCACGCTGTCCGAGCCGTATCCCAGACCTGCCCGAAGCCAGGGCTCACATTTCTATTCATCTACCTACTCTTTAGGCGTGAACTCATAGCGGAGGCAGCCCGCGGTAACAACACCGCCACGGCCCTGGTTGTTCTTGCCTAGAAACACGGTTAGTTAGTCTGCTCATACCAAAACGTCGGCGCGGTCTTGGACACTTACAATGTCCCCAGTTGTCAATGAGCAATCTGGTGCACCAAATATCCTTCTGCTCATCGGTTGCGCCGTCAAAAAGGAGCGGGTTCCCGACGTTCTGGCGATCGACCGTTGTCTCGCAGCCCGACATCCAGCTGACGGACATGAAGTATGGAACTTTCTGCGACTTGCTCTGCGCGACCAGCGGCGGCGAGTCTGGCCCTAACTCCCCCCGGCAAATCCACATCGCCAACCGCTTCGTCTCTTCGTGGTGGATGTCGCCGGGCCCTGTGTACACGCTGGCGTCGTTGCAAACGCGCTGGCCAACAGCCATGGGTGTCTTTGCAACGGCCAGCGCCGGCGTGGGATCGGGCCTTCTCGCGACGATCTCCCTGGAGAGGGTCGTTGGAGGAGGGAGTTCCGGGACAATGCAGACGCATTTGCCGTTGTCGCAACCAAAGGTCTGGCTCCCGCTGCACATCACGGCCGAACCGCATTGGCCTACTGTCTCTTGGGTGCAGACGAAGGGGTCTGCTGCGGCGGCGGTAGCCGTGGCGAAGAGGGCGGCTGCCGCGGTGAAGATCTTTGCGTAATACATTGTTGATGAGGTGATGGGTGAGTCTCGAGTCTTTAAGTGAGATGCTCCAAGAGGTCGACGGATGAGTTAGATGTTGCGGGCAAGGTTGTGACTGTAGATGTGTGATGATGAGAGAGCAACAGCATGGAAAAGGATATCATCAAGGCCTTATTATACTCAAAAAAAAGACATCGCCGTCAACGAAGGTCCTCGGAATATCGCGTTTAATCAGAATTCTGATCAAAATTTCTCACAAAACCCCCATTTTCCAGACCCCAATCCAACTTCACCACGGAATCAGCCTCGCCGAAGACCTCGCCCAGTCTCGTGGCGGTAGATGTCCATCACGCATGGTGGAGTCGATCATGGAGTACTTTGCACCATCGTCAAATGAGAGAACGCAGACGCTGAACATGGATGTTCTTTGTGTACCTAGTATCCACGAGAGTCGACGGGGCAGTGCCGTCCCGTGTTTCCCCCCGGACGTCTGCCGGAGGCTATACCCGCATGCGCACGGAAGAGTTCGGTGGGGCAAAGTACCTTACCAACACCAACAGAACCAACAACCAACAACCAACAACCAACGAAACATGAGAAATAGCGGTTCTTTCTGGAAGTCATTTTCTAACCTCGGTAACGATTGCAACCTGGTGTTGGTTCGTGGACAAGGAAGCGTGCTACGCCTCTTGACCGGGCTTCCATCAACTCCACTGAGACAGCCTTACTTCAATTCTTGACAAGATGTTTTGCGGTCCGGATGGACTTCGCGGCAGCTAAGTTTGCAATTTTGGGAAGGGAGACCTGACTGACTGATGCTGTGTATTAGGCTCGTTGACAGATAATCTCCAATGCAGAGACATGCATGCGTCTCCTACGCAAAAGCCATCATGTCATTATCGGCTGCCCCCATTCCCGCTCTGAGTTGATTAACAACTCACCACCTGTTCTTTACGACTTTGGTATGACCCAACTTACCCATCTCGCCACTCTGACGTTCAGGTGCGGCCGAATCACCCGCCGTAACGCATCTGTATCAGATGAAGATCAGTTCTAAGAAGGTCGCATACATTCATCGTCAAATCAACAGAACGTGAATATCATCAGCTGATTTCGCTGGCACACGTCTTAATGGAGACTCGGGAAACCTAGACATGTGACCAGCTTCATCCAATAATATATCAGTCCTGAAAATACGAACCGTAGACAAAGAAAGAAAGAAAGGCGTTTAAATACACTATTCCACAGTCTTCAGTGGCCAAGAAGTTAATCAACAACTATGGGGCGGGGACTATGTCGGTGCAGACGTTCAGCGTGATCAGACCCGATCTTCGTCGTCATGCACATATACAAGTGAATTTGATGGGTAATAAAATCTGAACAGTTTCCTTGCGTGATCCCAGTTACTGAGATCTCACGTTATAGTTCGTGGGTGAGAGGGGCGCAGACAAACATGGGGTCTTGACCATAGTATAATTCTCTCATAATCAATTCACCTTCGTTCGTCGAGCTCCGACATACACATGTTATGCTTCTTTCCAGCCCTCTGTAGCGCCTCTCCTGCAACCAATGATGGATAATGGCTGGATATGGAGAGTATTGCTCTTCAGAAGAAGCACCAAGTTCAGAGTATGGGCAGGTCTTGGGTGCTCGTTATTAGCTGGCTGCCGTCAGACACTGCCTGAGCCCTTTTCTGTTCAAACTGTTGTACCACATCCGCATACATCTCTTCGACTTCTTCACAGCTGACCCCAATAGAATAAATAATCTGCGCATATCTTGTGAACCTGGGACTGGCAGCTGGGTCCGCACCGTTCTTAAGTAGTCATCGTACATAATCCCAGTTCAGTGAGTTTTTCGCATGTGATAATGCTGTGGCCTCGTGCCGCCGGGTGGGCATCATGGCATATTGCCCGACCAGAGGGTATCTATTCATTCAAGTAAGCATTTGGAGTTATCATAAAGCAGTTATGCATGGCATATCAGCAAAGGGTACTCACACATTGGCCACCCTGTTAATGTCCTCGCCCAGGGCAATCAAATGCTGTGCCATAGAGAACCGTCTAGAGAGATTGGGATACTCCAGCTCAGGCGGTTCTTGGCACAGCCTCTTGAAGAGTTCTTCGTCCATCACCACAGTAGTCGCTGGATCAGGTCTTCGCCAAGCAAGACCATGCAACGGCATACCAAATTCCGGCTTCGCCCCGTGCGATACGAGGAGAGTCACAGCTTCTGTGGCGCCGAGATTGGCCGCCATCTCCAGGATGTGCCTCTTGAGCCTCTGCACGGGCTGTTCGGAGAAGCTGAACATGATATCGCCAAGCAAATCCCTACCTATGGTCGGATCCGCTCCGGCGTCAAGGAGAAAGCGCAGTATATCTATATCCAGGATACAACGCGGATGATGCAGTGCAACCTCCTGGCGGGCGAGGCAGAGGGGTAGCCGTATGCCTCTCTGTAGGGGGCCGAGTAGCTGGTTCGGGTGCCATCCAAAGTCGACGAGAGTTTTCAGAAGGTTCAGAAGCTGGGGGCTCCCGCTTGTGAATATGCTTTGCGACTCATCCTCTGGAAACTCGATGGGCCTACGGAAGCATCGATAGTGCAATTGCGTCGCCGGATGCTGCAGCAAAACCTGCACGACGTGGATCTGCAGGTTCTGGCACGCCTCTTACAAGGCGAAGGAAAGGTCCGCGGGTGTTGGCGTGGAGTGGTCCACGAAGGTGCGGACGCGGTCGAGGTCACTTTCGGCGCAGGACCGGTAGAAAGACATCGAGGAATCGTCGTCGCGGTAGCCGGGCACATCCTGCATTACGTATAGAGGGCTGGGCAGCTGAGGCGGTAGCGGGGGCAGGTCTTGATACTCGACTTCGAGCTCCTGGAGCCTCCTGCGTACTCCTGCAATGTTATTGGCGGCGCGCTCATCTTCCAGGTCCTTCATGGCCTGCTCCCAGGCTGGCGGATGGGGGACACCGACGATTTGGAAAGCCCACAGTCGCTGGTCTGACATGGCGTTGTATTAAGACCCGGTAACTATCTTTGGTTGAGTGAGTTAAAACGATTTGGAGTAAGAGGAGGTAGGTTAAGATAAGATACCTGGGTAGGTAGGTAGGTAGGTAATGCGCGAAGTGAGAGAGAGCTGGCTATAGTTGCTTAGAGGGCAAGGGGCAGAGAATTGCTTCTTATTTCCATCTCATGAACTACCAACCAACGCCAAGGAATTACGTGTATGCGCTGTAGGCCAGTTTGGGTCCAATCGCAATTACGGAAACGCACAGCAGGCCGGCTATATGTACTATTATGGGGATAGTGTATCTTGGGATGTTGGTTAGTTGTGTGGCAGTAGAATCAGGGTCGGCGCGGGTATTGATCAGCGGGCACAGTTGAACTTGTCCCATAAAGGCCTCGACCTTGAGAGGAGGAGGCCATCAAAGCAACTGCCTCGAACTTGCCAAGGAGACATCAATTCTTTCTGAATATTTCATTGAACATCTTTCTTTCGACCTAGGTATCGGAAATACTTTAAACAAGAAAAGAAACTAATTTGGTACTGAGCAGCAAGAATTTGTCTCGATCTTGATTTTCAGGAAATCAGAAAGACAGAACACAATGCCTGAGACTAGAGGTACAAGACGCCTACAGTTCACTTCGGTCTTTGACGAGGAGGGTAATTCTTCGGGTCTTGGTTTACGCGTGGCACAAAGCTTTCCAGTCCAATGTCGCATTCAAATCGCCGTTGTACCAATATCTTTACCGCGGCACCAACGATAGGGGGGTCTGCCAACAGCCGGGCCCGGATCCGAGGCCCGCGTCTAGAACCAGCAAGCGGGGGCCGGGGCTCGGCAGCAAGCGGGGCCTAATCGATAAAGGTGCGATGATTACATGTACGGTCGAAGACTATGGCCCCGATCATGGTACACCGTATACAGCTGGCTTCATAAGAAGCGGCTGACTGCGTTGAGAATTGAAGACATGGTAACTCAAACCGTATCGATCTTTCCCAACATGCACGTAATGCTGGACACTTATCATTCGGACTTCAACCAGCAAAAGTTGACGCAAATCTTTTTCCGTATGCCATAGGTTTTGATAAGATTAGTATCCCATCCATTGCCACAATACGCCAGTCAAGCCTAGTAAAGCTAATCGGGCAGCCTCAGAGAAAAGGGCTGGACAGACAAAATGTCTTGCAACTAGATTGCGCCACAGCCACTGAAGTCAAGCTTATTTTAGAAATCAATCCTGAGGTCAGGCTGCGAGCAGACAAGCACGCTGATTTGTCGCCTGATTTGTGCTTGTATGTGTCAACTACACATCAAGCATACAAGCACGCCAATTCGTCGCCCGATTTGTGCCTGCGGGTGTTGGAAAGTATCCAATGATAAACTTCCGTCCTCTCAAATCTCTGTTCTGGCCAATTCCCAGAAGTGGCGAAGATGTCGTCTCTTTCTCTTCCCTACTGCGAAGGATTCCGAGATCGACACGAAAATTCTGACCTGCAGGACTTGGCTACAGTTCTGTCCGCAAAAGACGAGACATGCCACTTCAGCTACTGTCTGATGTCTGACGCTGTGTGATGCTGTGTGACTTGAGGCCTGTATTTGTAATACCAGTCTTGACCACCCATACGGAGACGGGGGACCTGCGAGTTTCCAACTTGAACTTTCCTCCCTCTCTCCCACCACCTGGGTGAGCCTCGTTGCTTTGATTTATGTCCACCTTCACAATCCAAAATATCGACGTTGTTCTTCTCAATCGATGTTATAATGTGTCTGAAAATCATCTTTATCGTTCTCGTTGCTTTTCTCACAGCAGTCGCAAACGCCCAGGGCCAATGCTTCGTGCCCAATGGCACAAATCGCCATGAACTCGCCAATATTGGCACCTATGTGTACGAGGCATGCGAAAGAGACGGTCATAGCATGTGCTGCAACACTGCAAACGCGGACAGATGCCAAGCCAATGGGCTTTGTTGGCATGCCGAGAGCGAGACACTCTGGCGAGGGAGCTGTACGGACCAGAGCTGGAAATCCTCGAAGTGCTTGAAGCTTTGCGTCTCCCCACATGAAGTAGGCAAGTAAACTTGTCGCTATCCTCGTGGAATCTTTTCGAACGAAGGATCCCAGAGGGGTCGTACTTCACGGTGGTGAAAATCGTTAACCCATTTTGCTTATAACAGGCATTGAACAGCTTCCGATGGACGAAATGGATCAGCCAGTAACAGAATGCGGAGATGAGAAGACATATTGTTGTGGTGGACGTGAAAAGGCGCGAGCATGCTGTGAAGCTGGGCTGGGTGTACGCATAGTGGACGGACAAGTTGTTACCGCAACCTCGGCAACCACAACACCGGCCCAACCTCCCTCTGCATCCGCATCTGCCACAGAAAGCGGCAATAATACGAGCAACGCTGGCATCATCGGGGGCGCCGTTGGCGGAGGCATTGCAGCAATGATAATTCTAGCGCTGGTTTGGTTCATTTGGCACAGAAGGAAGAAGGTCGCCGACTCTGGCAGCAACTCAGCACCCATGGCCGAGTTAAACAGCGACGAGAGGAAGGATTTCTGTCCACGAAGCAGTCCGCCACCTGGATACTCAAGACCACCATCCGAACTCCCTGTGGCGATAGTTCAGCAACCAGTTGAGCTTGGAAGCGACTCCCTACCACCACGGACTGCAATTTGATCCAGTAATTCTCTCAAATTTGCCAGTAGGCGTGTTGAAAAGCGCAGAAGTGCGCTCCTTCAACTACAAGGCGGACTAGCTAATAGAATGGTATTTCTTATAGTTACTGTAATTCTAGTTCATGAAACTGCCGCTATCCCTGTTTCCATCGTGCCCAGCGCCCGGAACATTCTAGTTGATGGGAGTTCTTCAAAGCATCAACCAAAAAACCGTTATAGCGCTTTCCAGCAAAACATATACGTAATAGCACATTCTTCCAGCCGAGGGCCCATTCGTTGTTTCACGTGACGTGTCGATGGAGCTCGTATCACTATGCTTCGCATTTTGCACAGCAGAAATAACGATGGGTCTGTGGACTGAGAATAGTTGTGGTTGATTTAGATTGCTTGAGACTTCCCAATATGGCTTAAAGGGCACCATACTGAACAAAGCTTCGAAGTATCAATCACAGTTTCGGGATATCGTCCAAGCCAAAGGCTGTTGACGTGTTAAACGGATTTGAGTCATAGTTATGAACTGGTCCCGAAGAATATCGTATAACGGTGTGTATTTTTGATTATTCACGATAGTCGCAGTCTCTGATAGATTGTGTCGAGCGGGAAGGTATCTACATCTTAATGAAAACTGATCATACAGGCCACCCCGATGGATAGGCCACTTGATGACATAGCTACGAATCTGTGTATGGACTATATGACCGCTACCTTAGATCTAGACAACTGATCATGGTCGAATCGGCTGAGTATCACAAATTTCCGCTAAACCACTGTGAGACCCTGCCAAAGATAGAACATGAATTGAGATGTCGCCCGTAATTCTGGGTCAGCTTTGTCCGAGGCTATTAATGGCAATACCTCAGACTAACTGTTTGCTCCCATTCGTAGATGCACACTTATCTGGACTTAGTTTGGGCAATTAGCATCTCACTTCTCTGTTACTCATGCAGGTCATGATGGTTGGGTTCCCTGGTAAATACCTGCGTCCGGCCGAAGTATCAATCTCCAGCCCCCTTCAGGTTATACTTTTCTACAAACAAGGGCTCAGCTGAGGAAAGGCAGCCTCATTTCTCTCAGAGTTTGGACCCCGCAAAATCGTACTTGCCATTGGCGTCTTCAGTGAAGGCCGCCATTTGAACCTAGAGATGGAACCTACAATCGTCGGATGCCATTATTGAATTGCTGTTGGACAGCCTAAAATGTTTCCTAAACCTAAGGATGGAGTCCAATGACTTAATTATCCGAAGTGAGCATGTGCCTGATGAAAATGTAACCGCCAATTCTCATGTTTCCGAGGTATTTGTGATATATAAGTACTGTTATCCTGACAGCTGAATATCAGATTCCTCCGGCAATCATATCATAAGTCTTAGTGACGAGCACGTCGTTACAACATACCTATAAATTATTTGAAAACGCATAACATCCGGCGCAGCCTGAGAAACATACCATGTGTGCGGCGATGTCTGTCTCTCTGGGATACCAGAATCTCATTGCCAGTATCTGTCCAAAGTATCTGACCTTGGAAGAAACTGATGAGATCCTTCGGCAGTTCAGAAGTGACCACTGGATCGACAACCAGCAGGTTCTTTGGACCGGAACAAGTTATCATAGAACTAATGTTTGGGCAAAGAGACATGGAATGCAGACATTCACCAACGCAATGGGACCCCTTATAGAGCCTGGGAATCCAGCATGTCGAAAGTCACACAAGAGCAAGAAGGGATGGAGTAAATACATCAAGGGTGCTTCCGCAATCTTTGCCTGGCGCATGTCGCAAAGCCCTGTCGCCATTGTCTTGACTCCACCTCCGCCGAATCGTTTCCATCCTTCAGGGGTAACGAACTACCAAGATATCGAGGAGCCAATCCTGAAAGGGGTGCTCGGAAACCTGCCAGTCGAGAAGATCATGATGATCCATCCAGAAGTCAAAGGCGCCGAAGATTACAGTTATGAAGCATGGCCCGTTGATCGACAGGACGACTGGATTGCGAGATTTGGGTCAAGCCAGCGCCGTGAAACACGCTGGCGACTCGTAAGTGCAAAACGAGGTATGCGCCATTTCCATTCATCCAGATTGGACTCAGCTGATTCAGAGATAGTTCCGACGGCATGGGCTATCAGCACAAGAAGCGACCATGTCCCCGCAGCACCCTCGCTCTTGTCCAACAGCAATTTGGCAGCCGCTCCTTATGCGACAACCGAGCCCCAAAATTGGCTTGTCGTTGTTCTTTTAGTTTCTTTTGTTGATTTCGCTTTTGGCATCGTCCTCGCCTTGGTGGCATTCCTGGGACGTAAAGCCAGCAATGAGTTGCAATACGATGGGGTT